GTTCATCATTAGTCGCTCGCTTCTACCTTGCAAAAAATAATGAAAAACGAAGATCCTGAGGAGACGGCATTAGTAGTTAAATTTAGACTAATAGCTTTTGCAGTACTGTAATTCCTTTATTGTGATGCAAATAAAGCATTTGGTGTTGGAGTTTTTGAGGGAGTTTTTATTGGTCTGCACTCAGTTTGCCCAGCGGGAGTCTCTTTGGTGATACACTTCAGTTTTAGTAAATGACCCATATAGTTAATTTCATTTCAAACTTGTGCCGATTTTGGCTACTTTTAACAGAAAAAAGATTTGTTATTAGAGGTTTATGCTAAGAAGTAACAATTCAAATAGCTCGATGGCGTCAGAGGTTGACTGTTCTGGTGTTTCAAGAGCAGTATGGCTCGTGAAGGTAAGGGATTTATTAGTGGTTCCTTGACATCTGAACTGAACAGGTGGCATCAGTTCAGTCCATTGGACTGAACTGAAATGTTTCATTTTGTCAACCTCTAGCAGTTAATGTGAGTTGCAAATCACTGGTTGCCTACACATCGTACGGTGAATGGTAACACTAAGACAAATAATCTACGTATTTGACGGTTACAAACTCGCTAAATCTAGCTGTATTATAATAGCCTGCGAGCAGGTTCTCCTATTTGGGCGAGTGAAGCGAGTCTCGCGAGAACGCGCGAGCGAGCGGCGAAGCCGCGAGGGGCCGGCGAAAGGAGAGCTTGCAACCATCCCTTACAAATTTTCATTTGTACTTCGCCCAGACGAAGGGAAATGCCATTGGCTGAAAAATGACGTTCCGGAAATCAAATTTGATTGATAACGGGCTAAGCTGGCACCCGCTTCGTCTGTGTGTCAAATTTGGTTCTCAGGGGGATCAGATTGGTACTGAGAACTTGTTTCAGCCCTCAAAGCAGACGGGCTGGTTTGATGTAATTCTCGTAAAGAGAATATTGCGAGCCAAGGATAAGTCGGATCGAGTTTGTAGTTCTTGTGGAAGGAAAATGAAAACCCTTCATCACTGACTTGTATTCGTTTGTGTCAAGCACCTTGTTTAGTTCTGAAAACCGGGAGAGTGAAAGTGAAGAGTGATTCAAGCACTGTTTTCAAACATCGGTTTCTTCGCCCAGTTGAATTCTACTGGGTAGAAAAATTCAGAAACATGTATTTGACAGTGTAGCTGTGTAGCGTGACTGTAAAGAAGGAAAAGAGAAAGAGTTGGAAGCAACTGCAGTAAAACTTAAGAGAACCAAGTGCAAGAAAATGCTATTCTCCAGTTCCAGACATACAAATATATGATGTTTTTGTTGGTGATTGCGATGGGGAGTAGTCTTCTACACTGCAGTAGCGATGACTTTCAAAAGTAAACGAAATGAGAACCAAATTAGTGAGTTCTTATCCGAGCGGACATGTTGAAGTTCGATGTCCCCGTGGAAAAAAAAACATATAAAAACATTGCTTTTGATGCTGTTGCAAAAGCGATTTATAAATAAGTAGTAGAAATATTTAATAATATTTAGTCTTAACTTACTTGACAGGCGTTTGTCACTTTTCTAATCTGCGGCACGTTTGCAGTGACTGTTTTCACGCTTTGCAGAGTCCCGGGGTTTCTGGGGTGGAAATGAAAATTTATGAGAGATCGTTGCAAGCTCTCCTTTCCTCGGCCCCCTCGCTCGCGCGTTCTCGTGAGGTTCACTTCGCTTACCCAAATAGGAGAGCTTGCTCGCAGGCTAGTATTATAAGAGCTTTTTGAACCTCGGGAGTTCTTCACAGTGGATTATCTTTCTTTATTTCAACCATGAAATTTTTGCAAGCTAGTTTTCACACTCATGGGTGTGCCACCTAAAGGGCAGCCTATGTTTGTTAGCTCTACCTAAAGAATCACTGCATTACACTACACCCATGGGTGTGCCACCTAAAGTGCAGCCTATGTTTGTTAGCTCTACCTAAAGAATCACTGGGTTACACTGCACCCATGGGTGTGCCACCTAAAGTGCAGCCTATGTTTGTTAGCTCTGCCTAAAGAATCACTGGGTTACACTGCACCCATGGGTGTGCCACCTAAAGTGCAGCCTATGTTTGTTGGCTCTACCTAAAGAATCACTGGGTTACACTGCACCCATGGGTGTGCCACCTAAAGTGCAGCCTATGTTTGTTGGCTCTACCTAAAGAATCACTGCGTCACACTGTACTCATGGACGTTTGCCTCGCACTTTCTTCAAAGACAAAAAAGCTATAGTCTGTTTGGCCAAAAATCAAGCTTTGTTTCCCCTAAAAATTTGACACCATATTAGGGCCCCGAAAGACGTTGAAAGTTCCTCCATAATAGAAGAGTGTTTTGCTATTGCCGGCTACAACGGATACAAACGTCCGTCAAGTTCAGGCGCTCGTGCAATCCAAACTCTAACTTCCGAAGAAAACTTGAAAGGACATTTTCTTGGCAAGTTGCAAGGAAGGAAAAAAGCTTGTGCCATGTGTGCGAAAGCCGGCCGAAAGCGCGACGAAGGACGCACGTTTGAGACATCGTATGGATGTGCACAGTGCGGCGTTCCCTTGTGTCGGCAAATGCGCGGCGAACAATCCTGCTTTTCCCAGTGGCATGGGGGAAATTAGTGTTTTAATAGACACTGAACTTTGACTTTATCTTTTATTAGAATTTGTTCTTCATTATCAACCATGTTTAGTGCTGTGAAGCATTAATTTAGGCAGTTCACCTTACGCACTGTTTGCAAGGAGACCATTGTTCAAGTACACTGTAGGATAAAAACAAGTCGTGTCTTTGTTTCGCAGAATCTATTGTTCATAACATAGCGAGCGAACAAATGTGAATAATATTTGAAGTAGTTGAGCGATTTTGTCTGACGGTTTAGAAAATGAAGCTTTGTATCAGCAGGTTTGACTTGTAAAATATATCTTTGAGTTCTCCATGTCGTTACGTAGCGTTATGTCAGCAATGGCGGCAAATTCAAATTTTGATTCTCGTACGAAACTTGAAAATTTCACTTTACGTTCAATGAGATGACCTGTAGAAAGCAAAATTGCGTGGCAAAATCTTTTCTCTAGCCCTTTTGATTAGCTAAGAGAAGGAAAAAGACAACATATAGTTAAAATTCTCTCTTGATCAACTGTATATAGCTGAGGTCCTATTTGAAGGTCATGTCGTTTACTCAATTCTTTGACTTTGCAATTTTTTTATAGAGAGGATTATTTTCATCTTGTAGATTTAAGAAGTGTAAATAAATCTTTATTATAATAGCAATGATTTTGTGAAGTTTCACTTTGATAAAATAAAAGGAAGACAAAATAATTTTGAATTATTTTCAGTCCTCTTTGTTTTTCTAACGAGGCAGCCATTTTGTCTGGATTTTCAGGGGTAGTCTGGGCTCAGGGCTCTGGACCTTATAGGGTTAATAAACGTTTGGCTTACATGAGTTTCAATGTAAAGGTGCAAAAACTTATCAGCATAATTATAGCACACAAACATTGTCATCAAACTCCTGGCATGTAGCCTGAATAAGCCAAGCAAATATGAATAAAGCATATAACGAGAAATATTTATCAAATGGTCTCGTTAAGTAAATTATACTTCACTTTGCGAAAGAAATTTATCGCTTGTATCCGTGTTACGCATCGAAAAAGCGAGGAATCATCGCATGACATTAGGTAACAGAGGTAATACTCACGAGTTTCACGAATTCCAATTCCACGATTTTTCGCCTAGTAACAAATTTAAAACTTCAATTCTTACCTTACAGTGGTCGGTTCATTTACCTTACATTTGCCAACACTAATAAACATGAACAAAACGATGAAATCCAGCACTCTTCTTTCAGAAGTAGCAAGCCGCATGAAGTAAAATCCACCGATATGCCCTGCATTCTCACTACAAATATAAACATTTGTTGCGAAGAAAATACGACGAGGAGAAAAAAATGCCAGATCTTCGCCTCGGCAATGTATTCCAGCTACCAAGCCGGCGTATCTCCAGAAGGTGGACTCGAAGTGGGACCAACCTTGTGATTTTTTTAGGAGCCCTTTGCGCGCAAACTAATTTATTCTGGGGCGAAATGAAGATCAAGAAAATGTATCTGAAATCTAATACACGACAAGAAAATTTTTGCACTTTCAAGGAGTGCGACATATTAAATGGGATTAAGTCGGATTAGCTGCCTGCGGAGAAAACATCCCTGCGTGGGATGGTACTTCCAGTAAAAAGCCTCTGTGTCCTCTCATGTCACTATTCTCAGGGCTTAACCCTAATCAGTATGGTTAGTGCTTAACCCTAATTAGTATTGTCAGTGCCTATAACCCTAATCAGTGTCGTCAGTGCTTAACCTTCATAATCACTATAGTCACAATATCGGACTGCTGGTCATTTAGTGTTTTGTAAATCTTGACCAGTTACTGGCAATATAGCCACAGTGAATAATATCACTGATTTATTTATGAAATATTGCATTTTGTGAAAATATGCTTGAAAGATATAAAATGGCTACTCCTTGCTCCAGTGAGGCTATTTTTTGTCCATATGCTGTGCCATTTTGCTGGTCTTGGTTGTGTTCTGTTTTCCAGAAACCAATCCAAATATACAGAGGTTTCGAACTTTTCTTTCATTCTTCTAATGAATTCATTATAAATGCCTTCGGTTCTCAGTCGACAAGGGTCGGCCAACTGCAAAAGTATGCATCACGTGCAAAGTTGTTTGTTTGCTAATTAGACCTTTTGTTTCTATACATAACGAGATTTGCAAATTATTGAAATTGTACTTGAAAATCAGTGTAAGAAGAAAGCACATGGTAATCCACTGCACATTCTAAATCTCCCATTCCAGCATAACCACAATTCCTTGTGAGTCTACTGTGCATCCTAAATCTTCCATTCGCACATAACCACAATTCCTTGCGAGTCCATCGCGCATCCTAAATCTTTCATTCGCACATAACCATGATTCCTTGCATTTGGCAAGAAAAAGTGATTGAATGCCCCTATAATGTAATTTTTTGCCAATGAGAGAGCTGCCTCGTTGGTTCACTTCAGGTTCACTCACTGCGACAGCAATAAAGAGGCCAATGGTCATGGACTGCCATTTCACAGGATTTAGGGCCTGTTTACATAGAGGTGGGGGACCCCAGGTAGGTGAGGTGACCTGCTTAGGTGGGGTAACCCGCCTGTCCGTATAATCTGTCATTTTAATTTGATCACGTTTACATAATAAGTGGGGTGCCCTGTAATTTAGTAACCTCACCTATCTGGGGTACCCCAACCTCCATGTAAACAGGCCCTTAGATGCATATCGCTTGTAACAGAAAATGATCTCATGTCAATATCAACAATTCAATTCAGAGCTGATGGCAAATTCCCCAGGGCCCAGTTGTTCGAAAGCCGATTAGCGCTTAACCCAGGGTTAAATTTAACGCGGGTTTCTTTTCCTTGTGTTCAAAAGCATTTTCTCGGATAATTTTCTCTGCTATTTTTAGAGCTTCCATTCATCAACTTGTAGACAAAAAAAATTAAAACTGAAATGCTTTTTGAGCTTTCAAATCTGAATTCAAATCTCACGAATAACCCTGGGTTATCTTAACCCAGCTTTGAACAACTCGGCCCAGTATGATAATTCATCAATGAAGCAGGTATTGATCCTACTAGTTAAATGGCTCTGGCTTAATTTAGTCTTTTTATGTCATAGTTATAACAGTACTAAAACATTCCTATACAGGTTCCTAAATATCTCTCCAACTTTTGGATGGAAAATACAGATGCTTCTGGAATAGTTGGTTCTCTTCAGATAACAAAGTAAGTTTTAAATATAACATGAAATCTTTTGACTGTCCCCAAATGTCCTTAAAAATTTTGATATTTTTCTCAGTCCTGATGAGCAGAAATAAAAGTGCAGAAAAAAAACTAATCTCTCACAAGTAAAAGAAAAATGGTCCTCAAAAAAGTGAAAGAAAACGTTCTGATGGGTTAAATATGTGGAAGTTTTATGGTTGAGTTAAATATGTTTCATAATAGTAACCCATCAATTAACAACTGCGTCGCTGAGTGGAGGTGGGTGCCCGGGATGTCTAGAGGCTTCCACCTATGGCACGGCCAGCTCCTAGACAGAGTTACGCCCCCAGGGCTGGCAAACCCTCGCCTTCCAGTCATTAGCCCCAACGCCAATGAAACCAGGCACCCGTCACACTGATTAACAGTGGAAGAATTAAGGGGGGGAGGAATGGGGGTAAAAGAATGATCCAAAGGCTAAACGAAGAGAATGGCCACCACGAAAACACTGAACTGAGCACATGGAGGTGATGCAAGCAAGGCTGACCGCGCTTGAGCCAAACGACCGACCGCTGACCACGCTCGCGCTCCTTGTTGTTAACTCTCTTAAATAAATATTTATTTAACCTCATTATAACCAGAAAGGTTATCTTTTATTAGTTAAAATAGTGGCTTGCTAGCTTTGTATCCCCTTAGTTGTACAAAATATAAACTGCCACTGTGACAATAACTCTTTAATTTGACTTCGTCAACAGTAATCCTCAGAGGAATGAGGTTAGTGCTTTTTACTGTGTAAGGAGTAATTTTGTTACAAATAGTTATGGTGAGTCCTGGGACTCATCTTGTGAAAAATCATGAGTCCCTGTCCATAACCAGTGAGTCCCGGTTTAAAAAAACAAGGAGTCATAAATTGAAAATGCTTGGGCCTTTATGCAACCAGACAGTTAATCTGGAGACAGATGCCAAAACTCTTTATTACAGTTTGCTGAGATTAAAATGTGGTCCTTCTATATATTTAAAGCACAAAAAAGACCAAAATAAATATGCGTCTTTAAGCAACAACCACTGAAATCACACGAACAGGATATTCTCCCAAAAAATCTTGAAATTGATCAATTGTTCTTTGTGTCCTATGGGACCCATGCCATGAATTATTTTGCGTCTTTGGGGATTTTTATGCGTCAGGGATGCAGGATGCAGAGGTAAAGAAATCACTGTGTAAGATGTGAGTCCTTTTTTCAAATACCTGCCTAAGGGGTCTAATATTTATTTATTTAACATACCCATGCAGTGCTCGACACTAACATTCTTGGACTCTAGGCAATTGACTAGTGAAAGATCATGAAACAAATCGCTAACCCATGAGGACAAGCCACTGGTGCCAAAAAAAATATCGAAGTGTTTCAAAACGTACTATTGTTTGTAGCCTATCCTAGGGGTTTAGAACTTTCATGGCTTTCATGAGATTTTGTGCCTTAAACTAAAAAGCTGTTGTTGTCATCATCATTATTCAGTAAGGAGAAGGGAGAAATCTTTCAAGTCATTTGCTTTATACTAAGTGGGTCAATGTCTGGCTAGAACATTCACATGGGTTAACTGCTAGCTTCTGTGTTAGCATGAACTTTCCTTTTTCTATGTTCTAGTAAGGTCAAAATAACATTTTGGAAGGGAGACAAAGGGAATTGAGAATCCGTCATTGTCAAGAAATTTAACTTGAATTTAATTTTGACCTAAAATATTATTCTTTAAATCATGATAATTCACTTACTTTTGATTTCATTAGGTTGTATTTAACCTATCTGATGCATTAGCAAACAAAGAAGACAAAGATCAAGATGTCAAGGTTCCAAGGGATTACAAAATGGTTTTGTCCAAAGTTGAGCAGTCCATAGGAGTGTTTTCTGAAGGTTCACCAGGTATTTTCATATTATATCTTCATAGAGAAAGAACCTGTATTCCATAGAAAATAATAATAACAATATAGTAATAAACAACAGTGAGAAAAAATGTTTTGATTGATAGATGAGATGGTCTGCTTAAGAATACCCAACAGCACTGTGTATAATTTCCTTGAATTTGATGTGTCTTAAGAGCATCTCAAAGGTTTTTTCTTTTTCCTCAATTGTAGCTTCTGCAACTGAAGAGGACGAAAAGGTCGATAAATGTGAGTTCTTGTTCATTAATCTGATAGTGGTTTGGAAGATACTTTCAATTTTAATTTTGCATAAATTCCTTAGAGTTTTACTCATTTTCGGTCACTTTATTTGTGCATAATTTCTGCTGCTGATTTTGCTCTATTCTTTATTATTAACTGATTTTTTATTATTCATTACTGTAGAGAGGTTAGGGGGGTATATTATACCACATGTACAAGTTAATACTAGTTGTAGTAGTTAACAAACTACTCTAATATTGACTAATACCATAATATTATCTTATAGACAGTAGTATTCATAGCTAAGCTGAGTTTCTGTTTTCAGCTCAACTAACTATTGAAGGAGTTGTTGTTCAAAGAGCAGACTGTCGTCCAGTTCAACCAAGTGCTGATTATTTATTACTTAAAAAGTAAGTAAAGCAACTATTAGCATTGTCTTTCTTTCTGCTCTGAGATAATTGAAGTGTGCGTGCGGGCATGGACAATACAGGAAGTGGCTACAAGTTGGAATTTTTAGTTTACTAATTTTCAATCACAGTGATGTAAAGATCAGGCTCATCTGATTTAAAGGCAATGGTGAAGAGTACTTATTGTGATTATTTCATTGATATTGAAGACATCTCCTCTCCAACTAGACTTCTTTATTTACTTACTTGATTTACTTGACAAAAGGTGGCAAACTTGAAGAATTGCTTGTCAGTTGTCTTTCTTTGTAAATCAAAAGTATCAAACTTTGTATTAAAGTTGTTAAATTATTATAAAATCAGCTCAGTTGAATGCCTTGAAAAGTGGGTAAGGATAGAGGGGCAGGAGCGTGGTAAAACAGGGGGCGGGAGAAGAAAGGGCGGGAAGCAGGATCTCTAAGATCGCAGGAAGCAGGAGAGAAATTCCAAAAGGCAAGCTTTCATTATTTGGTACTGCTTATCATCCAGTCAAAGAAACAAACCCAACAATTGTTTCTTGACTTCCATTTAACATTCTCCGAGGCTGAAAGCAAAATTTTGTTTGCAAAAAAAGTCAAGAAGCAAAAATTTGTACTCGGGATAAAAAAAAAAACAGCATTACTTCAAGTGAATGGAAACCTTTCCAAGTTGGGTACATCATAGGGCATGAATGAGATGGAATGACACATGTGCAAGTGTGTCGACTGTGTCAGTTGTGTCAGTGTCTCCTGTCTCACTAAAGGGCAGGAGAATGGGATATGGGAAGCGGGAGTTCTCATTGAAAGAACTGCACTGAAAAGTTTCAAAATTGACAACTGTGCATAGTTTGTGACAAATAATATTTTTTTCCTTTGTATTGACAGGCAGACAATTTTAAAGTCAAGTATGTCTGGACGGAAAGCCAAGCAAGTTGAGCGTGTGATTAAGTACAGGCCAGTGAGTGACCATGAGATGAATGTAAGTACTGTGCATGTGCACACAGAATTTTAGATTTTGCATTTTTAAATTGATTTCTTTAAGCGCACACCTCAGTATAGAAAATAAGCTTGAATGCTCAGAAAGATTCATATAACCAAATTTCAAATGCACTTCACCTTTATTGCCATCATCATATCATATTCAACACCTCTTTTATCCCTCAGGTTGCTGAAGTTTTCCTTTCCTCAGGGTGTCGAAATTCCTTTTAGTCTTTAACAGTGCTGTCAACTCTCGCAAATATTAAATCCAGGAGACTCCGGATTTTGGATCGTATCTCCTGGTCTCCAGATTAGAGTATGGAAATTCCCAGATAATCGCTGAAGTTTGCCATTTCTTTAGTAGACTTGACTTTTTGACAATGAAATTTCAGCTATTTTGTGTTGTTTAAGCTATTTTAATGTTAACATTGAACATTTCCACATAATCTCCAGTAATTCCCCTTGTTACAATAATATAATGTGATTGGTGAAATTAAGTAAAACAATCAGGTCAAATGTTACAGTGCTAACAACGTCTTTTTTGCGCGTTTTGTGTCATCACAAATTTGTTACAATCAGGGTCAACAAGTATTTTTGCACAAATGACATCATGTGCCGCATGTTATGACTTCATCTATCATCCTTTCCCTATCAATTCTCAATAATTATTTGAGGATGTATTGGTTTGTCAGCCCAACTTTAAAGGCATCATTTTATTTTCAGATAAAACATGAGAAGAAAAAGAAAGAAGAAGGAAAGAGGGCTCGTGAAGATGAAGATGTCGTTAAAGCCTTGCTGTTCAATGCCTTTGAAAGGCATCAGTATTACAACTTAAAGGATCTTATTAGCATTACAAAACAACCAGTGGTAAGAATTGCTTATGAAATCCTGGATGTACAGCACCCGGGGTGAGGGGGCGGGGCACTCCTTATAATGACCTATATGGAGAGGCTCCCCCCGAATGGGGCATCTTTTTCAGGCGTCAGCTATATGAAGGGGTAGGGATTTCACTTGCTGAAGTAAATGAAAGGATAGAGAAATGTGTCATTTTGATAGGTGAAAATTATGGCTTTGAAAAATTCAAGAACACTTGAAATCTGGTGTTGTCATTTATTCATACTTTGAAAGCAGTGCATTCATAACAGTTAAAAGGGATGCAAAGCTCTAAACTAGGCGTGAGAAAGGGGTACCATTTGTCAATAGAAGGTATACCAAAGGGTACTTTTTCTGTCAAAAATGGTATGTAAAGGGGTAAAAGGTTGGACTCGGGGTGGACCCTCCCTGTATAAAACTTTGTTGAGTACCTTGTGGGGCATGTACAAGTTTTCTAAGATTTGTTTGTTGACCAAGGGCAGAGGTTGGTCACCAGAGTCACCGGTTATCACTAAAGCACAGCTCTGTATGTCCAATGTTCAATGTTTAGAACCCAGTTAGATACCTCGCCTTAGGAGTCCATAATTTTCCCAATTTTTTTTTCCTGGAACTTTTTGAAAAGGGCACATATATCTTCAAGGTATTTTCTTACAAAAAGGTCGCATTTAATAACCTCCTTGAAATACGGTTACACTAAGTAACCCCTGGAAGGAAGTCACACCATATTGATAATAACTAACAATAAAATAAGAGCTTCTTAATTAAGAATTAACTGTGCCTGACTTCAGAAGTATGCAGCTATTCTGTTCAATTTATTAATCATGTGAAATCACCAGTTCTGTAATTAAACGTGGCCTGACTTTTTCATACCTCTTTTACAAAGTGCGTTTTTTAATTTTATTTTTTTGGGGTTGGGTCCTCCCCTAGATCTGCCACCACTTCATAGGATTTCACCTGCAAAATCAAAGGTTCAAGCCATGTTGCACATCATAATGGATGGTCACCCAGTAAGATTTCAACATCAGATTAATGCCTTTTTCATTGATTTCAGTGTCCTCAAGAAGGGTGTGAATGGGCCTTCACAACATCATACAAATTGAAGAGGCATGTTCGAGGCCACACTGGAGAGAAGCCATTTCTGGTAGGTTTTTTACACAGTCTTATTTGGGTTTAACAGGCATGCCATGTTCAATTTTCAAGTACTAAGGGTAAATGTAGTATATACTTGACCTCTGCTTCTGTTGTTGTGGACAGATAGGTGGGAACCAAGGAAAAGAAGGGAAGGATTTAGTCTGGGCAAAGCCCAGCCTGTGTCAGGGTCTCAGATAGTTGGGATGTTGCAAAAATATAACAAGCCAAGCAAAAATATGACGTGCATGATCTGAGGGAGGGGGTAGTGGCCCTCTCTTTCCCCAACCCCTACACAATTTTTACTGCTGTAAAACCTCACAATCTTGGAGCCTGGAACAGGCTTCCTGAAGCCTGAGGAGTCAAGAGAGTTGATTATCTTTTAAAAGCCTGGATTTAATGTGTAGGATATAAAAATGTTGCAAATTGGATGACTGGTGGACTTTTTTTATTTAACAGTGCACCCATGAAGAATGTGGCAAGTGTTTCACCACTGCTTACAACTTGAAGACACATGTCAGAGCCCACTATAGTATAGAACAGACACCCACATGTGCAGATACGAAGGCTGTGACAAGACATTTCCTACGGCACACAAGCTAAAAGTTCACGAAAGAAGACATCAAACAGAGAACAAGCTATATAAATGCGAAATGGAGGGGTGCGGTAAGGTGTTCTCTGCCAATGGGACTTTAACAGCCCAAATGAAGATTCACAATGGCGAGAGGCCGCATGCATGCCCTGTAGATGGATGTGAGAAAAGATTTACAAAGGCATCGAAGTTAAAGCTGCATTTGAGGTCACATACGGGTGAAAGGCCATTTCACTGTGAAGTACAGGTATAACTATCATATGTTTACGGTCGAATCTCTCTCTACTGTATGTCTCACTTCACCGTAGTGTATAAATGAGTGCTGACTGCAAACTGGTGGGTATAACCCTATGATAGACTAACGTTCTCTCCAGTGGGGAGTGGTAATACCCCTGTGTTCTTCCGTTATACACTCTGGCCTTATAGGCCTCTTGGGCTCAAGGTGGACTTTAAACATTTTTACCCGACATGTATTTTAGATACCGTACTCCCCTAAATTTCTCTCTTTCCTGTCTGACAGTGATTTTTGTAGAGATTTGATTCATTTCACAGTGTCTTTTTTGTTCAGGGATGTGGCTGGTCTTTCACAAGTGCTTATAAACTTAAGCGGCATATGCGGAAACACACGGGAGAGAGACCATTTATGTGCCTCCATGAAGGCTGCCTTAAATCATTCACAAGATCAAGTCATTTAAAGACCCACATGCTTGTCCATACAGGAGAAAAACCTTATGTTTGCCCTGTGGACGGTAAGGTTGTTTTCCCAAATGAAGTTTATTATGCATACCTTTTTTTGCCAATTATCTCTTTACAATAAAAAAAGATGTGCAAAAACCTTCTCTTGGAAATTGAATGGGACACAATTCTCTCCTCAAGCACTGGAGACAAAATGTTAATTTTAATTTTAAGAATTGATGCTATTCAGTCATTCATAGCCATGTACCATACTCTGAGAAATCACAATAACTTTATTTTTTTCCTAGAGACTGAAATTCAAGTCTTGCAAAATTTGAATTCCCCATTACTGCGAATTTGAGGTGCCCACCAAAACTGGATAACTTTTAAACTGTTCATGATCCCCTATTTTTCCATAAAGATAGTTGTCATTGAGTACTTATCATTACGGGTCAGGGTGGCTAGTTTGGTCCCATGTAGCGAGGGGGTGGGTGTCAGAATTTATAGTAGTATGAGGGAGGGAGGTGAGAAAAACAGAAATATGTTATTATGTTATTTATACTACTATATGAAAAATTTCTGCAATTTGATTGGCTTAGAGCAGTGGTATTTCAGCTTAATTTGAAATACCTACATGTAAAAATTACAAACCTTTTGCTGGTCATAGTATAAACAAATAATAGCATGATTTGTACGTGATATTTGGCATAAATACCACTTGTGATATTTCAAAATTGTCTCAAATTTAACTCGCCTGACGGTGCGTGAAATTACGTATAACAATTTCCAAATATCACTTGTGTTATTTATGCCAAATATCACTACAAATCATGCTATTACCGATACTAATAAAATTTACTAAAAGTTGTTCTCGCCTCTTCCCAACCATCGATCCCCTGCCCCCAAAGTAAATTTGAAATGGTACATTTGAAACTTGATTCTGACAATCTTATAGAAAAACAGCAGACTGTGAACAGTCTGGATAGTTAGCAAGAGACTATTCACATGACTTTCATTCAGGAAAGAGTTCACCCAATCTTAATATAATTTTTCTGCATTTGTTTACATGATGCTGAAACAACCTTTTGGTTCCCACACAAGTCATTCCGGTTTTCAATCCGAATGAATGAAATTCTTGTTCTGGTATGAAATTTCATTCTGGTATCATGTAAACTGAAAACGAACTTCATTCTCGATTGTAAACAGTGTCTAAATCACAAATTGTGTAGTCTGGGGTAAGTGGCACATGCGTATCTGAAGTGATGCAAAAACCATGCAAGCAAGAATAAGCCAAACCAGCGAATTTTATGATGTGAATGCATTACGAACTTCATTCTGGAATTAAACTCATTCCTGAATGAAAGTCATTCTGGTATCATATAAACAGCCCCTAAGATAGAGAAGTTTAATGTGCCTGTTTGTTTTTTTTAAGGGTGCAACAAGGCATTTACTGCAGGAAGTAGTCTTAATGTACACATGTGTAAACACACTGGTGAGAAACCATTCAAGTGTGATATTGATGGTTGTGCAAAGACCTACACCACTGCTGCTAACTTAAGGGCTCATCAAAAGCGACATGGAATGAAGGCCGTAGTGGGTAAGAACTTATACATGAAGTTGTGCCAATAAAGTTAATGCTCTCGCCTATAAAGAATGAAATCAACATTTGGACATTCAATTACCGGTACTATTCATATGGATAAAAAGAGATTTTGAAGCATGGGCAAGTTAGGGTACTTTTGGTGCTTACCTTTTGATAGAAAAACTTGAATTGGTTAGGTTGCCCAGTGCATGATGATATACACTTTCTCTGCTGCCTGCAGAAATACCTTTTCTGTTACGCTTTGAACTTAACAAAGGCATGAATAAAAAGCTTAAAGGAAAATGTAAAACAAATGGTAAGCGATATTCCATTTGGCAGCTATAACCACATGACCTCCCTTAAGTTTGTTATTGTTCTGTCTTTACCCCCTACCTTTCCTCCTTGCTCTAAATGTCCTTTATTATACTGTGGTTACATTTTCTACCTTCCTTTTTTTCCTACAGTTGATTTCAATGATGCTTCCCAAGGTGACATGCCTGCAGAGCTTGGTGTAGTTAGCTGCGGAAGCAATGCTAGTGAAACAGAACCCGAAGTCATGTACACTACCATTGGTTCTTTCCACCCAAGCAATTTTAACCTAGATGATGCTGCACGTCTTTCAGCAGTTGGTATTCATATACCCGCTTCATTGCAGCCAAACACATTGTGTGCCCTGGTAACTTCCACAGGCAACTCACTTTCCACAGGCATCCCACTTGTGTCTCCGACGACTGAACTTGCATTGGAAACAGAAAAGAAACAGTCAGAAGATGGAGAAATGAAGGAAGCAAGTATATCAGGAATTCAAGTGCCAATCTCAGTTCAACAAGAGCAATTTGTTACCGAGGACCTAGAAAATAATACAAAACTTGATGTAACGGAGTTCGTCGTGAGAAGTACTAGTGATGACACAATTTCACCTGCCGCCCAGGTAAGGACAGAGGTGGTTGGAGTGGACGGAACCAAGCTCTCTGGAAACTTTGATTTGTGTATAACCAGCATGATGAGTCATATAAGAAGTGAAGCGGGACAAGATGGAACTGGAGGACACCCTGCTGTTAAAAGTGTTGTGTCATCAGGTCGGTCTCGTAAAAGGTCCAGAACTCTTGACTTTCGAGATGTTCACCCTGAGGATCAGTTTGCGCCGCCTGCTGTTATATTTCAGGTTTGTTTGTAAGTTTCGTATGTTAAGCCATTCGCCCCTGAACCTCCCGTGTGTATCCGAGTCTCTTCTACAGCTTGTGACGTCATCAGGACAACTTTGTCATCTCACTTGTGCAGGGTGAAGAGATCTTCAAACCATATCAGAATGAACAAGATCCAGTCAAGGAGGCCGGAGAAAAGGGCAAAAAAACACGTAACGTTAACCCGAAAATTCCTCTTGTTCCACTACCCGCCGACCTTTCCTTTCATCTAATCGCAAGATCCTAAATGCTTTCCTAAATTAAAAGCTTTTCCCACCAAAATGAAGCCTTCTAAAATGCCCAGTAAAAGAAAAAAAAGTGGAGGAAGAAAAGAAGAAGAAGAGTGGAGGAGATAAATTTTGCTTTCTGCGCATACCTGAGCTTCAAAAGCTATTCTCTTGCATCTGGATCCTTGGCTTCTTAACGTGAGACATTTCATAAACCTTCATTTTGAGCTCCTGAAGTTGCATAATTATTATGCCAAAAAAAAGCGATTGTAATTTGACATCTGTTGGTTTGCAGGATGAAGTCAAGTCCTCAGACACTGAAAATGAGGCTGAAGTCTTAGTGGCTCAAATCCAGCAGTCCCCTGAGGGAATTGCCACGGTTCATATTCCCAGGGATTCGTTTCAAATCAATTTACCCCACGGACCAGTAACTGATTCAACAACAGCTCATGTACCAGAAGTGGAACATGTGGATGTCAATACATGTGGTAACCATGGTAACACCATTGAGATTCCTTTAGAATCTAGTTCAACGCTACCCGGTGCGTCTGCGCAAAGTGAAGTTATGGAAAAAGAAGGCTTATCTCCATATATGGACAATCAAAGCTCTTCAGAGCAAGACGAAGGGAACGGAGACACTTATCCAGAAAGCACAATTAATTTACAAGACCTCCGATAATATATGCATAATTCATAGCAACAACAGTTGTATACTGTAGATAATTTTTCTTTCTAGCTCCATTTAATAATTTATTTAGTAGCCTTATTTAAAGAGGTTAATTGTCGAAATTAGAAATAGCGTTGGAAAACGTCAAAAATTCATCACAAAGAATCGATTATCGACAGTCAAATTGTATCGGCTATCTTTATAGGGCGTAGCTAAAGAGAGAAGACGCTGGTCATCACCTAGCCTGCATAACAGCCTGGCAAATATATGTATTAGACTCTGAAAATTGACTGATGTCAGTCACAGAAAGTATAAAATCAAGTGCCGGTATACGGAATAATGATAATATTAAGTATCAAGTATTTCCTCACGTTATTGACAAATTTCTAAGTCAGATCTTTTTTTATGTTTGTTTTTTTAAAAAACAAAAACATAACACTACCTGCAAATGACCAAATAGCTTTTCGCGACGTTTCACCTTATCATTCGGCTTAGAGCACTTGAGTCAGTGATATAATTTTGATGGAGAAAAACAAAGACTGTAACTATAAATAGACCTGATGAAGAGAGAACTGATAAACAGCCCTTAACAACTGTTCTTATATCCATCTACCAACATGGCGGCATTTTTTAGACCTCCAGCTTTCCTGATCTGTCAATGCTGTGAGCTCTAGATGATCATATCTTTATAATGGGAAACTGTTAGAGATTAAAGTTGTAGATGAAGAAGACACATCTTAGCCAAGCCGCGTCTTATCTCAAGCGAAATGTGCAGTTTATACGGGACAGTTTCTGGGGTTTCATATACCTATATAGCATAAATACCGGAATATTCCTCCCTCTTCCTATGAATGAATTGCTTATTCTTCACTATGAACTCTTGATTCACATTATTAGGTATTAATTAGCCTGATTGTAGGCACAAAAAGGGAGGGGAGGGAGGAAAAAAAGAGACAAGGGAGGGGGTCCCAGTTGCTTTGAAGGGTGGTCTCCCGATCGAGAAAAATCAAGCGAAGTTATAAACGAAAACGAAATGACCAGCTTGGGGGAAGAGTTTGTACCAGCCGGGCCTGATGCATGTGATCACATAAATCCGCTCCACTATTCTTGTGACCCTAGAAACTAATGACCCCATGCTATGATCAATGACATCCTCAATATTGTGTTTCTCGAGGCATTTTCGTTGAACGTGAGCTTTTTATCTGTCAGTGTGATAGAAGTGATTTTTTTAACTGGCAATTTTAATCAAAAGTTTTCCTCAACTTGCTGCGCTTTTCGAATGAATGATTATTTTTGTCTACCTAAAAGTTTTTAAAGCTTGTATTCTCGCTTTTTCGCACCTTTAACTTTAGTCGTGACGAGCGAGTGCGTAACAGGATATTGTTAGTCTTCGCATATTCATTAGTTTTGTCAAATAGCTGATAGTGGTGATCAACATCACAGAGCAATCAAATGTTAGGAGTCAAAATGGTTCTTGTGCTAGCAATTCTTGAACACTAGTTTTCCTTAACTTTCTGCGCTTTTATTGTCGACCGAGAAGTTTGAAAAGTTTGTATGTTTCTTTCCCGGTACTTTTAAATTTATTCAGGGGCTAGCTTGTGGTAATTCACACGGCTATAGGCCTTTTTTCAAAAATACCATAATACTCTTTGTTGTCCCTCCAAAAGTTTGCATTAGCATTGTTTTCAATTTCTCTTAGGGCGAAAGGCCTATTGTCTACTCATTCACTAGCCAGTTTTGTATCGATTTGTTAAGTTTTAATCAAATCGGCATTTTTTTTTCTGAATGCGTCTTGTTCAAGCGTTAGTCTAATTGTTCATTGATGAACTGAGTACTGTTTTTCTCAATGTATTGTCAAGTCCCATACTTATCCACTAGTACTGTTTACAACGTTATGTAATCGAGCGAGTCGGCAAACGTTTCTTCTTTGAATGTGACCAACCTATGCTTTGATTGCCCATTGTTGAACATAGAGTACGTGCTTTTCTCACATACAGTTTCAAGAAAAGATTTATCAAAAACATTTCTCACGCTGGTTTGAATTTTAATCGAGCGACCGTATAAATGGTGACACCAATTTCAAGTTGATTTAACGGTGTTTATAAGCCAGAAACCTCCTTACCTTTCATTGCCTGCGGTACAGTGAAGATCAAACTCAGCTAGGCGATCTCTGGTCTGGAATGAAAGTCAAGAATCTCTTTTGCCTCCTCGAAAACGACAGGTTTGTTCTTAGTTGAACTTTATGTTTCTTCTGTGCGTTATTGTCGCCCGAAGTTACCTGTGAAAATGCATGGTCCCTTTGTTATGTTGGCTCGATAAATGTTGAACTGGAAGGACAAATATGTAATAAAGGTTTACGGTATAGTCAACAAGATAAACGCGAATTGCGTATGTTAGGGTCAAATAGGCCTATTTTGTTGATGCTATGTAGTTAGAATTTTTTGCTTTGATTAAAGAAGTGTTCACTTCAGTGGCTACAAATATAAAATAAACGTCAAACGTTGGACAGTTTTTTATTACTCTGACTCAGACTATATGCTTTTATATTTGATTAACTGCGACCTTATTAAGAAATGAACGATTTGAATTTAAATTATGCTTTTATGCCGCACAAACGGGATGCAAAACGTGAACCAACTGTTGGCCTTATGGCAATTTTGGCGTAAAGTGCTTAGCTTGCACCAGCAGAGAATTACAATGCTTCCCGGGACGGTTCAGGCTGACATAAGACAATAGTCGACAGAGGGGCAAGACAGGTGTGAATAAAAGTGAAGGTAACGAGAAACCAGTTAAACAAGAAAATAAGGTTAATTTGGAGTGCAATTCTTAGACGTTTTTACGGTGATATTTACAACAACAAATAACACTTTCCATTTTTTAACAGGTACTACCCGACCATAAGGAAAAGCAGAACAATTTGCCTTGCAAGGAAGTCTTCAAAATAACAATAAACGTACTGCCACGGTCCTTAACAAGGATATGCAGCCAACTCATTTGTGTGTCTGTCATTTATTCAGTATATACCAAACCTATATGGTAAGTTCATTTTTTGCACAACACAGTCGGTTAGTCGAATCTTCATGCAATTTTCCATTGTTTTGAACAGGTTATTATTTTAAATAAATTTTAAGAAGAGGTCGTTGAGGTGGAACAGAAGATCATTATTAGAAATAATAAACTACTGTTTCAATTCAGTGACCATAATGATAACCTGCTTTTCAAAAACTATGGAAAAGTACGCGCTCGGTCATTATTTTTAATAAGGTCTCGAGGCTCATCGATTAAGCTATATTTCTTTTCATGTTACATCTTTTTTCAAGAAAACTTCAAAGTGAGGTTTATGGCCTCTCTAACAATTCTGGTTTGGTATATATACCAAAAAAACTGCATGTTGTATTTAGTTATAAAATAAACCTCTCAAGGCCTGACAGACAGAAAATATCACCATCTAAAAGGAGTTTACGCTTTTAAATTTAGTAAAGAAAGGTTGGTTTCGTAAACAAAACGAAACCTTACCCACAGCTAAATTTCTCAGCGTAAACCAACTGTCCAAAATAAACACAAAAACACTAAAGATACCTCACAAAAGGTAAGTAAAAAGGTAAGTTTATTTATATTGTTTTTCTTCTTAGCCCTGGGGACTAAGTGCTCCGCCCAAGGGGGGAGAGCCCTGGGGACTAAGTGCTCCGCCCAAGGGGGGAGAGCCCTGGGGACTAAGTGCTCCGCCCAAGGGGGGAGAGCCCTGGGGACTAAGTGCTCCGCCCAAGGGGGGAGAGCCCTGGGGACTAAGTGCTCCGCCCAAGGGGGGAGAGCCCTGGGGACTAAGTGCTCCGCCCAAGGGGGGAGAGCCCTGGGGACTAAGTGCTCCGCCCAAGGGGGGAGAGCCCTGGGGACTAAGTGCTCCGCCCAAGGGGGGAGAGCCCTGGGGACTAAGTGCTCCGCCCAAGGGGGGAGAGCCCTGGGGACTAAGTGCTCCGCCCAAGGGGGGAGAGCCCTGGGGACTAAGGACTCACCTTTCCTATGGTCCCGTGGGGTTCATCTTTAGTCGCTTGCAGGAACCTATCAAATTTGATGGGTTCCTGTCGCTTGCTTCTACCTTGCGAAAAATAATGAAAAACGAAGCAGATGGCATTAGTACTTATATTTAGACTAATAGCTTTTGTAGTACTGTAATTCCTTTTTCGTGATGGAAATAAAGAATTTGGTGTTGGTGTTGTTGGGGGCGTTTTTATTGGTCTGCACTCAGTTTGCCCAGCGGGAGTCTCTTTGGTGATACACTTCAGTTTTAGTAAATGACGTATATAGTTAATTTCATTTCAAACTTGTGCCGATTTTGGCTACTTTTAACAGAAAAAAGATTTGATATTAGAGATTTTTGCTGAGAAGTAACAATTCAAATAGCTCGATGGCGTCAGAGGTTGACTGTTCTGGTGTTTCAAGAGCAGTATGGCTCGTGAAGGTAAGAGATTTATTAGTGGTTCCTTGACATCTGAACTGAACAGGTTGCATGGACTGAACTGAAATGTTTCATTTTGTCAACCTCTAGTCTAACCTCTAGCAGTTAATTTGAGTTGCAAATCACTGGTTGCCTACACATCCTACGGTGAATGATAACACTAAGACAAATAATCTACGTATTTGACGGTTACAAACTCGCTAAATCTAGCTGTATTATTAGAGCTTTTTGAACCTCGGGAGTTCTTTACAGCGGATTATCTTTCTTTATTTTAACCATGAACTTTTTGCAAGCTAGTTTTCAGCAAGTTACTGAGTTATTCTAAGGCCATCTCCTTTTTTTCTTAGCGTCGAATGCATTTCCTGATATTGGGTCGGTCGGTCGGATTGAAAAAAAAACCTAAAAAATAAATCACAAGAAATCTGGGAATAGGAAGCGTTGGTACCCTGGGACAACGTTAAAAGTTAACATTCACATAATTGGATTAACAAAATGTACAATTTACTATAAAAAATGTTCCTTTTTTTCTCTATGCTGTTACTATGATCATTTTTCACATAGATTAAAAGAATTATTCGAAGTGAAAAATGGTTTAACTACGTCATTATTTTTTTTTTTGGAAAATGCCAAACAGTTGGGTCAGTCTGATGACGCTAAACGGGGAAAAAAAAAAAAGATGGCCTAATGCCAATGCTAGATAGAAGCCGTACTCTATTACCAAATTATTGACACAGGTAAGACTTTCCCATATAGCCCCATATATTTATTATTCATACATTTTTCTACTCTGTTTATGTTAACTATTGGTGTAAAATAGTAAAACATTGACTGTAATTATGCATAATAAATGTATGGGGTTGTACAAAAATCTGACTGAAGTGCTTTTTTCATTGCCTTTGCAAATAGCGTTTTATACTATTACTAAAAATAGGTTTTGTCACCTTAGATCCCCCGCGTGACTCAGACAAACTTTGCATTCTACTCCAAGGCTTTGTATGGGAAACATACGTTTCTGACATGAAAACTGTTCATAAAATTCGCAGTTAGCGTTTTTAAAATGTTTTTTGAGCATAATTCCAATATATAAAAGGCCCTACTGCTACTGGGAGCAAAACCTGGTCCAGTAACTCAAATAAATGGTTAAAATCAGAAAATAAAGCGACTCGATCAAAGAAGGCTACTGAAATCGGATCCCTAGCTCTGTGTCTCAGGCAGAAAGCACCGCTATCGACTGAAACATGACATAACATTATTGGCTGTGTAATACTCCAAAACCGAAATTGCTAAAGAGAAAATCGAGTTGGGATGTGCTTCTCGCAGCCCTGTGACAGAATATCTAAGGTGAAAAGCACACCAATATTAGCACAAACCAGAAATTGTATAAGTTTGTTCTGTTGTTGTGCGGCCAGGTAGACCATATGAATCCGCGACGAATACTTTAGTACTTTATATCCCGTAGTAGTATAGCGTAACATAAGCACTCGAAAAAAAATTGAGCAACTTTTGCCTATAAATTTAACCAAATGCACCATTTCACGCATAGCTATGAAGCCCTGTTCTCCACACATTTTAACATAATTTTACCCACAGCAAAATTTGCTGTGGGTAAAATGACGCCGCATAAGAAATAAAAACACTCATCTGTACAGTTTTTTCCACGTTTAACGTTGTCTTGGCACGAGTTGATTATTTTCAGGATATTTATTATCGAAACCAAGGTGGATTTTGTTTCGTTTAACGATAAACATCTTAAAAGATGACGAAAATTTGTTGCCGAACGTGACTTTCCCATACTAAACTCTTACACTGGTCAGGTTTTTATGTCTGAGTCACAGCAGGGATCAGAAATTTGTGACGTTATTAGTAGAAAGCGCTATAGTAGGAGACGGACTACTTTGTTGTAACTGTATACCTAAATGGTAGAATTGCTGCCATAGGGAAGGAACAGTGAAGAAATGAAAACTTAAGGGTGAAATAATTAGTAGAAGGTGATATGAGGCTAAGACGGCTATCCAAAATCTTTGTGGTGACCTAAATTTGGAAATTATCTTTCTTTTAGTTTTTTTAAGGTGACTCCAACTTAATTATGAGCCAGTTTTGTTATTTTTCTAACGTGCTTGCGTCACGTCAGAAGTGGCTGTATAATTCTTGATTTTGGATATGTATATTATTCTCGCTTTCAGCTGAATAACTGAAATTTATTTTGAAGCTTTGATTTGGCGATGTACAAGCAAATTTTCTAACTGTGGTGTTCAGTTTTGCAAATTGTCTCTCTGTTTTCACAAAAATTGAGGGATCTCCACAAAACTTAAAATTCTTGACTTTAAGACTGTTTATTTCATTCACCAAGTTTAAGGAAATTTGTTCGACTGTGATCTGTGCTGTGCTAAGATAGGTTTGAGAAACGACAATGAAAACACAACATTAACTTTGCCTGGTAACCATGTCACGAATCAAACGCCAATTTAAACAATTTTGGAGGGCAGTTATGTTCAATTATTGATAAATATGACACATAAATTTCAGGCTCTTAGCTCTAATGCTGCTTGTGAGATTTCCTCTTAGGTACAGAAGGAAATTTGCATGGAAAATAATAAAGGCCGTGGCTATATGGCCGGTAACCGGTCAAGATTTTCAAAATACTAAGTGACCGGCAGTCCAATATTTTTTTTCAATAATTTTGAAAAATCTAAGAATGCCAGCCAGATCAAACGATCATACATTGATTTAGAAAAGACTGAGAGACGTTGTTTTTACGATCAACAAATGTTGTCAAAGTGTAAGTCTCTTCAATTTTAAAAGAAAAAAAATTCACTCGAACATGAGTGGATTAGATTTGGAACATAGGGTCTGCATACTACTACTCTAACCACTAGACTACCGTGGTTTCGCTGCAAGATTTTGATTTTTATTCAAATATTATGGTGAAAATCCCAACCTAAAATAGAAGCTAACCATTAACCCTACTCAGTATGGTTAGTGCTTAACCCTAATTAGTATTTTCAGTGCTTATAACCCTAATCAGTGTCGTCAGTGCTTAACCTTCATAATCAGTACAGTCAAAATATTGGACTGCTGGTCATTTAGTGTTTTGTAAATCTTGACCAGTTACTGGCAATACAGTGAATAATATAACTGATTTATTTATAAAGTATTGCATTTTGTGAAAATATGCTTGAAAGATATAAAATGGCTACTTGCTCCAGTGAGGCTATTTTTTGTCCATATGCTGTGCCATTTTGCTGTTATTGGTTGTGTTCTGTTTTCCAAAAACCAATCCAAATATACAGAGGTTTCGAACTTTTCTTTCATTCTTCTAATGAATTCATTATGAATGCCTTCGGTTCTCAGTCGACAAGGGTCGGCCAACTGCAAAAGTATGCATCATGTGCAAAGTTGTTTGTTTGCTAATTACACCTTTTGTTTCTATACATAACGAGATTTGCATATTATTGAAATTGTACTTGAAAATCAGTGTAAGAAGAAAGCACATGGTAATCCACTGCACATTCTAAATCTCCCATTCCAGCATAACCACAATTCCTTGCGAGTTTACTGTGCATCCTAAATCTTCCATTCGCACATAACCACAATTCCTTGCGAGTCCATCGCGCATCCTAAATCTTTCATTCGCACCTAACCATGATTCCTTGCATTTTTGGCGAGAGAAAGTGATTGAATGCCCCTATAATGTAATTTTTTGCCAATGAGAGAGCTGCCTCGTCGGTTCACTTCAGGTTCACTCACTGCGGCAGCAATAAAGAGGCCAATGGCCATGGACTGCCATTTAACAGGATTTAGGGCCTGTTTACATAGAGGTGGGGGACCCCAGGTAGGTGAGGTGACCCACTTAGGTGGGGTAACCCACCTGTCCGTATAATCTCTCATTTTAATTTGATCATGTTTATATAATAGGTGGGGTGACCCACTACAAGTTAACTCACGTATCTGGCGTACACAACCTCCATGTAAACAGGCCCTTAGATGCATATTGCTTGTAACAGAAAATGATCGCATGTTAATATCAACAATTCAATTCAGAGCTGATGGCAAATTCCCAGGGCCCAGTTGTTCGAAAGCCGATTAGCACTTAACCCGGGGTTAAATTTAACCTGGGTTTCTTTTCCTTGTGTTCAAAAGCATTTTCTCGGATAATTTTCTCTGCTATTTTTAGAGCTTCCATTCATCAACTTGCAGGCAAAAATCATTAAAACTGAAATGCTTTTTGAGCTTTCAAATCTGAATTCAAATCTCACGAATAACCCTGGGTTATCTTAACCCAGCTTTGAACAACTCAGTATGATAATTCATCAATGAAGCAGGTGTTGATCCTACTAGTTAAATGGCTCTGGCTTAATTTAGTCTTTTTATGTCATAGTTATAACAGTACTAAAACATTCCTATACAGGTTCCTAAATATCTCTCTAACATTTGGATGGAAAATACAGATGCTTCTGGAATAGTTGGTTCTCTTCAGATAACAAAGTAAGTTTTAAATATAACATGAAATCTTTTGACTGTCCCCAAATGTCCTTAAAAATTTTGATATTTTTCTCAGTCCTGATGAGCAGAAATAAAAGTGCAGAAAAAACAAATCTCTCACAAGTAAAAGAAATTAATGGTCCTCAAAAAAGTGAAAGAAAACTTTTTGATGGGTTAAATATGTGGAAGTTTTATGGTTGAGTTAAATATGTTTCATAATAGTAACCCATCAATATAACCAGAAAGGTTATCTTTTATTAGTTAAAATATTGGCTTGCTAGCTTTGTATCCCCTTAGTTGTACAAAATATAAACTGCCACTGTGACACTAACTCTTTACTTTAATTTCGTCAACAGTAATCCTCAGAGGAATGAGGTTAGTGCTTTTTACTGCTGTAAGGAGTGATTTTGTTACAATTAGTTATGGACAATGTTGAGTCCTGGGACTCATCTTGTGAAAAATCATGAGTCCCTGTCCATAACCAATGAGTCCCAGTTCAAAAAAACAAGGAGTTCTAAATTGAAAATGCTTGAGCCTTTTTGACCAGACAGTTAATCTGGAGACAGATGCCAAAACTCTTTATTACAGTTTGCTGAGATTAAAATGTAGTCCTTCTATATATTTAAAGCACAAAAAAGACTAAAATAAATATGCATCTTTAAGCAACAACCACTGAAATCACACGAACAGGATATTCTCCCAAAAAATCTTGAAATTGATTGATTGTTCTTTGTGTCCTATGGGACGCATGCCATGAATTATTTTGCATCTTTGGGGATTTTTATGCGTCAGGGATGTAGGATTTAGAGGTGACAAAATCACTGTGTAAGATGTGAGTCCTTTTGTCAAATACCTGCCTAAGGGGTCTAATGTTTATTTATTACACATACCTATTAGTGCTCGACACTAACATTCTTGGACACTAGGCAATTGGCTAGTGAGTGATCATGAAACAAATCACTAGCAGGTATGAGGACAAGCCACTGGTGCCAAAAAAAAAATCGAAGTGTTTCAAAATGTACTACTGTTTGTAGCCTATCCTAGGGGTTTAGAACTTTCATGGCTTTCATGAGATTTTGTGCCTTAAACTAAAAAGCTGCTTTTGTCATCATCATTATTCAGTAAGGATCAAGCGAGAAGTCTTTCAAGTCATTTGCTTTATACTAAGTGGGTCAATGTCTGGCTAGAACATTCACATATGTTAACTGCTAGCGTCTGTGTAATTAGCTTGAACTTTCCTTTATCTAATGTTGTAGGTCAAAATTAAATTATGGGCTGGGAGATAAAGTGAATTGAGAATCCCTCATTGTCAAGAAATTTAACTTGAATTTAATTTTGACCTAAAATATCATTCTTTAAATCATGATAATTCACTTACTTTTGATTTCATTAGGTTGTATTTAACCTATCTGATGCATTAGCAAACAAAGAAGACAAAGATCAAGATGTCAAGGTTCCAAGGGATTACAAAATGGTTCTGTCCAAAGTTGAGCAGTCCATAGGAGTGTTTTCTGAAGGCTCACCAGGTATTTTAATATTATATCTTCACAGAGAAAGAACCTGTTTTCCATAAAAAAGAATAATAACAATAATAATAAACTATAGTGAGAAAAAATGTTTTGATGGATGGATGAGATGGTTCTGCTTAAGAATACTCAACAGAACTGTGCATTCCTTGAATTTGCTGTGTCTTAATCTTGATCATCTCAAAGGTTTTTTCTTTTTCCTCAATTGTAGCTTCTGCGACTGAAGAGGAAGAAAAGGGTGATAAATGTGAGTTCTTGTTAATTAATCTGATAGTGGTTTGGAAGATGCTTTCAATTTAAATTTTGCATAAATTCCTTAGAGTTTTACTCATTTTCTGTCACTTTATTTGTACATTCCACTGCTGATTTTGCTCCATTCTCCACTTTGACTGATTTTATTATTCATTACTGTAGAGGCGGGGGTTAGGGGGGTACATTATACCACATGTGCAAGTTAACGCTAGTTGTACATAGTAACAAACTACTGTAATATTGACTAATATCATAATGTTATCTTATAGTATTCATAGCTAAGCTGAGTTTCTGTTTTCAGCTCAACTAACTATTGAAGGAGTTGTTGTTCAAAGAGCAGACTGTCGTCCAGTTCAACCAAATGCTGATTATTTATTACTTAAAAAGTAAGTAAAGCGACTATTAGGATTGCTTTTCTTTCTGCTCTGAGATAATTGAAGTGTGCGTGCGGACATGGACAATACAGGAAGTGGCTACAAGTTGGCATTTTTTGTTTACTTATTTTCAATCACAGTGATGTAAAGACCAGGTTCATTTAATACCTGATTTAAAAGCAATGGTGAAGAGTACTTATTGTGATTATTTCATTGATATTCAAGACATCTCCTCTCCAACTAGACGTCTTTATTTACTTACTTGATTTAGGGAAAGTTCATTTAATATGACAAGGGGGGGGGATGAAGATATTGAGGGGGGGCTCCGAAAATTTTTAGACACCGAAGGGGGGGCTCTGAAAAAATTGTTGCGCTAGGAGGGCCGAAAATTTGTATACTTCAAAACCAACACATGACATCATCATACAGATCGGATGGTTTTCAACTCAACAATTTAATGACCTGTGCAACTCAGCTTTATCACGTGGTTTACAGATATAACAAATGTAGTCTCAGTAATTATTACACTCTTGTTCATCCCAAAAATGCTTTTAGAAAATTGTATCACAACTGTATCTCAAGTTTGTCATAGTATAAACCATTGAAGACAATAACGGTAAATATATTTAATACAGTCTAGCGATCTTTTTCAGGGGAGCAAAGGAATTGAAGGAGGAGGGGGGGGGGTCTGAAATTTTTTTCGACTACCAAGGAGGGGGCTCCTAAAAAATTGAACCGCTAGCGAGGGGGGCTGCTAAAATTTCAAGCTTCGAGTTTCAATATCTTCATCCCCCCCCTTGTCATATTAAATGAACTTTCCCTTACTTGACAAAAAGTGGCAAACTTGAAGAATTGCTTGTCAGTTGTCTTTCTTTGTAAATCAAAAGTATCAAACTTTGTATTAAAGTTGTTAAATTATTATAAAATCAACTTAGTTGAATGCCTTGAAAAGTGGGGAGGGACAGGGGGGCGGGAGCCCGGGAAAACAGGGGTTGGGAGGGCACGGGAGACGGGAGAAAAAAGGGCGGAAAGAGGGATCTCTAAGATGGTGGGAAGCGGGAGAGAAATTCAAAAAGGCAAGCTTTCGTTATTTGTTACTGCTTATCATCCAGTCCAAGAAACGAACCCAACGACGTTTCTTGACTTCCATTTAACATTATCCGAGGCTTAAAGCAAAATTTTGTTTGAAAACAAAAAGTCAATAAAAAAAACAGCAAAAAGTTGCTTACATCATAGGTCATAAAAAAAAAAAACATGAGCAAGCGTGTCAACTGTGTCAATTGTGTCAGTGTCTCCTTTCTGTCTGCTTAAAGGGGCATCATAGGGGACATGAATGAGGTGGAATGAGACATGGGTGCAAGTGGGAGGTTGTGACCACCCTCCCTCCTCACTGAAAACTGTGGCAACAATTCTCTTGAATTTCATTTGGGTTGCTTCATCTCCTTCCAAACTGGAAACTATGCCAGTTATGTTCATGAGATAAAAAGTATTTCTGAAACTAGTTCTTATTGAAAGAACTGCACTGAAAAGTTTCAAAATTGACAACTGTGCATAGTTTGTGACAAATTATAGTTTTTCCTTTGTATTGACAGGCGGACAATTTTAAAGTCAAGTATGTCTGGACGGAAAGCCAAGCAAGTTGAGCGTGTGATTAAGTACAGGCCAGTGAGTGACCATGAGATGAATGTAAGTACTTTGCATGTGCACACAAAATTTTAGATTTTGCATTTTTAAATGGATTTCTTTAAGCACACACCTTGGTATAGAAAATAAGCTTGAAAACTCAGAAAGATTCATATAACCAAATTTCAAATGCACTTCACCTCTATTGCCATCATCATATCATATTCAACACCTCTTTTATCCCTCAGGTTGTTGAAGTTTTCCTTTCCTCAGAGTGTTGAAATTCCTTTTAGTCTTTAACAGTGCTGTCAACTCTCACAAATATTAAATTCGGGAGACTCCAGATTTTGGATCGTATCTCCCAGTCTCCAGATTAGAGTATGGAAACTCCTAGATAATTGCTGAAGTTTGCCATTTCTTTAGTAGACTTGACTTTTTGACAATAAAATTTCAGCTATTTTGTGTTGTTTAAGCTATTTTAATGTTAACATTGAACATTTCCCCATAAACTCCAGTATGCCCCTGTTACAATATTATAATGTGATTGGTGAAATTAAGTAAAACAATCAGGTCAAATGTTACAATGCTAACAATGTCTTTTTTGTGCGTTTTGTGTCATCGCAAATTTGTGACAATCAGGGTCAACAAGTATTTTTGCACAAATGACATCATGTGCCGCATGTTATGGCTTCATCTATCATCCTTTCCCTATCAATTCTCAATAATTATTTGAGGATGTATTGGTTTGTCAGCCCAACTTTAAAGGCATCATTTTGTTTTCAGATAAAACATGAGAAGAAAAAGAAAGAAGAAGGAAAGAGGGCTCGTGAAGATGAAGATGTCGTTAAAGCCTTGTTGTTCAATGCCTTTGAAAGGCATCAGTATTACAACTTAAAGGACCTTATTAGCATTACAAAACAACCAGTGGTAAGAATTGCTTATGAAATCCTGGATGTACAGCACCCGGGGTGAGGGGGCGGGGCACTCCTTATAATGGCCTATGCAGAGAGGCTCCCCCTGAATAAGGGGTAGGGATTTCACTTGCTGAAGTAAATGAAAGGATAGAGAAATGTGTCATTTTGATAGGTGAAAATTATGGCTTTGAAAAATTCAAGAACACTTGAAATCTGGTGTTGTCATTTATTCATATTTTGAAAGCAGTGCATTCATTGCAGTTAAAAGGGATGCAAAGTTCTAAACTAGGCGTGAGAAAGGGGTACCATTTGTCAATAGAAGGTATACCAAAGGGTACTTTTTCTGTCAAAAATGGTATGTAAAGGGGTAAAAGGTTGGACTTGGGGTGGACCCTCCCTGTATAAAACTTTGTTGAGTACCCTGTGGGGCATGTACAAGTTTTCTAAGATTTACTTGTTGACCAAGGGCAGAGGTTGGTCGCATCAGTCACCGGTTATCATCAAAGCACAGCTCTGTATGTGCAATGTTTAATGTTTAGAACCCAGTTAGATACCTCACCTTAGGAGTCCATAATTTTCCCAAAGGCCTAAAACATGCATTTTATGGCTTTGAAAAAATCGGGAACACTTCCTGGTTTTGTCTTTTTTTTGTATTTTAAAGACAGTGCATTTATAAGTTAAAAGAGATGCACTGTTCTAAACTAGGCATGAGGAAGGGGTACCATTTGTCAATAGAAGGTACTGTATTTATTCTAATAAGCTTCAATCTCGAATTAGCACCCACCCCGAATAAACACCCATCCTAAAGGCAGAAGAAGTTAAAAGCACCCACCCACACCCCACCCCCTTTCCCTCCCACCCCCAAAAATTGAATAAGTAATAATAAGAGACTTTTCGAAGACGGAGTTTTTGTCAGAGTATTTACAGAAACCTTGATTTGTTACATCTTCCCTTTTTGTTATTACTACTTGTTTTGTTGCAAAATAAACATAATACACTTGCTGAAAATGTTGAATAAGTGCCCACCTTGAATAAGCGCCCGCTCTTAAGGTCCAAAAATAAAATAAGTGCTCAGGGCAGTTAATCGAATAAATATGGTATACGAATGGGTACTTTTCTGTCAAAAATGGTATGTAAAAGGGTAAAAGGTTGGACTCAGGGTGGACCCTCCCTGTATAAAACTTTGTTGAGTATCCTGAAGGGCATGTACACGTTTTCTAAGATGTACTTATTGTCCAAGGGTAGAGGTTGGTCGCCACAGTCACCGGTTATGACTAAAGCACAGCTCTGTATGTGCAATGTTCAATGTTTAGAACTTTTCAGATGAGCTGAATCTTTAGATTGAATTTAAACAAATGCTTTTAGAAATAATCTTGATTGATTTGTTCTTGCATATATCTAACTATTTCACTTGAAAGTGAACATTTTCTTGGTAGTTTCTTGGGCTTGCGAATGGTGGCCATCACCAAATGACGTAGAAGACACATAGCCTGTGTAACAGGCGTTAAAAGGGGAAGGGGGAGGGGAAGGGGGAATTTGGGCACGCGAGAGCTAGAAGACACTGAGCAATACCCACCACTCAACTCAAAAGGGAACCAACAATGGTTTCTGAAATACCAAGAAAAACCCATTTTGTTTGTTTAATAATCTTTTTCTTTTCATTGCTTTAGGCATACCTGAAATGTATTTTGAAGGAAATAGGACGTTATAATACAAAGAACCCTCACAAGAACATGTGGGAGTTAAAACCAGAATACAGACATTACAGCAATAAGAACAGTAGCGAGGAGGGAGGAGAGGGGACAAGCTCCTGAACACCTGAGCCATATTGCAAGAGGACTGGGACCAAGCTGGCCTTTATACATGTTTATTACATTGTATCGTAGTTGAGGAATGTGAAATATCGTGCAATATTCAGAAATTTCTTCAGGAATGTGAGAGTCATCATGCACGCTGGTTGTTTTATAGTCAGACAGATGAACAAGTATGAATTGCAAATATATGGTTCCAAATGTTAGATTACCTTAAAACTGAATAAAATAATATAACCCCATTATGGGAACTTTGTCGCTTACTATGTGTTTTAGCGAGAGAGTATACTCAGGCTGAAGTACTGGCACTCCTCTTGCAACTATTAAAAGCAAGAGAGGTTCACACAAAACAAAGTACAGTCAAGATCTTTGTACTGTCACCTTTGTTGTAAGTCAACTTTTAGTTCAGTTTTGGCCCCTCTCTCGCCCCCTCCTTGTCACGCAGTTGGAATAACGGGGTGGCCAGCAGAATCATCTGCAAAATGTTTCTTAAGAGAAGGCTACTGTGCTGCCTCATACCCAGATGGCTCCCTTTCGATGCGCGCAAAGGAAAGTGGGAAGGCGAAAACCTTCCGTTTAAATAGTCCCTTGCGCTTTGTCACCAGTCACGCGCGTTTCGCGCTCGCCTCCTCTATGCCATAAACAAGGCGTTTTAGTACCACTACGGCCAAGGCCACGAAAACGTCAATTAAAAAGTGGATTTGCGTTCGTTCAATCTCTATCGCGATTACTCCAACTCATTTACTATGTCGAATTCAAGCGAACTCTTTTTGAGCCGCATTCCCAAGAACCACATTCAAGAATAGAAAGAGAAAGAAAATTCAGCCGTCGCTTGTTTACGTCCTCCATAAAACGTGACACTAGCCATTTTCCCGTCATAGCCGTCCAGTGACGGCAAAGAAATGTACGAAAAAGCGTGATGGACGTGAAGAGGTGTTGTTTTGCCTATTCGACCTAAAGTCCCTAACGACGCGCTTGTGGAGGATCTTCGGCCTCGTGCGTTGTTTTCCACTTGAATGCGAGGCCGTTCCCATGCGTCATCATTCCTTACACCAGACCACGTGAACTGGCTAAGCTCAGCAAGGACCGCCATTTTGTTTCTTGGAGCTTGCTGGCAGGGAGAAACAGAAGTTAGTAGAAGCTTGCAAACACGACGAAGGTCCATTTGAAGAATGTCTTGGCAAACTTACGTCGATACTAACCTTGTAGGTACAGGAAAAGTCCAAAAAGCAGCTATATTTGGCTTAGACGGATCACAATGGGCAACTAGCGCTGGGTTCACTGTAAGTGCCATTTGTAATGCACTTGGCGCTAGTTCTTTGTTTCTGTAAATTAAACTTGTAATTATTTTTCAACCCGCTACAGCTTACTTGGTTGTCTTATAGCTTGTATACGATTTTTTGATAGGTATCTAAACAGGAAGCGCAGGACGTCATAAAGAGCTTGAAGGATGGCAGTGTCGCCGGCAAGTCCATCGCGGGAACCAAATATATGATGCTGCGAAACGACCCAGAAAAGAAAGCGGCATACTTGAAAATGAAAGAAAAGGGTGGCTTTTGTGCGTGTCTCACCAACAAAGCTCTGGTTTTGGGTGGTTATGATGAAGGCGCAGGAGGAGCTGGGAATTGCAACCAAGTCGTGGAAACCTTAGCAGAATACCTCGTCAGTTCAGGATTTTGACTTTTCAAAGCATTTGGTATGCTGTAAGAACATGAAATAAGCTTAATAAAAATTTTGGGTGCACATTTGATTCAGTTAACCGTGTACACGTCTATATTTTAGCTTTAAAAGTTTGACAAAGTTTGTAGTTTTCGTCTCTAGAAGCACTGGAAGTATCGCGATAGCAAGAAAAGTACTGCTTTATCGAATCACTGATTTTGTTGAAACTTCGGCAGTTATTTTTCTAAAACAATAAAAGTTATACTGTTTTTGGCTTGTGATCTGTGGAAGTCTTTTGACAAAACAGAAACTGGAGTGTTAATAAAACGTGATTAAAAAATAACAGGACTTGTATTGTTATTTGATTGAAGGACCCAGTATTCCTTAAAGTGTACGATTAAGATCATCATGCAAAATATGAATAGTCTTGCCTGGCCAGTGGCAAAGGCTGAACCCTGGAAGTGTGCATAATCATTTACAGTTAAGCACTAAAACAATTACACCTTGACCTACTCTTTTCCGTATTATAGGCCTAACAAAAAGATCAGAATTGAAAAAGTGCATGCCGAAGTAAGTGACATGGCAAAGTTTAATGCTAATGCTGCTCAGTAAATGAAAAATTTCTCAATTATGTCATGGCACAAGATACTGGAGAATATGCCCATGCGCTGCAGGTTTGGTTACGTTGCCAATCTGAATATGCTCTTTTCAATGGTTATAGCAAATAAATGAAAATATTAAAAAATTATCTAAACACTTTTAAAATGAGGTTCAGATATTATGTGCACTCTGATTGGCTGAAAAAGCGTGCTTTACAGAATATAGCACCACAGGACAGTGTCACACCACGGAGCTTAAGCTGTTACACCATCAATTGTTTGTTTTAAGATTAGGAAGTAATGGGTGGGGAATTTACCAGAGTCTTTATCATAAATCAAATAAAGAAGCCTTGGCTTTGCTCTGTTATGTTGTAAAGCACTTAAGAAGGGCACTCAGAAAGCAGGGGGGAACACGAGACACAACAGAACAGAGTACCGTCAAGGATACTTTACTTGCTACACAAAGGATTGTCACCATTGAGCACCAACAACAAATCAATTCCATACATTTATTTAGATGACACAATAACAATGGCAGTAATTGTCACTGCAAGAAACAGTTTGCATACTATACTAAATTTTCAGTTTTTTTCAGAACTGCTACCACAAAGTCCACAGAACTTGCCCAAAAAGTCAAAAATCAGCTAGCTGGGTTAAAGACTAATATACCTTGAAAAATCTTAATAAAATTCACTCTCACCAACTGGGTGAAAAAGGATGAGGAGGTTGTTGACTAAGTACAGAGGCTTCCTTAGAGTCACAGTGTATTTAAGTAACCAATGCTTTTTATTTAACAAACAAAAAAGGTGCTCACGTGCTCATACTTCATGTTCTAGCAACCCTCCCACTCAAGGCCTGATGTAACAGACTTTTTGGAAAGCTATGGATTGTCTTCTGGGTGTCTGGCTTAGAGGAAATCCATTAACTCTTAAATGTGGTAAAACATCTTGGGCCCCTCATTTTACGTAGGAATTTTTTCAACCAAAAGTGGCAGTTTGAGCAGGACCATGTTTAAAATAGTTAACATAAAAATGTGTTCATTTTTCTCAAAAAAATTTATAGTAATTTTACAAATAATAATCTTTCTCACCCAAACAAAACTCTGCAGATTCTTTTTATTAGTTTGTATTAGTCTTTGTATCAGTAATAACAATAATAATTTTAATTACTATTATTATTATTATTATTTTACTTTTCAGACATTTTTTAGCAATGTTGTTTAGTCTCATAGAGCAGTTAGATTCCTCTAAGGGTTGGTTAGCTATATTATGCACCCTATGTGGTTAATGGTCCCCTTCCTTAAGTTTTATCCTGCAGACAATAATAATGGTCATAAATAGTAAAATAAAAACAATTGGCAATTATTGGATAAGGCTGAGTGTGATCTAAAGAATTATCCATAACACCCTCCTCAATCTCCATAATTTTTCACATCATACTCAGCCTTTTCCAACAATTTATTGCTAAACATTCACACACCATCTTAAACAGCTAGTAATTCTGCGGGTTTCTGAACATATACTTTTGACTATTTTTAGACATTCCTTACTCTAGGTCCATTTAGCAATCAGACCTAGTCTAACTGTTCTGTGAACATATCTCACAATACTTTCAATAATTTAATTATAATTATTATTAATCATTAATTCAAGAGCATTAATATACGCAAGTCTGAATTATAGAAAAGACTGATAGTAGTAGCAAACAACAGACATTTAATAACTTCTGTTAGAGAAAATACAATGCAACGTAAGAAAAAAGACACCTTATCTACAGTGATAAAACAAAGTGTTTAACATAATAATAACAGAGCTGTACCTAACAGGCCACGTAAATCATATAGATATGACAAACAAAAACCTTTCCCACCACGACTCTGTTATTGCATACTCTTTGTAGTCTTTGAATGATTTCCTGTGGAATGAATGAAACCTCTATGGACTTTCCAGATACTTTTCCCAGAGAAAAGGTTACAACACTCATGATCCATTAAAGCACTGGGCACAATCACAATTTTGACTTCTTGACACAAAATAGCAACGCTCAAAAAAGACCAAGGCCTGCTAGAAAAGACAGAAAAAAAGGAGAGGAATAGAAAGCTAAGGTAGGTAAAGAGAGGACCTGCCACTTTCTCTCTGTTGTTCCTATCACTTTCCTCCCTTTTCCCTTTCATACTTTCCTCACCACACCAACCCCCACCCCCTTTTTTTTTGCACTTGTCAGGTAAGCAAGATTATTTTTTGTCCTTCTTAATCAGTCTCCTCCTTTTGGTTACCTAAGGCCTGGTTCAAACACCTTACTTTTCATGTGCTGAACTTAATTAAGTTCGACAAAAGGTTGACTGACACTGTCAAACTCAACTCTTTTGCCGCACCAAACTAAAACTGCTGTAACAAATCGAGTTGCCGCTCTTTTGCCATACTTAAATCACATGAGGTTCGGCACATGAGTGGAGCGGCGTCTGGAACTGGGCTTAAGAATAGCCTGTACTGTAGGTGAGGCTGAATATCTTGTAGTATAAATGGCTTACAGTGCCACTACTCGAACTGGGGCGCTTGGAAGAAGATTATCCAATCATAACGGTTTTTGAAAAAAAAAGGGGGTTTTAAGTTTTTTGGTAAACGGAACAATAAAATTCATGAACTTGAGGGCTGTTTCCTGAGAGGTCAGGTTAGTTCAAACGGTTTTAAAGTTTTCAACGGTTGAATGGTTGAACCTTGAATATTATTGGTCCACTTGCAAAAAAAACTTGAGAATCTTTTGTTTTCAAAAAAATGTTGTGAGTTCGGGGTAAAAATTCTTCTCCTAAGTGCCCCGGTTTGAGTAGTTGCACTAAAAAAAATGTTAAATTAATGTTGCAGTACATTTTGCGACTACCAGAAGAAATACATGAAAAAGAAAAGAAATTTGAGAGCTTAAAAGAGTATCCACAATGGCACTGAAGTGAGAATGATATATAGTAAAAGCAATTTTAACACTTTTAGTATGCATTTTATACTGTCATATTTCTTATTTACATACAACTTACCCAATCTTAAATGAAATTTAACATGAAATTTGGATGCTCACTTTTACTTTTTTGTTCTGTCTACGAGCTTGAAAGTTATATTTTCAGTCTACGGTTCCAGCGCTTCATAAATACGCCATTAAAAATATTATAGCCAAGCACTTTAAAAACTTGGCCAAGAGGAAAATTTCTCTAGCAAAAATGAGTCTAACTTGCATGAGAATAAGACATTTCGGTATCAGAGACTTTCTACTTAACCCTGTATTAATACTCTAAAACATAGCTTAAGCCTTTAAGCCCCAATATCCACATACAAATTCTCCAAACTGATCTCTATATATTTTCTTAAAGAATGAGTTGAGAGAATTTGATAAAAGATCAAAGCATTTTCTCTTAGGTGATCATTTTATTAATTCTCATAACCTAGTCTCTTGACAATGTACGGATATCATTGGGAGAAAATTGATTTTGTCACTATTGGGACTTAAAGGGTTAAGGCAACTTGGAAAGGACCTATTCAGTCACACACTACCACAGAAAATTTCAAGAAATTTGACAACAAAGCAGTTACAAAGTTCTAAATTATTACTACATCTTGTGAGGTTTGGGTTCCCTACCATATAAATTTTAGTTTTGCTTCTGACACTGTGTTCACTCAAGGGCAGAAAATCTCCCTTAGAGTGACAATAATAACAAACTCTTACACACAAGTTTAAATAACGTGTGTCGCACCTTAGGTAACCTATATTATGGAATCATGAATGTGTATAATTTGGAACGAATTGTAGACTTCAAACAATGTCTTCAAACTATTACAACTAAAACACGTGGTTTATAATAGTTTTATAATAGCGAGACTCAATGTTGTGGAACTGTGTAATTTTGCTTCAAAATAATCAATTTCACTTTTTAGCTGAAAGGTTATAATCAATTACCCTTTCAGCACTTGAAATCATAAACTAATATCCACACTAACATTAATGATAATGATTAAAAAAACAAGTCGCAGCTCTTACTGAAGCCTGCAACAAGGATAAGTAGAATAAAAGAAGACTAGAAATTGTATAAATAATAATTTAACAATATTTTTATTTAACTTGAATTCTCTTAATCTAAACGTCAAATGCAAAGCTACAAAGCTAGTTCATTACAAGGATATAATTCATCACCGTGACTAAACTACATCTAGACTTTGTTGAAGGGAATCAAATGGTCAAGTCTTTAAATGTGGTCAAACTGTAAAAGGACAAGTCACTTTCCCCAAACTAAGAAATTCAAATGAGCATTTGACTAAACTGTCAAGGAGTTTGATGCTACACTGGCAGAAGTTGAGCCAATAAGAGGAGTTGTTTCATCAGCGTCATGAGTTGTCTCTCCTGAACCTGACTCTACATCATTTCTATCTCTTCTGTTACGTGCTCGCGATCTCCTGTCATTTGATACAGGTCTCTTACAGACTGGGCAAGTCCGCTTTCCTTCAGTCAACCAAGGATCTACACACTTGCAGTGGTAAGCTTTGAAAAAACAGGTGAGCAGTGAGGAAAGATGGTAAAGTATAAAAATCAGGGCCCAATTGTTTGCAACCCAATTAGGGCTAAGCCGGGGTTTTATGTTAATCTGGGTTTATTTCTATCTTGTTCAAAAGCAGTTTTTTGGATCGCTTTCTCTATATCTCTTTCCAGCATTGAATCATCAAAATTTAATTGTACAAAACAAAAAAGAATTTTTTTAACCTTTCTTATTCACCAATTTCACACTAACTCTAGGTTAACATCTCAAATACTGTTTTTTCCAACATATGGGTGAAAAACGGATAGATTCTTCACCTACCATGCTCACAAGGAAGTATTCGCAACCTTTCTCCATCTTTATATTCCTCCAAACATATGGCACACACATCATAATAATCATCACCTGAAACAGAATCAAAACAAAAATGTCACTGGATAATCAATATCAGAGCCCTGTGGAAAAAAAGGTTCTCTAGCAAGTGCACATGATAACAGTTTTGTTTTGTGTCTGCTGTGCGATTGTGATGTTTTAAGGAAAACGTAATATGTAACCAAATACATACATAATTATTTAAGATAGATTCAAATTTAAACAAACAATTATTACTGCACCTATGCAAAGCCAGGGTGCAAAGAAAGTCAGTTTTACAGCCTGCCATTCGGGCAAGCTCTAGCTAGCATGTACTAGCCCGCAAGTCATTTCAGCTAGCCCCAAAACCCTTTTTGATTAGCAGGATTGATTATAATCCTTCTATAATCTGAATTTCCCAAAAAGCAGTACTTGCCTGTCGGGCAAGTTTAGAACAAAAATCGCTTGCCCGATAGCAAAACCCACTAGCCCCGGGCTATCAGACACGACTTTCTTTGCACGCTGAAAGCTGTAATAGTTACTGTATTACATACCAGCCATTTGAAATAAAGCAATGGTAAAATTGTATAGTAATGAAACCTTTTAGAACACACTCACCTTTCTTAAACTTTTTTGTAGGAATCTTTCTGAGATTTGTTGGTGAAAGCCTACTACGCCGCTGTTCTAAGTAATGTCTGTAGTAGCGACTTATCTGTATTTGGGAAAGGAAATTACATAAGACAATTTTAAATTAGCTTACTTCACTAATGACTCTAGCCCAACTCACCTACCATCTGTTTAAATTGGCCCGTGGTCTGCCTTCTCCCAGTGCAGGTTTATTATTAACACTATTATTATGTTCAATTTGAATCATTCATATTAGACACTTTTTATACTGACAAGCCCCACTAGAAGTTTCTGCTATGAACAGCAGTACCCTCACACCTCTTTAAAACCTTGAATTTCATTGGACCCCTGTAGGTCGCAGCTCTTTTATTTTAGGGCTACTGTAGGATCCTTTGTTCCCTTTGCTCATTCATCGTTTTTGCAATCAATCCTGTGAAGCCTTGTTACGGCTGCTAGGCTTGGGGGGGGGGTGCAGGATTTTTCTTAGCAGGGAGTGCACCACTAAGGAATGCGGTAACTGACTGGTGACGTAAACAAATTTTAAAAGCGAATAATAAGAAGAAGCTTTTGACTAGGTAATAACATAATGTGAACTGCCAAGAATACATATCAAACGATACAGCGGATTTTTTTGCCGAATTATACCACTTGTATTAGAAAGCCATAGGTCATTTTGGGGGGGGGGGGCATCCCCTAGATCCCACCCCTGGGAGGCAACTCATGAATAGTGAAAGGGGCACATACTGGTAACCTCTTACTAATCCGTTAAGCCCCAAGATCCACATACAAACTCTTCCGTCTGATCTCCATACATTTCCTTGTATAACTAGTCGAGAGAATTTGATAAAAGATCAAAGCCTTTTCCCTTTGGTGATCATTTTGATTCTAATGAAAGGCATTTTTTGATCTTGCCTTCTGAAACATGCTTGTTTATTCACAAGGAAACTGTGCACTTACATGCTCCAGCTAGTTTACAGACAGCCCAAAAAAGCAAATAATCCAGATAGAACATAACAGGATTAAAAACACCTGACTGGCAGAAGGTAAATATATAGTTGGCTATACACAAGAATGGCTGAAAAGAGGAGGTCCAATAAACAAAATAATGGTATCCCAGGGCTGTCATCATTAGTAGCTGGCTCCTGCAGTAAAATCAGTGCATTATTCTTACTTTGAATGAGTTAAAGATAACAAAATAATAATTATAGGAGGATTTGGGGGACAAATGACTGGCTACTTTACCTGAGAGACCAGTCACTTAACAGCCCTGGGTCATATCCTGAGACCTCCAATAAAGTGAGTAAGAAGTGCCGACTGCTCAACCATGCTTTCTCTTTAATCATCGGTGACTGAAGTTATTAGTTCATTTACATGTAGTACATGTCAGTATACCATAACCTTCTGCTTATAAGCCCCCCCCGCCCCCGCCCCCAAAAAAAACCCATAAGAAAAAATATAAGCCCATGCCAGTGTCAGTCTCCAAAATACAGTCAAACCTCCACTAAGAGCCACTTCTTTACAACCGCCACTTGTTTTTGTCCCAGCGGACGAGTCCATACATTGACTCTTATTGAAACTTTCCTTCAATGGTAACAGCCACTAAAGCGTGATTGTCCCCAACTGCCAAACTAACCTCTCGACAACTGCCAGTTTTTTCAGCTGACTGATGAAAAAGTCAAGAATGGTCGCGAAATTTGATCCGTATGGTGCCTTAATGATTAATTGCAGAATCGTATTTTGATTGAATTCCATTTACACTGCTGCATTAAGCATCAATTGACTATAATACTTATAAGAAGGTTGCCAACCTTGCTCTCTTGTCACATTAACATTTTGATTCAAAATGTTGTTCAAGTCTTTTTTGTTTATTTTCTCTATACATAATGCACGATTGGATTATCATTATGGGACACAGTAAGCATGAACTGAGCACAATAAACATGTTGTACTCTCTAAAAGAAATTTTGTTATATCATTACACCCCTAACTCTCCATAATAACCACATCTCCTTACCAGCCACTTTGCAAGGTGGCCGTTCTGGAGAGGTTCAACATACTGTAGTAAATCAATGAATGTCAGGTAACACTCACCATAAACATAGCCATCAAGACGAAGCAGATTCCCACTATGACAGCAAAGGGAATCATGTAGAATTCATAATCCCATATTGGTGGATATTGCTGAGCAGTAATATAGATTCTACTGTCACTATAAAAGTAAGACAACAAAAACAGTTAGGAGGCCTTCAGCTTCCACTCCCACTTAACAATCCTAACACAATTGGGTGTTGTTTTACATACAGAGTGGGTGGTAAGAGGTTGGTCATTCACATAAAGAGGAAACTCTCCTAATGCACACTCTTGTAAGCATACAATGGATCTAGGGGAGGGATAATCAGGGCTGCCATGCCCCCCCCGCCCCAACCCTACTGTTCGGCTTAACTGAGGCCTGTGGGGCCCACGAGGAGCCGCAAGGGGTGATATTTTTGCACGGCATCTGGCGGCACATCAAAGAATTTGGAATTGAAGGGCAAATTCCTAGAATATCTTCGCCAGTTAAGCTAGAGAAAAGGTGTTAAAAAACCTCAGGATCCAAAACAACACGTCAATCAAAATATCACTTGAACCTTTTCGCTAATGAAGAGCTATCACGCGGCTAAGCTTGAATTAGACATATATTGAAATAGGAACTCGTGTCAATAAAGTATCAGAAGTGAGCGGGAATCGCTCCTGGTTAAAAAACTGGTTCACAGGGATATGCATCTCTTCTAGTTAAGAGAAGGGAATCAGAACTGCTTTTCATGCAGGAACAGGTTTTCTTCGGGCTAACTACAAAACCTCAGCTTATTTCACTCCTTGACATTGTCAAAGCGCATTTTGTAAAGATAACTTTTTCCGCTTTATGAGCTTTTTTTATATTCTATTCCATTAATGTTTAACCTCCCTCAAAAAGCCAAGTAATATAAATGCTGTTGTTAAAAAAGCGTTTTACTTGTTTACGTGAATTCGCTACCCAAAGATCACTATGCTGAAAGGACAGGGCAAAATTTCCAGGAGAGAGGCATTAATTTTTTTTTTTTCCACGAGGTTACAAAGAGAAAATGCAATGATTATTATTAATGTAACCATCAGGTATACTCTACCCACGAGTTCTGGGACAGCAAATGCAGTGATTATTATTAATGTAGCCATCGGGTATATTCTACCCACGAGGTTACAAAGAGAAATGCAATGATTATTATTAACGTAACCTTCAGGTATGTTCTACCCACGAGGTTACAGAGAGCAAATGTAGTGATTATTATTAAATGTAACCGCCGGGTATATTCTACCCACGAGGTTACAAAGAGAAAATGCAATGATTATTATTAACGTAACCTTCAGGTATGTTCTACCCACGAGGTTACAGAGAGAAAATGCAGTGATTATTATTAAATGTAACCGTCAGGTATATTCTACCCACGAGGTTACAAAGAGAAAATGCAAAGATTATTATTAACGTAACCTTCAGGTATGTTCTACCCACGAGGTTACAGAGAGCCTGCAAATGCAGTGACAATTATTAGATTTTAGTGCAACTATCAGGTTGAGTTCCTCCATTAAAAGAGTTTTTTCTAGGGTTAAACAAGTTTGGCTTTCATGAGTTTCAAGGTGCAAGAAATTATCAGTATAATTATAGCACACAAACATTGTCATCTAATTTTTTCGCATACGTAGCGGAATAAGCCAAGAAATGAAGCATATATAACGAAAAACCGTTCTCAGATGATCTCCATATTAAATAAATTATACTAAACGTTGCGAAAAGAAATTATTGTTCGTATCCGTCTTATCCATCGTAAAAGCGAGGGGTCATCGATGATATCCGGTATATTAAACAGAGGTAATACTCACGGGTTTCACGAGTTGTATGCACTATTTTTCGCCGAGAAACAAATTTAAACTTCAATTCTTACCTTACAGTAGTCCGTTCTTTTACCTTGCATTCGACAACAAATCTGTTAAAGGCGAACAAAGCGATTCCGCACTCTTCTTTATGATGAGTAGCAAGCCGCAGGAACTGAAGCCGCTTGACTGAAGTAAAATCCACCGATATGCACGGCATTCTCACTACAAATATAAACAAACGTTGCGGGGAAAAAAAAAAGACGAGGAGAAAAAATGCCAGATCTTCGCCTTGGTAATGTATTCCAGCTACCATGCCGGCGTATCTCCAGAAGGTGGAATCGAAGTGGGACAAACCTTGTGATTTTCTTTTTAGTCGCCCTTTTGCGCGCAAACTAATTTATTCTGGCGCGAAATGAAGATTAACAATAGGTATACTGAAATCTAATCCACGACAAGAAGATTTTCGCACTGTAGCGCGACATATTAAATGCCTATTTTTTACAAGTACGCGGAGAAAGTGGTCCACTAGTTTAACTTTTTAAGATGAATTTACTCCACAAAGGCAAAATGAATGTTTTATCTCTATGTTGTTTACGTGCGGATTGGAAGGCAGAAGTAAATTCATCATACAGACCCCATCAAAATGAAAGTACACGAATGAAACGGAATAAGTCTGGAACGGTTTAGTTTCTACTCGGCAGCTTCTTTGCTTTTATAACAAAAATTTAATGTTGCAGTCTGTTTTAAACGTTGGCATATCAACGCGCACAGTCACTGAATGAAAACAACAGTCACGATCACGTTCTTCGAAACCGACCAGACTCGCGCGACCTACCACTGTTATGGCCAGCAATTATCCTGAAGGTGTTAATGTTCCCGTGACAGTCTTCGCACTGAAGGCGTAAATGGTAAACCGAACGGTCGCTTTGATCATCAGAAAGACCTGTCAACTTTGATGATTTAACTGATTAAATTACGGGACAGAAATTTTACTCCTTGCGGCTCCTCGTGAAGTGGAGTGCCAGGTCCCTATTTTATCTTAGATTCTTGATGAGACGGCCCCCACTCTCTTGAAGATCCCAATCAGCAACTGTATCGCAAACTCTCTATCAATATCTACTGATAATATAACACACATGCCTTATTAGTCTTAGAGTGACTAACCGTTTCTTTGTAAAGTCATTTTGTTCCAAAATTTCACCAGTTACCTAGGGAAAAAGAAAAAAACATTCCTTATACGTGTGGTTCACAACCATTTTGGTCACCATGGCAAGTAGAAAAAATTAACAGTCACGACTCTGAGAGGACATAAGCTTACTAGCAATAAATATTATGTAAAAAAAGGACAATGACGGTATACTCATGGCTCTTGTAGGAAAGGTTGAGCTGAGAGAGCAACTTGGCATGGCTCCATTTTTAGATCACTTTGGGTTTCTAGGAAACTGCCCACCTACCCCTCCCCTAAACCATTATTTTGCCTTAAGTGAGAGGTAAGTGTTGGCATTGAGTTAGGGAAGGGGTAGGTGGGCAGTTTCTCAGAAACCTAAACTATTCATTACATTGAGATCGAGGTAAAATCCAGTTTTCCTACCTTTCCGACATAAACAACTGGAATATTAACCTTGTCTGCATCTGAAAAGTGAAGAAGCAGTTAAAAAGAAATGACTCAATTACATGTAGCTGGCTCCTACTATCAGTTTATTATACGGTCAAACCTGTATATAAAGGCCCTGTATATAGCGCTCACCCTGTACATTACAATCACCAGACAACTTTCCAAAATTTCCAGTTGCCTTATATTTTCTGCAAATTTGACCTGTATATAGCAATCACCTTGCCACTTCCCAAGGGTGACCGTTGTACACAGGTTTCACTGTAGTAACTTACTGTAACTCACACAACTCATGATGTGTATGATTGCATTCGTGATAACAGAGGTAGACATAGACCACATAACCAAGGAAACCTCTCTTACTCTTTCCAAACAGTGGGTTCTTTTACATCCCCTTTAACCCTTTAAGTCCCAATAGTGACCAACATCAATTTTCTCTTAACAGTATCCATAGATTGTCAAGTGCAACATCTATGAGAATTAATCAAATGATCACAAAGAGAAAAATCTCTGATCTTTTATCAATTTCTCCCAACTAATTCTGTAAGGAAATGTATAGAGATCAGTTTGGAGAATTTGTTTGTGGATATTGGGGCTTAAAGGGTTAAATTCACTAATATAACTCAGCCAGCATGACCATACCAGACCTTGGATGGTGGTTTGGCCAGGGTCTGAATCTGGGGCATCCACTCAGCAAATCTGAGCCAAATGAGCTGACAGGGCAGCAGTTACAAATCATCAATTCGTCAAAAGGTGATATGAAACTTGATAATGGCTGGAAGCCACGGATTTCCCCAGCAATAAGAAATGTGACCCCCAGCTACATTCATAGGAAACTAGAAGAAAAACAAAATCAAAAGAAATCCCTAGGCGTTTAATTCACTGCTTACTTGTTGTATTTACCCAGCAACTTGAAATCTTAGTAACAGCCATGAATGCTATGAGAATTTTTTGCCATATAGTGGCAATAAATTTAATATGTGGGAAGTGACAAGCTAGGAACTTCATTTTCTTTTTTTCCTATGAAAGCAACTTAGGGTCATGTTCCTCATAGCACGGGAAAATCCCAAAACCCCGGCCCTTGGTGACAGCCTTGCACATAGCTACATCTTTTCTCACTCTAAAGCAACAGTTTGTGAAATCTTACCAACAGTTCACCGAAAACTTACCTGAACCTCCACCAATAGGTTCAACATCATTAGACTTCAAACTTCTAATAATGGCAGCATCAAAGCCTGCTTGAGTGGCTCTGAAACCCTAATTAAATACAACCCAACAAAAAAAAAACAGTCAACTTGCCATTTTGGAATAGCAGTACTGTAAATGATTTATATGTAATAGATGCCTGGGGTGTTTGTTTAATTTTAGGGGTCTACGAGGGGACATGATCAGAGGGATTTTTTAAAAAGAGAGGCATTTATTCTCAGCTGTAAAAAGTTCAACAATGCTGATACTCATTTAGTAAAAATATTCATTCATTCATCCATTCATTTAATTAGCCATTAACCACATGAAAATACGACAACCAGATACAAAAAATTTACAACACGTTAAAGATACAGCTGTAATACACACTATTCGAACTAAATTATTTACAAAATTAAATGTTTAAAGTGGTAATGACAAGAAAGCCTATACAGAAGCTGGGGGCTTACACACTGTCTATAGGCCTCCTGGAACTACATGGTAAACCATGTGAGTTAACCGGCCACTGAATGAAAAATGGATTACGGTAATTTTTATTTAAAAGTAAGGAAAAGAAAAGAAAAAGAAAAAAGAAAAGGTATGTAGCTCAACAAAGAGTATGTTTGACTAAGAAGGAAGGTTTTTTTTTTAAGTCTTTTGTCAAACAAACTGATGAAGGGAGTTTTTAAACAGCAGAATAACCAGTTTATTCATTGAAATGTCTCAGTTGTCTAGAGATCCATATCACTCTTTCAAATCTCAACTTGATGTCAAAATCCTTGTTCATCGCATTGTGGTTGAAAGCCTACGTATCCTTCTAAACTTGACATTGATCAAGATACAAGTACAATGCGCAAACTTTTGTTAATCAAGCAAGAAACTGTATTTACTCCTTTCTGTGGATTAATTGGCATGAGGGGGGCATGTATTTGACAGGACAGTTGTTAGGGAGAAATGTCTAACGAAAGCACAACATTGTAAGGGGGCATTTATTAAACAAGAGGCATTTATTGTAGAGAGGCTTTCCATTACATCATTTACGTCAGTTAGAGTGGTCAAACTGTACTGATGGCAAGGGATTATAACTAACTATTCTCAAATTTTTCATGGCCAAATTAAAAAGTCATGGGAACATCAAGTTCACTTGAAAGGTGCCCACATATGTCATAAGGCCATAAAATCCTCCACACTCATTGCAATCGAACATATTCTCCTTTACTTGTTTGTGCCTGGAAATTTTCCCCAATTTACCTTGTCGTCAAAGTCACAATCATCGGCATCAATTAGAAGAAACCAATCTCCAGTGTAACTTGATTGGTTATAGTCGCTTTTGTGTTTTACTTCCGAACATGCCGACCTTGGGTCAGACAGCACCACTACGCCCTTAAAAACAAAACAAATACCTGTTTACTAATCAGACGAGGATCCAAAGAAATCAAATATAGTAATATTGGTCCAGAGCTGTCAGGATATTATACCCAGGTGGAACAAACCTGATATTAATACAGGGTTGTCACTAAGGGCTGGGGGCCGGGGATTTCCCCCGGCTACTCAGAGCATGACCCACGGCTACTTTCGTTGCTAAATTAAACCAAAAGAGCACACCTTTGAAACACACAAAGACTATCCATCAAACTAATTGCAAGTTTCATCTGCAGCAGGTTTACCTAATTTTGAAATACTCGCGTGCAAAAACTAAGAAATGTCGGGAAAAGACATCTGACTTAGATTTGGTACTAGTACACATGCGCGAAAACTCTCCGTTCGCGAAATGTCAGTAGGGAGTTTTAGCAACGACGACGGCGACAGCAACGAGAATGTCAAAAAAGCAATAGGTTTATTGAGCAACACAACTAGTTTGCACGTGCATCACACTTTTTTTGTACACTTCTTTGCCGTTACTGCACGACTACGACATGAAAATGCCTAGTTTCACGTTTTATGGAGGACGTAAACACGCGACGACAAACTTTTTTTTCTCTTTCTAAACTTGAGTGCGGTCCCAAAGAAAACAACTCCAGGGAAATTGGCCTACATATATTTTCAGCGAATTGAAGTAAACGCGACAAAGTTGGAAAAAACGCCAATTCATTTTAAAAGTGACGTTTTCGCTGCCGTCACCTTTGTCGATGCTAAAAGTCCCCAGTTTCAACCGTTGTGTCGGCTTTATGTTGAACATGTCGAAGAAGTGGCAAAGGAATCTGCAATCTTTGTTCATGATGAAAGACCTGAGCAGATCTCTGTTGACATCACAGAAGAAGTTGAGGCTTCATCGGAGCGTTAAATCTCCCTGATGCTGATGATGATGATAATGAGGATTCTGATGAAGGCTTTGAAGATGAAGACTATGAGTGATTGCTATGTTTGATAAATTGACATTTAAGTGACCAGGTCTACATTTAGCTTTCGGTATCGAATATATAAAATAACGTACGGTCAACGGGAAATGTTCGATCATTGTCCGCAGGTCATGATTACATCCTCTCAGTTCTACTTCCAAGAAGTTATATATAAAAGGGAAGTTAAGCATTAGTATTACTTTTGCATTCTTCTCCTTGAGTCTCGTTTTGACATCTCAAGTGATGTAAGTGATGTTTCGTTTATAAATTCGAGACCACTAATGTTACCAGTTGTGCAGTTTAGTTTTGTCATATTTTATCCTGCGATTTTTCGTACATTACACTTGTTTTAGCCTTATCATACTTTTATTTTTCAACAAACCATAGTAACCTTATGTTTATCACGCTTTTTCGTACATTTATTGTCCGCTTGTCTTCTTTCCGCTTCTCCGTTTGTTAATTCATTTGTAATATTACTTTTACTTTTGTTTTCCGTAAGTTGTTTCATTCTTATGTATAACTAAATGAGGATTTACAATTGATTTTACAGCGCATGTTAATTCATTTGCACCATATAAGAATCGATTGTCCTTTCCAGATTTTTAACATTTGTAAAGTATCATTGTGATTTAACACTTCACTGGCCAGCATGCGCCTTGTCTGCGTTAAGATAAGACTGCGCCTACCTGTCAATTTTTTCAGACACGGTGCTTACATGTATATTCCCATTTGGCGGCCACTAAAAAAACCCTCCAACGAGCCTTTAAGTAAAAACTTATTATTTTGGTGTCGCAGAATGTTGTAGTTTTCTTTAATAAAGACGTGATCATGATAAAACCGCTAATGATAGCTGTACTCTTAATGAAGATTGCTTTTTTGGGGCGGTAATGCCTTTTGGAAAACCGTAGAAGTTGCACTTCTATGGTGGGGGGGGCTCCATGACTGCTTGCAACTTCCCCAGCTACAAACAACAAATACCCGGCAACTTGAAATCTTAGTGACAACCCTGTTAATAAGTACCGGTTTGATTTTGACTGGTTTGTGTAGTCAAATTTGTGACAGAATTTTGTACAGTTTGGAGATCCATTGGGAGCAGTGAGTCACTTTAGAGTGTTGGGTAAAATTAAATTCAAATTTAAATTTTTTAACCTACAATCACGGACATAAGTCTAGAAGAAAAATTTGCATTTATGGGGCTTTTATCAAATCTCAAATGCCCAATATTATTTTTGTAAGTGTGGGGGTGGGAGAACTGCAAAGTATTTTTAAAAGGGTAGCACTGTTTTATGAGACACCCAGAAATTACAACATTATAATTATGAATAGAAGAGTCCCAAGGACTTTAATCCAGGATGCCAAATTGATTCTCAATTTCCTTTGTCTCCTTGCCCTAATTTATGAATAATTAGCAATTTTTCTATTGTACCCTCAAAAAATAACAGACATGTAAACAAACATTGCAAATAATTTCCTTCCCTTCTCCAAACAAATTGGCCCTTGCTTTTTTCTAGTAGCTATGCTGCTACAGATTCTTTAACCCTTTAAGCCCCAATATACACATGTATACAAATTCTCCTAACTGATCTCTATACATTTTATTAAAGAATGTGTTGAGAGAATTTGATAAAAGATCAAGACATTTTCTCTTTGGTGATCATTTTAATAATTCTCATAACCTAATCTCTTGACAATGTATGGATATCGTTAGGAGAAATTTGATGTTGGTCACCATTGGGACTTGAAGGGTTAAGTAACAGTTCTTAAGAACCCCCAAGTATTTTGTTAGGTTGGTCAACTTACTTCCATTGGACTGCCACGAATTTGATCACCAAAATATGCAAATCCATAAGGGTAGCAATCAATGAGAGTCTCATTGCTACTGAGATATTTTTCCTGAAAGAAAATTAATAAAACACAGTAAGATTGACTTGGCTAGTTTAAAGATAAAAGCCATTAATGAATATAAATTTACATGGTTTGAAAGTTTGCAGTTACAGCAAAATTACAAAGGAGATCAATTAGTAATTCATTAATATGTTCACTCCTTTTCATCTGAGTAATCAATGTTTTTTTCAGAATGTAAAACAATCATCAGCAACAGAAATTAAAAGGAATCATTCTTACCACACAAACTTCATTTGCACCATATTTTGAAGCTGTACAAAACGTAAAATGAAAGCTCCATAGAAGGATCAATCCTTTAGACATCCACACAGTTCTCACTTTCATGGTATGAACTTCACTGAAATTAAAGTAAGTGCAGTATTAATAAACAGTGCAAATATGCATTAATTTGCATGACACAATTATACCAAAGGTAACTAAATGTAATTCACAAAAACACTACAATCTTTCACACAATTGATTGTTTTACAACAAAGAGGTGTTGATGTAATGAAGTGCTAAAGATCTGTCGAAGGGAAAATGAGAAATATAAGATTGGGCATGCACCCATTTCACAAATGTAATTTACTATCCTGCCTGGGATTTTTAAGGGTTTAAATGTAATTTCTTGTTAGAAAACAGTTCATTGCAGTTACACACTGTACACTTATATTTCATTCTTATTCCATTTGTGAGTGACTGTAGTCCTTGTCACTTAATAAATTGGAGTCAGCTGTAGACTGAAGAAAGAACTTGCCTAAAAATTAATGAACACAACCTCGAAAGATTTCTAAAACGTTAACACTATGACTGCAGACTTTACCATTTTCTATAATACACATGTATTATTTTTATACATAATTCTAATAATTTATTCACAGTGCTCATCGTGTGATTCTACACACCCAAAGCATCGACCTCCCTATAGTGTAGTAAACTATGTTATTATTACATGTGATGGCTTAGTGCATGAGCGATGCGAATAGTTTTTGCTTCATATTAATTTCGTTGACTTAGTTTTTTTCCTTTTTTTAAACTCAAAACCACATACAATCCTACCTAAAACAAAGGGAAATACCTAATAAATAGACGATAACACTGAACCCTATAAATACAAGGCCACTTCCTCTCATGTATGGCATCTCTACAAGTGCTGATTCTCTAAATATTACTTTATACATGTAACACTACAGAATAAATTGCAATTCACATTACAATGTAATGGTTTTAACAATAATAAATTGAGTAACACCCTTATGTTGGACTGTGCTTCTGCAAATTAACTTGTCAGCTGAGTTCTCCACATCTAAAAATACATCGGCATTTGCAAAATTTGTATGTTTCCAGGAACTCCCAATGCATAACTCACACACATACAGAACTATAAAAGCTACATTGTACTTACAAAATACATGGAGAGATTTTGAAGTGGAAATTTTCTGCCTTACTCAAAGTTTTCCATTTAATCAGTGCTCTTAAAAAACGAAATTGGATCACCATTTTTGGGTAAATGATTTCATTCGTAAAAATACTGTCTGGCTTTTACACTCATGATAGTGACATCTCGATAAACGACGCTGCTTTATCAATACACTTTACAGACCTCGTTTCACAGATACTATTCTGGTAACAATAAACAGAACAAGAGTGCGGAAAGTCATGTTAGTTTCTCCTGATGATGCAACAAACTGTTTCATATTTCGTGTAGTCATGCCAAGTCTGGAGTTAAATGGGCACGTTTTAAAATTTACACGAGGAAGTCACGCGAATCCACAGATAACAACTGTAAGTAAGGTCTCCAGTTCAGCACAAGCGAAATACAAGTAAGCAAAAAACACTTGCACTGCATTGGGGCATTAATGAATACAATGAAGAGTACACGCACAGATCGCAACATTTGCAATTTATTGGAATCGATATTCCTCAAAGCAAATGTACGTATTTGTAAGTTATATCATGAAGTAACACGGTAAAAATGTAGAGCAAGTATTTAGCTTGGTATTATCAAAGAAATACAGCCGCATTCGTGCATTTAATGAGGATACTCTTAAATCAAGAAGCAAACTATTAAAGGAGGTATTCATTAAAGGATGGAGCGAAAGATGCATGTGAGACTAGAAGAGGGCAATCAAGTCCAACTTGGCGATCCGGATATATACACGTAAAAGATTGCACTTCTCTGATCTCTCCTAACACTGAGGCAAATTTTCAATCATATTAAATGTAATGATAAAATATTCGAGAATTTTCTTCCTCCATGATTCAGCGACAAACTGGGAAACTGTCAGACATTCCAGCTGTTTTCTGGATAATTTTTCGCTTTCGGCCACTTTCAGCGACATTGTTTAAACGAGCTGCTTCTTCCAACAAACATCAGCGACAGCAATTCAATCAGTACAAGAATAAAGGGAGCCTACCTTAGTGTTTACTCGATTTTGCCAAACTACATGGCGTTACTCAAGAGAATTTCTCTTGCAAGCACACTCCTTCCTCTATGTTTTGTTATGGCGGCTGAAATTTCAGGTGTTCCTGTCGCTACTGTCCTAATATGGTAATTGACCTTGTTACGTAAACGTGGACGTGAGCATTGTCATTTTGGGAGTCCTAGGTTCTAAAGTCCAAAACTTTTAACAATTTTTTTGTCATGCACCAACCAAACAGACATCAGAACCAACCCTTCGCCTAAAGGCCCTTAAAAAAACACGGAAGAGAGAAAAAAAATTATGACATAAAAAGAAAGACAGGGAAGAAGAAAAACTTCTGAAACAGAAACAGGATCCTAGCCTCTTCCACAGACCAAACTCTTGTTACCATAGGAAGAAATAACCCGTGAACAATGTCCAAGCCGCGGTAAGTCTGCGAAGAGGATCCTAACCTGAGATCAGGCGTTATTTATTTATTTATTTATTTATTTTTTGCTTCTTTGCCTCTTCCGGTGAGAGACATAAGGGGATAATAGGAAGAGGGCATGATCTCAGGCTAAGAGGATTCGGGAACACTGAACCCCAGAGACCCTTAAGCCCCAAGACCCAAAATCCGGGAGGATACACCGCTAAAAACACCGGGGCATGGCAAGGATGTTTCGATGCGGAGCTGCGAATGTAGGCAAAAATGAAAACCCAAAGGAAATCTCTTGATCTTGAAGCGAGACCCAACAATCCCTGGAACCGTACAAATTATCAGAAAGGATTAACGGACGCCATGTAATGCAAAATAGTCGGTAAAAAGGCAAACTCTCCTCTCTCGTACCATAAAAATATTTTTCAACAAACATTCCTAATTCCTTAATATTCCCAAGATCCCTGGTCAAATTTTTATTACCCAAAAACACTTCATGGAATTTTCTAGCCAACAAAATCCCAAATTCGTGAATGTCAAACCCCGAAGTACCCCCCTCGTATCGTCCATCCAGTTCGACTGGTTTTGTGTCTCTATAAGAACATGACAAGAACAGGAAGCATTTTGGAGGAAGCTGCTGTTTACTTTATCATTTACTTTCTCGTGCGTTGCGCAACGCTTTCTGGCACCAAGTCACGTACTAGGCAAAAGCGTCTTTTCGCTTCGACTTAGTGCCGATTTGTTAGCTGTTTTGGTTGCGATTTTCCAAATCTTACGCAGCGCTTGCGGCGGGGTGCACTTGATGTAAACATTTTTCCATTAACGTACTCCTGTTTTTCTTTTTTTTTTTTTAACCTACTCCAAGTTAGATATGTCGAAATTCGATCCAGATAGCGAGGAACGCCCGAAACAGAATACTGGAAAATCGCACGACAGCCTGCATAGTGGCGTTTGGAAACTGGAAGGAGAGAAATCGGGCACGCAAGAGGTACGATAACGGCGTCGAAGAGTTATCAAGAATCTGGGTGTTAGAGAAACCACCGCTCAAGAAAAGTGCTTGAAGAAACATGAGTAGCCAGAGAGGTCGGAGAGCGCACGTCCTGGGCTTTTTTCATATACTTCCGTGCATTTTTTCTTTTTTTTTTTTTTATCAGAGAAACAAGTTTACTACTTTGTTTTTATAACTTTCCACAAAAACTTGCGCGCACTCATCATGACGTTGCATTGGCGGAAAAAAACACTCCACTCTTAGACAACGATAAAGTTCAGTCATCTTTATTAAATTGGAGACTCTCGTTCTCTATTATGAGTAAAAAAAGTAAGTCAGAATACCTTAACACCACATTTTGCCTTTGAAATAACGCCAATTTACAAGCGCACTTCTATCAAAAAGTCAGTTTCGCACGATTCACATTTTTGTGATGACGGTATCTCTGATCTAATGTGATCTATGTACACGTGATTGACACCTTTAAAAAAAATCTGTAAATAAAATGTCGATAACTTAGTAAGCATGGATTTTCCCACTTTACAACTTCCTAAATAATGAAAGATATAATTTCTTTGTCAAGTACGAGGGATGTCAGTTACAGCTGTTAATGATCCAAGACTTTGAAAAAGTACTGCACCTGAAAGATGGATGAAAGTGCAATGAGAAAAAAAGATGGCATAAATGTATTGTTTAGGAAGATACTCAACAAAGCCCTGGTTTACACGGGAAGGCTCCGCCCTGAGGTCCCGGGGTACTAAGGTTAATTTTTGCTAGGTATGTGCCGCTGGGCTCTCAAAGCCCCAACCCCATTAAAGTCTATTCTGTGGCCAGTTATAGACCCCATCTTAGTCACTTTTGCGCAAAGATGTAATTTTGGCGATCCCAGCTTAGTCACTTTCTATTTATGTATCTCCCTTATACTGAATGAAGAACACTTTACTTTTCACATACAATTCAAACATTCTGGTACGTTGGCTAACCGTAAATATGAAGAACTGTCTCACCCCAAAAATCACAAAAAGTGCGACCTCATTCTAACTCTATTGAAAATGCGACTCAATTCCAGTCAATCCAGTGGTGAAAATGCGACCCCATCCAGGGGCACATCCCCATTAGCCTCTTATGAGGAAGTACCCCCCCCCCCCCCCCCCACGGGCTGAGGTCCAGCCCCTCACCTTTTTCATATACCGTTTTCAAGAGGATGTATGAACTGTCCGCAACAAAATAAATGGCCGTTGTAGAGAGGTGGCCGTTAGTGGAGATTCGACTGTATGAATGAATAATTTACAAAACTTTTTCTCAGCCATAAAATGCATCTGTCAGCCTTTTAGGAATTTTTACCGACCGAGATGACAGATTTCCATACTCTTTCACATACTTCAACAAGTGAAACCCATACCCTTTCTTATACCTGAAGCCTGAAAAAGGTACCTCATTCCGGTGGAGTCTCCCCGTATAGGCCATTATAGGGAGTATCCCCCTCACCGGAGTCTCCCTGTATATGTAATTATAGGGAGTACCCCCTTCCCGGATTGTTGAACTCTTAACTTGTTACAGTGGAATTCCATGCGCATATACACAGACCCGAGGTCGCTGATGGGGACCGGGAAATTCCAGCATGGAATAAGTCGTTGCAAATAAAAACGGTTTCGAATACAACTTGCCTACCCATGGGTCTACGAGGAAGGTCAATAAGAAACACGTTCCTGGTGTAAATAACCATAAATGTCCACGCTGGCCTCAAGATTCCTTTTTTATTTTCTCATTTTTGCCTTGTCGTTAGAGACCTCTGCTACAACCAGTTGCAAAAATGTTGAGACAGTTCCACCAAAAAACGACCTTTCTTGCTTCAAATTGCTCCTGGTCAGGGGTCTGTGAGATATAATACTGACCTCCCTCCTCCCTCCGATTCAAAGTTTTTCCTCCAAGTTTTGAGTATGGTCTTGCATTGCTAGCAACTTTGATAAGGGGTGGAGGGGGATCACAAGCACAAGATCATGGACAGGCCATTTATGCCAAAATACGGTACAGTGTCTCAATCAGTTTTGCAACAGGTTGTAGCAGGGAAATTTACTTCGTTCCTAGTTCTTAACTTTGCTATATCGTAGATGTATATACATGTCTGACAAAGGAAGTATTATAGCGCACCTCTGCCCCCAGAATATAAGACAAGGCGGAAGTGCGACGTAATCCTTACTTTGTCTACAGGCAACCCAAGAAGAATACAACGTGCGACATAATATTGCATAACCTCAAAATCTCGATTCTCCACTGAAAGAAATCGCTTAAATCGCACCGGATCGGGTCAGTAACCACACAGCAAGCAAGATTTGTCACAAAAATGGACACTCCGGGAAGCTTTATTGTTCTTTTTTTCCCCAGAAAATTTAGTTCGATTATCTTTATTGAAGGGGGTTAAGCCCTTTTCTCGAGCGAAAAATGATATAACTTTTTAAAATCTTTTCCGCCACTACGTTCTCGCTAAAACTTTTAGCAGAATGACGACCGCACAGTCTCTCTTGGTATTGAGAAAATCTCGTACTCGTAGTGGTCGTCGTCATAGAATCTAAATGTCTCTATTGTACAACACGTAACTCTGATGCTGAGCTTGGGTTGCCTGTGATTTGTCAAACACAGCTCTAGAATTAAGCCGCAAGTACAGAATAACAAAGAATTCATGATAGGGCATAAATGCGACATAGGCCTTGCTTTGTCAGACTATCCCACAATTCACCGTGTGTCATGGCCCTTGCAACGTTAAGAACACAGTTTTTAATCCTTAGGTCTTGGCTACATTGGAGTTTCAAAACTGACAAGACAAGTGAATGTCGCATGTCGGTGACAAATAAATTCCCCGTTTCCTAACATGAATTTCCCGAGTGACACCAACCTCTATGAGCCCATCTTCGGGCAAATCCGTGCAATGTACAGCGTTCTTGATCTTATCTTTACCAAACATTGCTCTTAATGTTCCCGGCCGAAGATGACGAGCGATTTCCTGACACACAAAAAAACATTATTAATTCAGTGACTCTTGTAAAGAGGAAAGAAAGATTTCATTGGCTGAGAAATAGCGCGAAAGATAAATTAGCCTCAAAGCTGAGGCGGGATTGGATTGCAGGCGGTGAAAAGTACCCAGGAATTTAAGTGGAGTCCACGCTCTCTTCAAGCCTAGTATACTTGCTGAATGTATTTTAAATCTGTTAATTTTCCTCCATTCTAAGCAATTCGAAAACCTCATTAAAATAGCGTGTGAACAGGATCGCTAATGTGTAGACCGATGAAGCCGTTTTTTGTTCCTGTTATCCTTTGCCAGTCTCTCAGATAGTAGGAACGTCGCGAAAACAAGCCAAGCGAAAATAAAACCTGCCACGCGCGACTCCTCTCTCTCCCCAGATCTGGGAACGAAAATGGTGTCGCAAAGGTTGGTTTACCATTACAAAAAGTTTCCAGAAAATACAGTTGGAAAGCAAATGGAACACGAATTTTTTGGCTAGTTCTAGCGGAGGATTTCCGGGGAACAACGGAGCATCTAGAAAGATAGTCCTGTTTTCCGGACTGAATGCTCCAACAGGAAATTCGTGTCCCATCAACGAACTCAATTACTGAGGTCTATGTAGACTTCAGTCTAATATTACATTCATTCATGATCTGGAATATTATCATCGAGATCGCTAGGCCACATTCAGCAATCGCAGCAATGGAATCCAAGCCTAAGACATCTCTGATGAAACCTTAACCGTGTTGTAGAGTCTGAAGAGTGTTATTTGTCATTGGGCGAATCGACTTACGCCGTGGCGAAACTCCGTCGGGCGAAACGATCACGATTCATCAGGAGATGGCTAATTACTTTGTCCGCGAGTCTAATCACAGGCTTCCTTTGGTCAATTTAATAAAACTTTTACTAGTGTAATTTACAAGTGTAGCTATTGTTTTCAGACTCTTAAACAATGACCGCAGTTGTAAATTACAGGTGTAAGATTTTTATGAAATCGACCCCTGGAAATAAATTTAGATAAATATTCACAAAGTCAGCTTACGGGATCCGTAGGTCCAACAAATTCTCGAAATGTAACTGGCGCATCAGGAGCTCTTATTTCCATTGCAAGGCAGGGACCACAGCACAGTTCTTCGACCATACTCTAAATATGAAGAGAAAATACCACAAAAAGAGCGATTCTAGTTACGATTCCAGGCCTTCCTTTAGCTGTTCCTTAGGGAGTGGCTGATAGGAGATTTTAGAGAGGGGAGCTTCGCTTCTCCTCCCCCCCGGTGGGAAAAGCCTGATGCAGGGTCTAAGAAAGGGGTTCCTGACGCTACATTCACGTCGATCCAGCATCCCCAACTTCTGTCATCTCTACCCTGAGTACCGTTTTTTCCCAGTACCACATCCCGTTCCGAGATTTCGGAGAATCCCGTTGCCCGAGTAGTAGTCAACTCCCGTATCCCGTCAAGAAATTCTGCGTTTTCCCTAATCCCGCACTGTATGTCGGCCAAATCACGGATCCCAAGAATGCTAGATTCTAGTTTGAGCTCAGTGAAAACATGACGGCCTTGTGGTTTTTCAGACAGCGCGATGACCAAAAAAAAATTGAAGATGATGAGATTTGCGAAATATCCCTAATATTCGTTTCATACTCGAGGTTCTTTTCATAAGAAAAATCATAATTTCTGAAAAACAAAACCGAACTTTTGGCACAATATACAGTTATGCTCGCTTTCAAAGTATACTTAAGCACCCGGTCCTTTGACCATCGCAACTTGCTTCATGTACTGACCTTGTATTCAGATACAACACCTTTGTACACTTCATGAAATTCTTCAGCATTGGCTCTTTCAAGATGAAACTAAGAATCGGGACGAATAAAAGAAGTACGTACAGTTGATATAGTCCCGTCATATAAAATTATAGTCCGCGTAGCAGGCGCTTGGAAGTATTGGCACAAGAAAAAACAGGGGCGCGAGAAGGAGACACGCAGGCTAATAAAATTAAATTTTTAAAAAATAATTATTCTTGGGAGTGTTGCGTCTTCAGCTTCTTGAAGCAACGTGAAAAGATTAGAATGGTGGGGCGGGGGCATGAAATGCTTCTAAAGGCACATTCACATTGACTCTGTGTTTTAACTCGTTACAGAACCCAAAACCTTGAGCGAGCAACTCCCATACTAGGCCTATGTTACAGCATTTTTACGAACCGGTTTATTTTTAGACACACTTTAGGGCACTTTTCCCCGCGAAAATGGAATCTCCGTTACGCGTATGAACGCATTCGAAGTATAAGATATCTAAAAAGAAAACGTAACGTCATTAAAAGGCAAAAATTATCACTTTTAGGTCTGTAGGTTTTGCTGACTGGTTTGTGGGACTTAAAAGATATTCTAAATTCGCGGCAAAACCGTTCTAAAAATAACCTGGTCCGTAAAAACGCCGTGACACGAGTACATGGAAGGGACACACATGGAATTTGCTCCCTCCAGCTCATTATTGGTACCTAAGAGCGACTGTTAATTGGCCCCCACACTCGATAAGATTAGGAGCTAGATATCTCTAAAGTAATAATGTGAAACTCCAGTAAGTTATAAGCTCGTGCATCTATAGGTCCATCAACACGCCCAAAAAAAAAAAATCCGATTTTAGTCCCTTTCCCTGACAAGCCAGGGAATTCACACCTGTATGATTATTTTATTTTCTTACCATTTGAAGTGCAGAAATCTCAAACCCCTTGCTGCATATCGCTGAGATGATTTTGCCCGTGAGGCCTGAAGGAAATATTTAAAAACAGTTATTATAAACAGAGTTAACAACAAGAAGCAGTAGTCTTGACAGTAGCTTTCTCCAGCATTTGTGTTTGTGGATTGGCCAGTGTTTAGTATTTTGCTGCATTGCTCAGTGATATCTTGACTGCTCTGGTGCTCTTGACCTTCCCAAAAATACTGTCTGTTTTATAGTTTACCTCATGCAGTTTCTCCCTAGTCTAACACTCCGTCTTGACCAACAGATTCTTATAAAAAATACTGTCTGTTTTATAGTCTACACCAGAGTCTATTGTCTTGACCAACAGATCTTATAAAGTCTGGTCACATCAGACTTTCGATCTGTGAATCAACGTTCGGAATGACCAGTGATGAGTCAACCCTTTAAATCCCATGAGTGATAGACATCAATTTCCTCCCAACAACATCAAAACGTAATCATGTAAAAGGTTACAAGAATTAGTAACCAAATGGGAAAATGCTTTGATCTTTTAACAAAATCTCTCAATTAATTTTCCAAGGAAAAGTATGGAAAACAGTTTGTAGGGAGAATTTCTATGTGGATATTGGGGCTTAAAAGGTTAACTTGCCTGCAAGCAAGCTCTCCGCAGTGCTCTGGTGGTGGGGTGGGAAAAGGAAGGGGAGCTTGCAACTACATCTCTGGAATTGGAATTCCACCTCCAACTCCCTGAGGCTCCCCGTCGACTGAGCTGTCAGTTTTCCGTCAATCAGCAGGAAGCGGAAACAAGCATGAATGTAAACAAACATTGGAAAACACATGCAAAGTGTAATGATGTCATTGCTTATGACATCTTTGCCCGGTCAGTGTTTGGCATTGACTTTTTCGATGCACATTAATATTCAAATTCCAGGGACGTAGTTGCAAGCTCTCCTTCCTTTTCCTGCCCCACCGCCAGAGCGCCCTGGAGAGCTTGCTCGCAGGCTAAGGGTTAACTGCTCGCGCACTACACTCCCAACAATCACCCAATAAAAATCTACAGTATAGAGCATATTAATGAGTAAATTGTACCTTCAACAATGGCATGAGGTTTTACTATACACAGGGTGCAGTCAGATAAAGAAGCTGTATTTTTTCCACTAAATGTTCGACCACCAAAGAAAAAATCAATCTCCTGCAGGAAAGGAAACATAACAAGTATGATTTAAACCATTGATTCTTCTGAAGCTATGATTTTCATATTGTAGCTATACAAAAAACCTTGACAACTAAGCTCATTTTTATTCTAAAGCAAATATGGCTTTATCTTTCCCCCTTTCTTGAGTTCAGATCCTCCTCAGATGACAGATGGAAAAAAATTAACAAAAGATTACCAAACAGTGGCTCAATAGCAATCAAGCTACTAGCATTGAATATAATATCTTGTTTTATTTTTCTGCATGAGCATAAAATAAAAAGGCTGCATGTTGATAAAAAAGAGAGAGCTTGATTTGAAGTGGCTTTGAACATGTAAACTAGTATACAGTTCTCCTTGGTAACCCTGTCCAGGAGTGTGACTATTTACCCTTGTGGGGGCTCTGCTCAAAACAAAACTTTGGTTTAAAGATGGTTTCTTACTTTTTGAGCTGACAAAGTTGAGTCTGATCCATGGGCAGCATTCTTTGTATTATCTGCGAAGAAAATATTAATCAAAAGCATCATGTGTGTCAAAGTAACAGAGTTTCACTTAGTCTATTTATTTTAACACTTATCAGTTGCACCATCCATCAACTCATTCATCCAAAGACGACAAGACCCGAATGGACATGGCAGATGAGGAACAGACTCAAGATCTTGTATGATTCTTCAACAGTGTTTTATTCTTTGCAGTTTTTTTACCCAAAATTGCTCTCAAGACAAGTTTCCTTGAAAACTGACGCCCTCTTGTTTTAAGTCTTTTTAACTAATGGAAGTTGAACATATGTGGTAAGGCTGTTGCAACATTTATTATGTTGCAGCAGACATAATTGCTAACCCATTTTATTGATCAAAGCTAGATGCAGCAAGAGCATGTCATTTCAGGAGGTGTCACACTTTGACTTGTGAGACAATTTTCTTAACAGGGCCGTAAATCCTAATTCATTTATCAATGATTTTATTCTGTGAGCTTAAAACATTTGGTGAATAAGATATTGTTGAAGAAACTATAAACCTACCAGTGCCAAACTTGGCTCTGACTGATATTGGAGCCTTGTTTCTTGCAGTTGCTGAGTCTGTTGGGCCCAAAAGTGTGCGCCACTTTTCAATAGCATTTGATCCCTTCAGCTCCATAGCAACAACTGGGCCACTTGTTATAAACTCCACTAAGTAACTTGAATTAAATTAATAAAAACATGAATGATCATTTTAAATGATGACGTTAAGAAAATGTGACTAAAAATTAATGTCATTTAGGCCAAGTTAGTTTTCAAGTCAATGCAGTCAGCGCTCGATCTCCCCCAGGGGCCTTTGCTTATCTTGTCATGCTGGTATTTAGAGCTTATCATTGCAGATCTGGTGTTGCTCAGGCATTAAAGCGACTCTTTGCAGATTCTGGCACCCAGCCTCTCCCTCCCCATTTTGGGTCTGTGTGTTAGTAAGTATGGGGTCAGATGAGTATTTTCCACTAAATTCCTTCCGTGTGACAGACTGTCAGTTGGCAGCTGCATGCAGGAGTGGTTCCCACTTGCAGGGTTGCCATTGATATCTCTTTGCTAGGTGCTGACGCCCCCAGCCAACCTTTAAGGCACCAGTTTCCAAGCTCATCTATTGGCGATGAGTTTAAGTTGCCTTCAGGAGCAGTAAAGGTTAAGATAAAATGAAGCAAACAAACTATCAATTATTTTTTTATTCAAAGACATTAAAATTCAGTTTCACTGCTTTAAGTTATTGTAAGTTGATTCTTACTTGTAAAATGGTTTTCCTTGATGCTCAGCATAAAATCTTGAGGCTTCAGAACTAGAAGTTGCAAGAATGTATGATCAGGTAAAAATGTGGTTATTTCTATTTAAGATGGACACTGGCAAGACCAGTATCATGTCTCAAAATCAGAGAAAAAGTATAAGAGGTTTATGCATGCAAAAAAGTTAAACAACAGCTCAACGTTAAATACATTAACATGTAATCTCTCATGCATTCCCCTCTATTTTGTGTTTTGAGCACATAAAGGCATCCATATGCATACCATCAACAGTATATAATAGAATTTGGCTCTTTCATCTGCAACAGTACAAATGGATCCAACTTAATTTTTCAAAGAGGTGTCAAAAAATCTTGTTAATTAGGACAAGTTGGCTCTTTAATCATCTGCACACACTACATAGTCCCATTGGTTACTGATGGTCCAACTCAAGTCGACCCTTGTGACAATTTTTCAAACAGGGCTCAAAAAATCTTGAATTAGGACAAGCTGCTTTATCTTAAGCAATGGCATGTGCAAATTAGTTTTTGCAAAGTTTTTTTGCTCAGAAATAAAGATCATTTCAGTGAAAATTATTAATACTTTTCCACCTCAATATTATAAAACTTTTTCTTTGAATGTTATCTTAAACGACTTGAATAAACTTTCTCTCAGTTTCATGCAAGATAAATCATAACTGTAAGGTACAAAAATATAGCCATGTAGACATTTTTTGACATGAACTGCTTTGAGCATCCCAACAATACAATATTTTTAAGTTAACTGCTGCATTGATCACATTGATAATTTTACAAAACAATTGGTCCATGCTTCAGCTGTGCATATTTTGAGATATGTAGCACTTGGGAAGTTTGGAGAGCACTCAAGATGCTAGAGTTGCTCTCAGCTGCACCTCAGGCAACTCTTTATGCTTCTTTCTCTTTCCTTCCCTGCTATTCTCAAATCCTTGGCAATGTTTTTTTTTTGGTTTTTAAGCTCACCTGGACAATCTGACCATCTTAGCTCTGCAGATAAGAAAGCCTTCTTGATGGATCATGTCAATTATGCTTCCTACAGAATACAGATAAAAAAATTAATGTTTCTGTTATTTTAAATGTTGTATATTTTAACCTCATGATTTCGTATTATGTAATTTACTAATAGGGGTATAGAATGGTACCTTGAAAATGTGGGTCTCGGAAAAGTTTAGCCTGATCTCGAAAATTATCTCAGAAGCATTTTTGATGGGTCTCGGAGTCTCATTCTTAGACAATTTTTTTTGCCAAAGGGTTTTGGGGTCTCAGATTTGTTGTTTTTTCTCTTCTTTTGATCTTCAAGAGTCACATTTTGCAGAGTTCATGGGTACAGCTTAAAAATATTGAACTGTCAGCTAGTAGATTAAACCAAGCAGTAAAACAAGACAAAGCAGTATATTGATGGGCTTCCACTAGAAATTTTCAGCTCTTAGAGTCTTGGGGGGCTCAGATTTTTAAGAAGTAAAGTCTCAGGCTCAAAAACTTCATTCTGTGGTTCTGACATATAATATACTGAAACCAGGACAAGCAAATTAATGAACTGTTTACATAAACTGTAACTAACCCATCTGTGAGACAGCATCAGGCTTTATCATAGCAAGTGTTCTGTAAATTAAAAAAAATACAGCTATAAGTGATAGGGTGATGGATCAACTTATGTATCAAATCGATTACTTATTGACTTCTAGTTCACCATCTTGTAAAGGAAAATTTGAAAGACATGCATCAATAAAACTTTGAGCTTACGTCTCATTCTTGCTTTTCAAAAGATTTGATGTACGTTGGTCAGCATAGTCTGTTATTGACAACTGGAATCACAAGAAATAATAAATAAATAAAAATACTCTAAGTCTTCATATACCTTAGTCTTAATATAAGTTAATAGGATTTGAAGTGGTTTCAGGTGACCTCAACAACTTGGTGAAAAGTGTCATAAAACGCCCCTGGCCTGTGCATTGCTAGGAGATCGACAAGCACTGAAAGAGAACATTTAACAAGTCCTCTGGAAGAGAAAAATGAGGCCACTGCAGAATAGGCCATTTCTGAGTCCCAAAACCTATGACTTTGAAAACGAGGTTATGTGCAAAACCTTTCTTGTGGAAAAATGAGTTCTATTTGCAAGAGAATAAAATTTGTTTTCATATTCATGGCTTCCTACTTAGCCTTGCCTTGAAACAGAGGCTTGAAGCAACTTGAAAATGGTCTATTACATTAGAGGTAGCCAGTAGGATCTGAAACTACTTTTGCTTTCTGTCAGATCAGGGTTGTCACTAAGATCTTAGGTTTCTTCATGTACCTGGGTAATTTAATTCTATACAATTACCACCGGTAGTTTCAAGCTAAAAAGTTTTTTTGATTAGATATTTTCAGGGTTCGCAAATACGCCAAATTTGGCGTATTTTACGTCAAAATTGTTCAGATGACTCCGCCGAGGTTACGGAGGGAGTCACTTCGACTCCAGAAATTTTCAGTAAGAAACACAGTTTTGTCCTTACCTTTTTCGCAACAAATACAATTTACGTTAATTGTAAACGTTGCAAACCTTAATTAAATCATCCAAATTAAAGAATTATACTGCATGACAAAACAGGAAGAGGGTAAATTCGATCAAAGTTTACTCGATGACTGCCATCATGGATTTGAGCTGTCCAGGTCAGTGGACCGCCACAGCTACTTCGTGTATTCCTTGCGATAGTGTATGCATGCCAGGACCACGTACTAGAAAGTCTGAAAATGGCCTTTTTGGTTGTGATACTTGACTCCAAATATTCCAAAATGACTCCAAAATTTGTGAAGCAGAAGTCACACTGACTCCACTCATCAATAAAATTTGCAAACCCTGTATTTTCCATTTGTTTCCAGGGATTATGCTTATAGTAACAAGTGAACACAAACGTCCTTAGTGACAGCCCCACAGGCAAAAGATTAAACCAACTTGTAAATAACATTGCCTTCTAGTTTTAAATAAAGAACTACAATGTGCCTAGATTTAAATAAAATAGCTCTAAAAAGATAAAAGAGTCAATACCTAAGTGTGTTAACATGGCATGTGATGTTAAATACCTGACGAGAGTGAATAGTAATAGTAGCTCCAATGGACAGATGGTGAAGCTCAAGGTCATCTATTACTGACCTCTTCAGAAAAAGGCGACGATTCTTGATGTCATACTAAGGATGTGAACACATCAAATGACATTATTATTAGCTATTTTTATAACAAAAAGACTTCCAGCAATTTATGTAGCCTGTGTTTCAGGTGGTGTAAGGGGAGGGGGAGGGGTAGGGGGAAGGGGATGGGGATTTGGAAAGGGAAGAAAAGGGACACCTGTTATAAGACCCCCCCCCCCTCTATTGAAAAAAGGGAAACACTTATACAGCCTGAAGTTATGACTATATGAAAACAGCCTGTTGAATGAGAAAAACCTCAACATTAATTTTGAAGAGGATCCACCGTCTGCATTCAATGATTAAAAAGTTGCAACTGTCTGAGCAGAGCTTGCAGTAACATCAACAAGTCAGCCATGGCAGCCATAAGTAAGTGCTTTCATGAAGGTTCAACATTTTCAACTTTGAGAATCAACAAATAAGCATTAGGGAAACCATTGTACTACTCACTGGACAGAGAATTATCAAGTGGATTTTGAACAACCGGGGCCTGACGTAAAAAAAAAAATAAAAAAAAATACACCACAATACCATCCCATATGTGAAGAAGGTGTTTGTCATATTTTTTCAGTTTTTTGATATATCATTTTCGAATAAAGTGTAATGCTAATTAAGCGTAATACACAGTGGATTCAAAGTCATTTAAAAATGATATACTTTTACAGAAGTTCAGTAAATTCTGTGAACACATGTTCATACGTACTTCACATAACGTTAACTGCTTAATCTCTAGAATGACATCCAGGGAGGTTTTTGTAAATAACAAATCATTTTAAAAGAATTCATTAAAATGATCAAACTAATGCAAACCACTGGCCATTACCATCTCTACAGACGAGTCGCTGGGATAGTAGAGGAGTTGGTATTTTCTCATTAATGCAGCTCTAGGGTCGTACCATTCCGCCAAAAATGCAAACCGATCATCTGATGCAGCCTGTTGATAAGCAAAAACGTAGTCAAACTACATATAATACTCATGAGATACATGATAATCGGAGATCTAGCTCACCATGATAAAACTTGACGAGCTAAAAACGATAAAAGATGTTCTCCAAGTTTAGATCTAGCGCTTCTCTTGTTTTGGCAACGAGCAAGCCTCATTCCCATGTAAATTGATTGGTTCCAGTCTGTCACCGCCAAGTCTAATGTAGGACAATTTAGGGATAATTACATGACATACACGATAAGGGTCAGGCTCTCGAAGAGCAAAAGGCGCGCGGGCCGATCTTTTTCTCCATGGAAAATAGAAATTTTCTTGTGTTAGATGGAGGTTTGGGGTCAGCATTAATCCGGGCTGGTTTTGATATTGACGTAAGTAATTACGATACTTTTTTTATTTTATTAATGTCCACAAATTCATTTTCAGTACAACTCCGGGAAATACATCTATCTCACACTATTTCTCACAAATTAGTTTATATGAAAAGAGCCGAAACATGCATGCGTTCTCAATGTATGGGAATGAGAGGAAATCTTACCATTCAATGTCTGGTACGTGTCTAAGGTGGTGGTGCTGCCTTGAAAGACATCTTTCCCCACCCCCACCTCCGACAGTTCGTAAAAGTATAAAAAATAGAAAGGTTCCTGTACCCAGGGTCATGTGTGTGTTACCATTGGTCCAGGTGACTCTCCCTCTAAACTGCACATCTATGGTGCTGCCTCCCATGGTTTCACTGTGACACTGGTTGCGTTGACTTCTGGGTGCTACACCTTGTCAAAGGGCAACCTGTGTGTTTTGTCCAAGACTGCTTATTGGTTATTCACAGCTAACCCAGGATAGTAGAGAAGATTGTAACTTTAAATTATTTGGAAAACAGTTGATGTACCAGGTGGTATAAGATGCAAATAACAAAAAATTATTATTGTCTTGTCTTGTCTTGTCTAGTTGCCATTTCCCTATCCACAACCTGGGGACCCGGTGGATGGGGTGGTCTCTCCCAGGAGCCAGGTATGCAAGGTCGAGGTATGGGAGACCAGAGTTTTGGGCACCCTTGCCTGCCTCCCTCCCTCCTGCCATGGCCCCCTATCATATGTGCAGCCATACATCTTTTGAGACTCAAGCTTAAATTATTTTTCTTAGGAAGATCCACTTTGGGGTGGAAAAGTTCTCATTGAAAATCCAGATGCAGTAAAAACCATTCATAAAAGGTATGTTATACTTAGTGGTAGGAAATATGAAGTATCAGGGCTGTCATTAAGAGTCGGGGGAACAGGGATTCCCCCCAGCTCCTATGTATGTGACCCCTGGCTACTTTCATCGGAAAAGAGAAGAAAATCGAACTAAAAGAAATCCCTCAGTAGCCGTTTGATTCCCCGCATACTTGTTGTATCTACCCGGCAAATTGAAACGTTAGTAACAAGCCCAGTATATTAGCTTAAACATGTTTTGCCTTCAAGTGTCAAGTTCAGTTTACCACATTTTGTCAGTTACAACATCATCTGAATCCTTAGTTAACTGTCAGCAGTAATAAAAAGGGTTTATACTCGGCTTCTTCTTATTATTATTCTATCAGGTAGGAGTTTGAGTTTACTCTCACAGGGTGTTCTTTAGCCATCGGAGATCAGAGAATTCTCCGTTTGCTATGAAAAATTCTCCGGCTGATGTTTGGTAGCCTGTGACCATTTTTTACTCAGATGAGGAGCCTCGTTCAAAATATTCCCCTGTAACATTACACCTTTCTCCTGCTACTAGAATTCTTAATGTAAACCCTGTTTGACACCATTGGTCAGCCTTTTAGCAAGATCTTGGGATCCCTGAGTTGAGAGCTCAACACAGGCTAACCACATATCAGGTTCCCTTGATTGCACTTTAACATTGAAACAGAGTGCAAAGAAAATCATTTTTACAGCTTGTCATTCGGGCAAGCTGAAGCTAGCATTTACTAGCCCAGATGTCATTTTAAGTAGCCCCAAACACGTTTTGACCGGCAGAATTGATTTCACAGTTCTTCTGTTATTCAAATTCCTCAAAAAACATCACTTGCCCATCAGGCAAGGGAAAAACAGAATTCACTAGCCTGCTAACAAAATCCACTAGCCCCAGGCTATCAGACACTACTTTCTTTGCACGCTGCATTGAAACCAAGGATGATGCCATCCAGATTTGTACTAAAATTTTGTACATTTTGTACTTTTTGTATTGCCATTTCATATTGATAACTTATTACAAAACAGGGCACAATGAAATAACCTGATCTTTTTATCAAAAATGGTTAAAGTGATGAACTGTTCCATCCAGAAAGTATCTCTGAAACCGAGACTATTCTCTCCAAAAAACAACCACAACTAATCTTTCTTGTGATTTTCCCAAAAATGAATATCTTTAATTTACAAGGTTAAATCTGAAAAGTAAACTCTCCAAAAGACACAAAAATTCTTTAAGATACATTGATATCTGATCTAGTTGTTGCAAAAAGACTCCTCTAAGACTATTTTGTACTTATAGTTTCCTGCTAAGTGGAGCAAATGTTGTGATTACCAATACTTATCAGGTACTTTCTTTGTAACTACTGTTAATAATATCTTGATGGAAACAAAAGAAAGATGATTTTGTTTTCAGTTATGTTTTAAAAAGCATGGGGCAAAGAACCTTGAGTTGCCATTTGACCCTCCCGTTTTGGCCTGAAACCTGTCGTTTTAGGCAAATATTTCTGGCCTCCCATTTTCGCTTACTATTCTCTGGGTTTTTGAAACTCTTCCCAGCAAAGAAAGATAAAGTTTTCTTTGTTTAACCAGTCTTTTCAGCACGATTCTTTGCTGTTTTTCTGTGATTTCTCAGCCATCTTTGCCCTTTTGGCATCCGAGCATGAGCCTGCAATAAATTTGGGCACAGTAATGTACTGATGTGATAGGGACCAATAAGCCTAGCTTCCACTGCCTGTTAAAAACGCCACTATTTTCTATTGACTGTGATCTCAAAATGCAGGAAATGGCATCCTAGAGGCACATATGTTAAAATTTTTTCAGGGTGAGCATGTCCCTGAACCCCCCTAGTGGCTCACGCTTTCCATGCTCGTTGGCGTGGCAGCTATGCTGCTTCACAAACCTCCCTTTAATTTTTTTCTGCTGATAGGATTGGAATCTCTGTACAGGGCTCATAAAAAAGTCCTGCCTGTGTCATGGACATGCAGATTTTTCTGCCACGCAAGTTGCTTTTCATGCATACTTGCCTGGTGGGCACAGGTGCAGGCAAGTTATCCTCTATCTAACTGAATCAGAAACTTAGACAAGGATGCAATGGCCCTGGAGAAGCAAACTTTGAATGCAGCTTGTTCTGACAACTTTCAGTTTTTCCAATCACTGTGGATCTGTTAGGTTTAAATAAAGCCCCTTTTTGACATATCTACCTTTTAAGTTGATTTTGTTGCCAGGCATTTTTAGTGGTCTTAACTGGTTCTTACGTGAATGCAGAACTCAGAAAACCTCCTTTGCTATCTTCAAAGTCCCAATTTGAAAAGGAGGGGCAGTGGGATGAGATAAATGCAATAGGAAATAATTTAACTTCAATAATATAATATAGGATCATTTTGATTTTAATTTCTGATGTGTTTCATTCTCAGGTTACCATAGAGGGACTTTGTCAACATTATGATCTTAATCAGAGTGAGGCTGTGTCTTTAATTTACAAAGCTGTGAAAATAGCACGGGATGCTTGTGATGAAGTGAGCAGGTAACAATAGTTCTTAAGTTCCTTATTGTTGTGTAATTTATGTTAACTCCCCAGAAAAGGACTGCCACGTACAGAACACAGAAAAATTATTTTTTGGTTTAAGCACTCACAGATAATAATAAGGTCATTCACGATGACTTTTTTTAAACTCATCCCCAACAGATGGGTGTGGGGAAGGTGCCTGAATAAATTGAGGGAGCCGCAAGTGGACATGAAGGTAACCATGACAACCCTGTGAGTGGCAACCACCAAACGCCATAACACTGAGATCCTCAGTGGAAAGTTTTGAGATACTTACAAAGACCCACCCAGAGCAAGGGAAGGGCTGGGAGCAAAAGGGCCTTGACAGGAGCACAAACAAAGACAGTGCGTGCAAAATGACTTAACCTCCAAAGGAGTGCTGTAAAAATACTGAGGCCCTGGAAAGGCCCTAAGCCTGCCTGGCCCCACATACGATTAGCTACAAAGACCACTGGCCAGCATTGTCTTGTGTTTAACTTTGCCTAAATTACATTTAGCCACATTTCATTTTTGTTCAGGTTAAATGTGATCACGTACAGAGATTAATTGTTATAAAGGTGATTTTAACTGACTGACTGTCTGATTAACAAGGGTGGTTTTCTTGCTCTCTAAGTGTGGTACTTGAAAAGCCAAGAAAAGTGCATGGTCAGTACATTTATTCTTATCTTTTACAGCACCAACGTTGGATGTCAAGAAAAGCTTCTGGTGGCTGGATCAGTAGGGCCATATGGAGCATGTCTACATGATAGATCTGAGTATACTGGAGACTATGTTGATAGCATGACCGTTCAGGTTAGTTGTGATAACTTTAGGCTGGTAAAAACATACCTAAACTGCAGCTGCAGTTATAGATGTTCACATATAGATTTAGCTGAGGCTAAAGGCAAAGCTCCCATAAATAAAAAAACATTGCAATAAAGAAATCCAGTTAGAGTTGAGCCTGCGACCAGCTGAAAACTAAATGATTGTCAGCGGTAAACTTGAAAGAAACACATAACCTTGAAGGTCAACATCTGAGCCTGCAATACGGTCATGTGATTACTGGTCAGCAGATACACTATTTTGACTGTCAATTGACCACAACATAGTTGTACAATATCAGATTTCAGGGTTCCACACTTAGCTAGAAAGTGTAACATTTCAAATTGGTTTCCTTATGGACAGACAAGCAGCAGGTGGGCGGGTGGACGTATGGTTACGTCCCTTCCAAAATATCTTGGATGTATAGGTAACCAAATTTTCTTAGGTATGGGGCTCTGCTCACGCTCGCTTAGAGCTCTGCAAAAAGGTCCAACAAGCTGGTGAGGACTCAGAGTGCAAAGAAAGTCGGTTTTACAGCCTGCCATTCAGGCAAGCTGTAGCTAGCATGTACTAGCCCAGAAGTCATTTCAGCTAGCCCCCAAACCCTTTATGATCAGCAGGACTGATTACAATACTTCTGTAATTTGAATTTCCCCAAAAAACAGCACTTGCCCGTCGGGCAAGTTAAGAAAAAAAATCACTAGCCCGATAGCAAAATCCACTAGCCCCAGGCTATTGGACACGGCTTTCTTTGCACGCTGGGACTTCAATGCCAGAGCTTATCCTGGTTACAGTGTCATGATCAACTTAAAAAATGCTGGAAGGGATGCAAGTCCATACAAGGTTAACTACCACCAATGTGGTGCCTGGGTGGAGAGAAACAGTGTCAAAAAAAGATTCTTGATGTCTAACAGTATAAAAGAAAGATTATTGACATCTGAAGAGATACATATACCAAAATAACTAGCCTCCTACATAGATGCATCTTTGACTCACTACCCAGTCCTCCTGAGGATTACCAAGGATGGCATGAAGAGCAAGAAGGGTGTCTATGTAGGAGGCTACACAATAGCTCTGTTTTGTTGCACATCAGCACTTGACCCACTTTCAGTAGTGGTACTGCTACATTTAGTTCCCTTCTGGGCTGAGACACTAGAAAAGTATGGGGGTCCATTCTTGGTTACCTTCACATTGAGTTTTATATTTGGTTCTTGTCTATAGTAGGGAAATAACGTGATGGTTCTTCAGAATTATTGTCCACTTTCAAATCGGACCCCATCCTTAACCTCCACTAGTAAATATGTGCTCTTTCATTACAGGAACTTATGGACTGGCACAGACCCAGGATAGATGCTCTGCTACAAGCTGGGGTGGATATGCTAGCAATGGAGACCATCCCTGCTCAGGTATATCTACAATGTCCTTTGGAAAAACCCCTTCTGGCAGATCAGGAACTAATCACGTAATCTGAAGGCTGCTTTTAAAAGAAACCTTAAAGAGCTCTTCCTTTTGGTACAAATGGTTTTAGGGCATCATTCTACCTGCCTGAAAGGGTTGCATTACAAAGCACGCATTACTAAGCGATGATTCAGTTCTTAATGTCTTCAAGTGGCTACATCATAGTCAGTGATTTTAAACTGTTGGCTTTATCTCCTTTACCTTGTCTTGCAGTTAAGTGCAGAGAGTTGGAAGGGAGCCCAGTAAGAAAAAAGAACGTAGGGGACAAAAACCCAGTGGCATGGTCTGCCTATGATGACGGGGGTGAATAGGGGTATGCAAATCTGCCGATCCATTATGATTTATTAACCAAATCCATCCTTCTATTTTCACCCTGAATCTGAAATCTGGGCAAAAATATTTCAGTCACACGCAAAGTCTAAAATCCTGGCCCAAAAATAGATGAATCCGCAATCCGCCGCCATTTCAGGATCCGGAAATCCGTTAAAATCCCTCTTTGAATCTGAAATCCGGGCAAAAATGTTTTCAAAGTCCGCCCTCCGTTTGCCTATTCACCTCCCTCTGTGATTGTGTGAGTGGAAAGATGGGGCAGATATCAATAATTGCGGTGAATGTCCCGAATTATCACCTCCTGCCGCAGAAATTTTAACTTTTTTTAATCCACCACTAGAACTTTGTGGGTTAACTATTACAGCTAAAATTTAGTCACCTTCCAAATGTTTGGTCTGACTAGAAACTATTTTAGCAATGGTCCTTCTCTCTGTCTTACAATGCCAAGACATGGGCCAGAACTGTACATGTGGACTAACGGTTTTGAGACTCTTTGTCTCTGTTCATGTTTATTACTAGAAAGAAGCAGAGGCACTTGTCCAACTTCTCAAGGAATTTCCCTCCGCAAAAGCTTGGCTAACGCTATCGTGCAGGGTGAGGTCAGGATTCTTGTATGTCCATGTCTATCTGGGGTCATCCTTCTTGTGGCTCACTTGCTTCATTGTGTTCATAGTATCGTGCATAATGTTTCTGTTTAGCACTGTGAGCAATACAGTTTAAACTAGGGTTTGTACAGTCTTGAATTCCTGAAAAGGTCTTGAAATTTGCCCAGCAATGTTCCGGACCTGGAAAAGTCTGGAAATATGGTAAAAATCTGGAGTTTTTTTTTTTTTTTTCAAAAAGCTGTAGCAATTTCTTTATGATTTTTTTTCCGTGGTCACATCCTATTCAATCTCGCCCATAGCCAAGACATACAATTACAGAATGAGTAGTTTCAGAACTTTTTTTCTCCTCATTGCAGTGGTTACTGTACGTTTCGGTTGCATCATGAAAAAAGCTTGGATCCTGCGTTTTTCAAGGTCTCTATTGATCACCTATTGTTAACCTTTAGTCTGGAAAAATAAATTATTATTTTGGAATAAAGTCTGGAAAACGTCTTTAATTTTGGATCCAAAAATCTCTACGAACTATGTTAATCTGATTTTTATGTAAATTCTCAAGATAGAACAGTTTTTTTTCCGGAAATGTCGTAAAGCAGCTCGTACAACAAAAGAGTTTTACTTGAATCTTTCTATATATATTTGTCTTACTTTTTAAGTCCTGAAGAGACACTGTGGGTAAATAAAGATGTTGTTATTGTTGTTTATGTCACAGGTCAAAATTAAATCCAGGTTAAACTTTTTTAACTGAGGTTGATTCTCAATTTCCTTTGTCTCTTAGCTCTAATTATTCGCGAAAAGTCCCTCAGCGGTGATGAACGAGGAGAAACGTCTGCCGTTCGCAGGCTATGGCTCTGTCAGTGAAAGAATATGTGACGCTTTTCGATAAGAATTGGCGTGTTAAATTTATGGCTACATTTATGTTTTAGGATGGAAGTCACACTTGTCATGGAGAAATGTTCTCTGATGTAGTGCAAAACGTTGTCAGGCAGTCAACTCAAGTGAGTCTTAAAGGTTGTATTGAGGTCATTAGAAATAAATTCTTCATCACTGTAGTCAGGGGCACCCAACGTCAATTTTTGGAAAAAATCTGTTCGGAAGACGATTTGAGCTCTAGAATTTTCGGAACATTTGTTGTAAAGTAACAAGACGTACATTTTCCTTTAAAATATTTTTTCGAATGCATATTGACAGGTAAAAAAGTGGAGTGTGGATATTTGTTTTTATTACAGGGTTGTTTTCCTTTTAAAAACATTACATTATTGTTTTCCCACTCTTTGAGTTTCTCTCCTCATATGATCCTGTTTCACTCCTAGGTTGTGGCCGTTGGTGTTAATTGTACCTTTCCTTTGTATGTAAAGGTGTGTGCTCAAGATTACTCCACCATTGCTAATTTTGGTGTGCCTTGTTAACATGTTATATAATACCATCAAATTATGTACAATAAATAGCAGCACGACAAGACATACATGAAAATAATTGCAGAACTTCAAAGGTGGAAGTTGTTCACACTGAGTTGACCAGATTTAAACTACAGTCAAATCTCTCGGAAGCGACCACCTCGGAAATTCCAAAAAGTGGTCGTAACTAGAGCTGGTCACTTATAGGGATGAGCTCTCGCACGCGACCGCATGGTAAAAGAAAAACTAACAACGACGGAATGACTGGGTAACAGACAATTTGACTTACAATAAATGCGGTACTCAGCTCTGAGAAAAAGACGGATCGTAACGCACCTAGCCTGCGAGCAAGCTCTCCTGTTTGGGCGAGTGAAACGCGTTCTCGCGAGGCTCGGTTCGTTTGTCCAAATAGGAGAGCTTGCTCGCAGGCTATAACGCACCAAAGACATTTAACAGTCCTCCTAGCAAATAGCATTACGGCTAAGCTGACAGACGACCAGAATCATCGCGACATAATTGACTAATCAATAACAATAATAACCACAGTTAAATACCATCAACTGACGTGATACAATTCACTTTGACTCTGAAGATTACTACCTCGCAGGTTGTCTAAACGTCAGTCAACAACAGCTGACAGCTGGCTCCACTTATTTTATATGATCATTTGAATATTTTTATTTAATTTTCTTTTGATGTAGCCCCTGTTGCAGAGCATCAAAGGCAAAGTGGATCTACCCTTCGTTGTTTACCCTAACAGTGGGGAAATGTTGAAAGATGGAACGTGAGTGCTTTACTAGTATTGGGAGTCATTCAAATGGGAGAAAAGAAGATGAAAATTGGGAAAGAGAGAAGAATAGGATACTAGTGGTGGGGTGGGTAGAAAGAGTAATGAGAATTTTGAAAATGAAAGAAAAGGTGTAAGTGTAGAAAGGACCAAGAACGCCGGGTAAAGTCAAAGAATCACTCATGTGTTGCCACCGACTCTGTCGTGCTCAAATACATGGCAATTATATCATCTTTAAGGAGAGGGGCAAAGGATACTTTGAATCAGATAATAATGACTTACTGAAGATCAGTATCCGTTTTAGAAATAAGGGTGATGAGTGGTCGATCGAAAATGATGCGTCTCGAAAAATATCAGCGGAGTCTTGAAAACTCGACATCTAAAATAAGAGTCTCGGAATCTCGGTCTCGCTAAAAAATGACTCGTCTCGAAGTCTCGAAGATGGATAATTTGGATCGCGGAATCTCGAAAATTGTACCCGATATTAAGCCATGTATATTATAATCTCGAAGGCAAGGTTTAAAACCAGGGTCTCGCAGCCTCGAATTTACCATTCTATATCCCTAAAAGTGATTATTACATGCATCTAGGATGGATTCCTCTAGAAAAGTACAACTGCACAGCCTTGTGGATGGGTGGATTGAAGCTGGAGCTGTTTGGATAGGTACGTTTTTGAGAGCAGAGAAGTGATCTTGATCGCTGAACCGACCATGACACTACTGCTCCTTCACTTGCTCGACCAACGGTCAAAAACCTTTTTGTTTTTCGTTCCACTGGGACAAGGTAAACTGACCTCAGCTCTAGCAGGAGATAGCTATTACGGTGTTCAGCAGTGACGGGAAACAAAGCAGAATTAGTAGGATTAAAAGGGACTTTAAGATCCAACGACGTTATGGCAACGACAACGTCAAAAAACAACAACTTTGCACGTGCAGCACACGTTTTTGCATATTTCTTTGCCGTTTTTGCAGACTACGACGTGAAAATGCCTATATTTGACAAGGTAAGTGTGTAAGAATAATCGCGATAAACACTGAAAGAATGCAAACTTACGTTTTAAGCGACGTTCTCGTTGCCGTCGCGTCGTTGGATCTTAAAGCCCCTGACAGAAGGCGTGAACGCGATTGCTTAAACTACCCTTTGAAAAGTTGGGAGAGGAGAAGATTTCCGCGTTCGCGATCACAAGCTAGTGGTAAGGATAAGGCAGGCTTCAGTCGCGGTCATAATTACTTAAAACACCAAATACACCACGTGTTCGCACAAGTACATTTATTGCTTCCCTCTCCTCAACCTAATGTTGGTTTCACGGGTAACGTCTTCAAAATCAACATTGACGGGAGAAAGATAAAGAAATCTGCACACACAACCTCGTCCCCAGGGCTTTTCCCTCCAAGAATGGGTGGGGCGCCCCACCTATTTTTTAAGGGAAAAGCCCTGGGGACGAGGTTGCTGCACACATTTCATCGAATGTGACAGAGGTGGTTGATACCCTTTTCCTTCAATTCCCCGGGGGAATAGTCCCTGTAATGGGCAATACGGAAGGGCTCCGCCTGAAAGGGGTAGCTTTTTCAGGCTTCAGGTATATTAACTTGAAAGGGTAGCAATATCACTACTTTAAGCATTTCTGGTATATGAAGGGGTAGGGAAATGTCATTGTGGTCTGAAAAAGGACCTAAAGGAGCTATCACACACATCTCATGGTTGTGTAAAACCCACGAAAACTTTCTTGTCTAGTGATTTATTCATATTGAAAGTGAGTTGTATTTACTGGAGGTAAAGGAGTGCAATATTGTAAACCACAGGTACTATTGGGAAAGGGTTACCATCTCACAATAGAAGGTATACGAAAAGGGTAGCTTTTTCTTTACTGATATATGAAAGGGTCGCAAGACGAGCTTCGACTTTTATCCCTGAAATGACCTGCAGAGAATGGATAGCAAGACTCTTGAATTTGTTACCGACGTTCACTGCTAACATCAGACAAAGTGGATTTCAATGTAACTATGCGTACTGATGTTATGTTGAAACTAATTTCGCAGGAGGTTGTTGTCTGACGAAACCAGAGGACATAGTAAAGATACGAGAAGTAGTGGACAAGCATCGATGACCAGCCAAGCAATCTTCAAAGGATACCTTCAGCTGTATCGCAGTGTTCTAACCAGACTGCGACAATGCAGCACTTTTTCGGGAAATGCCGCACTAAAATTAACCCAAGGGCTCCTAAGAGCGCAAAGAAGGAAAAAAAAAACTATACAAAACCTACGTACATTTCCTTATAATATACGCCAAAAGTTAATTGGTTAAGGCGTCTTTACTCTAATTCAGAGCTGTAAACTGAACGCTTGTTAACTGTATGTAAAAATTGGATATCTATTATCTAAGAAAGGGCGAAGGATTTGCTCTGACTCGGACCTGGGAGTTAAACATTCGGGTAACTGTATCTAATAATCTGACCAGCTTTTCTCTCTCTTGACCCTCTTTTAGCTTCTCTATGGGTCCTGTGGATCCCAGTGTAGAAAATCCTGGTAAGGGACGGACCATTAGAAAAGTTATGGCGGGGGAGGAGAATTTTCGAGCCGCAGGAATTTTTTTTGTTATCAAATTCCTTGTATGAATTTTTTTTAGGCCATAGCATGAACATTTGTTGGGATTAATTGGCGTGCAAGAATTTTTTTCATTTAATTTTCCCTTGCGCGAATTTTTTTTTTCGTACCTCGACCACCCCCCATGAGTTTTCTAATGGTCCGTCCCTAAGAACACTGATATCAGTGGTATCAATGTCTGCTGTGTATGGAAATCAGTATTCCTGTACATTTCAACACTTGTTTGCACTAAAGACCGATTCTCATTCATGTAATATAGTAACAATAGAAACCGACATGGATAGAAAGAAATTAAGATGAAAATAGTAATGAATAATGGCAATCATATAATTGGACCTGTTGGTTGAAGAATTAAATTCTTTCATTTAAGAAGTATTATCGTGCATTCAAAATATTTCCCCGATTCTAATTGCCTAAAAGCACACGCATAATTCACTAAAACCAGCTACTGATGACCAAATTTGGAATAATTTTGCGATTAATGAACCGATGACGTCAAAAGTGCAGCCTTCTTGCAAGTTAATGCACCGTTAACCGAGAAGACCTGGGGTCGAAGTGGGGTTGTTTTCGTTCTGAAAACAAAAATGGCGGACATTTCTATCGCTTCAAGAGTAAGAACTAGGCAAAATAATAGCTAAATACGTGGCAAGAACAGCAAGAAGACAACTCGAAGGGCGACATCTGCTATTTGGAGAATAACTGCGGAGTTGAACAACACTAACGTGCACTATCGAAGATGAACTTAACATCTATGAAGGCAAGCTTGTTTTGGCTATGTTTTTAAACTATGAATTATCTTGAATGAATAATAAAACAATTACTGAATTCGGCTTTCGTATCATATGAAGAATTATGGAGATCTCAGAGGGTGTTATCCGCCTTGGCCTACGGCGTCGACGGATAACGCCCTCCTCGATCTCCATAATTCTTCATAAGATACTCGGCCTCATTCTTTAATTGTTAAATTACGCAGTTATATTTCCCGGACTAGCTATTCAACCCATACGCAATAATTACACAAAAGTGGTCGCAAATCTCAGTGACTTTATTAGTAATTAAAATGTTCCTGAGAAGCCTGTATACAAGTTGCACCATCTGCATAACATTGCCTGTGTTGCCAACAATCTGTAAACCATACTTTGAATCCAGATCCAACGTCACCAAACAAGCTATGTTGCACCAGATATGAATTTTCTCACACTTTACGTTTTTCTTGGTAAAATTTAAGTTCCGTGTAATAGCTGGAATTTATTAAAATGGCATAATTTTCTCCACAGTACCCCACAGAATGAATAGTTAAATAGTTGAATTTTAACACTGATTTTAAGATTCCCCAGATTGGCAAATTCAGGCAAGCACTGTTAAACATCTCAAGGGACTTCAAATTTGAATTTTGAATTTCACACAGTTCTATTAGCCTGCAATTGACAAGATTCTGATGGCTTGAGAAAAAACTGTTTTCCTTGAGTGTAACAATAGTTCCTTCTGATCTGAGAACTGTTGGGAAGTTCAGTGACTGTACATAGCATCCAAGGCAGCCCTGTAATAGTTTGTAATGTTCTGGCGCTTTAGCTTGAGTGAATTAGTAACCAGGTCGGTTTCAGGCGTCCACTGTTCTGTGACCAGTGTCAAACGCTGAGGGAGCTCAAACTTCTCAAGTTTTACTGCAAAAGACCACAGCAACGCTGGGAGTTAGAATTTGCCACTTTACAAATTAGGAGACTGGGCCGAGTTAACTTTTCGCAAAGACTTTTGGGACTGTTACTGAGGACGGGGAAAAATTGACCAATAGCTGACCGGCACGTCCCCAGTAACCATCCCAGAAACATTTGTGGGACGCATTTTGGCCCTAGTACCCTGCTCGTTTTAACCCCAAGGTCCAAAAGTGACCAGCATAAATTTCCGCCAAACAATAAATATTTCAATACATAAATAAGAGAACAGGTTATGAGAATTAAAAATTGATCACCAAAGGGATGTTTTGTGAGGGAACGTGTGGAGATTAGTCTGGAGAATTTGCATGTGGATGTTGGGACTAGTATGGCAAATGCATCATTTTAGAAAATGAGGGGGAATTGAGCACAACATCCTCAACTAAACAAAAGAGATTTTACCACAATACATGTAAGGTAATACCTTACATGTATTGTGGTAAAATCTCTTTTGTTTGCTTTTGCATCACTTAGATAGCTCAAGTGGCTGTCTGCATCCATAACCTGATATAGAATAATACTCCACCTTACAAATACTTGTGGAGGGGTGTGTAACCAAGCGGTTAACACCTTGAACTACAGATCTGGAGGCACTGGGTTCAAGCCTTGCCCTTCCCATTGTTTCCTTAGACAAGGAACTTAACTTCACTTTGTCTCTCTTCACCCATGTGTATAAATGGGTCCTGGCAACATACGGCCCGAGGATAACCCTATGATGGACTAGCATTCCACCTAGGGGAGTAGTATCACTCCTAGGCATGCTTTATGTTAAGGAAACCGGGATAAGCTTGTGTGCGTGCGCCTTTACCTTTTCACCTCACTGTAATACTTACAAGCTTTGCCAAGAGCCTGGAGGTCCTTTAGCACAGCATCTGTGATAGTCTTACTTCTGCACTGTTCAGCCCAATCATCAGTCATGATACCAAGGGAAACAGCTAATGCCTTTAGCTGCTTAGGGCGTGGCACTGCCAAGCACACCACATAGTTGTAACAAGACTCTGCATACACACAGAGGTTTTCAACATATTGACTTTGTACGAGGGTAGCTTCAACTTTTCCAAGGGAAACGTACTCTCCAGCCGAGAGCTTCACAAGATCTTTCTTGCGGTCTAGAAAAATACACGTTCAGTTACATTTAACTCCTTCTGAGAAGGAACCTAACTATGCCTAATGGTAACAGTCCAGTCTGGAAGCAGCTGCCAGAGGAACTAAATTACCCATTGGTCCCCAAACCAATGGAGCTTTCTTACTTTCCCACCAATTGTATCTACTTATTCTGCCAATTGATACAGCCTCTCTCTCCACTAATGTTTGGAAGAGCGCATGTGGTTTGTTTTATATTCTATTCTTTCGTATTGTGGTATCCAGACTGTGACTGCACAACATATGCATCAGTAATTGCTCATATCAGTCTACAAGGGGTTTGCCTTTTTGGAGAATCACATCTCCCTGTCAGGTAAGTACTAACCCTCTGATGAAATATAACATCTCTGAGCTGTACCCTATTTCAAGGGAGGCAGAATATTTTTACAGTCAACCCAGCTGTAAGCTACCACCCAGAATGCAAAGAGTTAGTGGTCACTTATGAAGGGTGGTCGCTTACGACATTCGAACTGTGGGAGGTAATTTAGAAGCAAAAGTCCAGACACATCTAGGTTTTGAAGAGAACGTACTGCATGCAATTGTTAGTTCACAATATATTGTAAATCCATGTTGTTTCTGAAAGTTATTCTCATACTCTGACTAATACAGTTCACACAGCGAACGCAAAGATCAGACCATTGTATCAGTTGGTGGCTTAAAGAGGGTTAAAATAATGGAAAATTCTGAAACTGTCATTCTAAAAAGTGGTCGCGGTCACTTCCGAGAGAGATTCCAACTATAAGGCTTTATCAGCACTGCTATGTCATGAAGTTGTATAAGCCCAGCGACTATAAGCAGAAGTAAATGGTATTTCCAACAAAATCAAGTCAAGGACATTATTACCTATAATCTTAAGACATCCATCAGGGTGGAACTCGCCAATGTCTCCAGTATGGAACCAGCGCTGGCCATTTCTATCTACTTCAAATTCTTGAGCTGTTTTTTTTGGATTCTTGAAATAACCCTTCGTTACATTTGGACCTCCAATGACAATCTCTCCTCTAGGATAGGGCTTATCTCGGACGGTATAGTTTCCTAAAAAAATCAAAAACAAAAGAAGAAAGTCTGTTGTGTTTATTATCTTTCTGGCCAAGAACCATTTTATAAATTGTTTGTCTTATTACTAACCTTCTTCCCAGCTGACAAGCTTAATTTCTGATGAACAAATTGGAGGTCCCACGCGGCCTATTGCTCTATCCCAGGCTAAAAAAAGGAAAACAAGAAAGTGTGAACAAAAAAACCCAAATGTGATTATGCTTTCCTTGTCCCAAATGACATTTCCCTCTTTATTGATTACAATCCATGTATTTGCCTGAGTTGAGGGCATTTCAAAAGAGATGACCGACCTCTGCTATGTCACGAAAGTCAATAAAGTGGCACTTACTTAAAGAAAACTAAAAAAAATTATTGCGACTAAGCTGTAGATTTCAAGATTTCTTCAATCCTGTCATCCAAATTCTAAACCCTGTTAAAATAAAATATCCTGATAAACTTGTGGCTAATTTGATGCCCCAATACACAGTTATATAACATACCATGGCAGACAGTTCCTCCTCCGCATGTCTCAGTAAGTCCATAACCCTGTCCAACAGGGCAGCATAAGCAAACATTCATGAAGAACTGAGTATCCTCAGACAATGGTGCACCTCCGCTTATGATCTGCCTTACACGCCCACCCAAAAGATTACGCATTTTCGAGAAGATGAACCTGTGCAAAGAAAAAATTGATGTCAAGGAAAATTTTACAGTCAAACCAGGCCAAGCGTTCCCATCGCTAAAGGACTAATAAATTCATTAATGGCAAATTCTTTCCGTTCATTGGTTCCGTAGTTTATTCACGAAATGAATAATGCAATATTCAAATAGAGCCTCAATTCAATAATGGAATGTTGATTGGATTAATAAACAAAAGCCTTGCCATATATGGACACCACGCTCCTCTGCGCTCCAGTTGAAAAATGGTGGGCAGGCGAAACAGTTTGGGACGGATTTATGGCTCCCTTGTACGTGGTTTTTCTTGTTTTCTTTCTTTCTCATTATTTATTTCGTGAATAAACTACGGAACCAACGGACGGAAACAATTTGCCATTAATGAATTTATTAGTCTGTTAGCGACGGGAACTCTTGGCCTGGTTTGACTGTAATATTTAAAAATGCAACAAATAAATTTTTAAAAAATGCTTTCTTGTTCTAGCTCTTCCACTTCCAGAGTGAACAAAAGAGTCTCGTAAGGTGGTTCAAACTTTTGAGTCTGTGGACAAAATTCTGGGGCGTGTCCATTCAAAGAAAACCTCCTGAGCAGTACTTTCACATGGACACTATTTTAATGTTCCATTATTTTACAGCAAAAGTGAATATTCATAAAGAACTGAGTTTCCTTAAACAAGGGTGAACCTCTATACTGAACAAAAAGCTACCACTACCCCTCCCCTATGGCAACTCAGAACTTTAAAACTGCAATAAATTTCTCTTGCTTTATTGAAAATAACTCTTTTAACCCACTCGTCCCTTCTACCGCTTGTGACATCATCAGTTTTATTGGTCAAGGACAACATTGTCTGCTAACTTATGCAGGGTGAAGAGATCTTTCAAACCATATAACAGAATTCAGTAAAGAACACCAGAGAAAAAGGCAAAAAACATGTGATATTGACCGAAATCTTGTTCCACTATCGACCTACCTTCGCTTCCTCTAATCCTAATATTCTAAAAGCTTTCCCAAAAACGTTTCCCTCCAAAATGAAGCCCACTATTAAAATCCCCAGCAAAATTAGACAAAACAAGCAAAAAAAAAGAGGGGAGGAGAGAAAGCACAAAAGTACAAAAATATGCTTTCTGCACAAGCCCGAAATTCACAAGCTAATATTTTGCATGTAGATCAGAAGGCTGTGAAGTGTATGACCTGTAAACGGCTCTGTGGTAAGGTTTAGTTCTTTATAGCATGACACAGAGACCAGAAAACCGCTCGATTAGCTTCAAAACACATTTTTCGACACAATTTCCAGGGGCGAATGGGTTAAAGCATGGCAATATTAAGGGTTGATAAAAAATGAGCAAATAAAGTGCACCCGTCTACTGCATAATTATGATGAAGTTCAGCTTCTTTTGTAAGTCATTGATCGGAAGTCAGGACAATATTCATTGGATAATTTTCGCTTCTCCGCTACGTGCATTAAAAAACCCATGGGTCTTTCCCATGGATCCTGCTACTAAGGGGCAAAAAGCGATCCAATCCCCCATACCAGGCTAAAATTGGCAGCAAATGTCAACATGTCCTACACAATACTCACGTATATCCCTAGGGTTGACCCACAGAATAACTGTTGATAAGTGCATAATGTTTTGTGGCTTGAACTTACTTGTTAAGAAGAGGAGTATCGTAGCCCATCCTCAGCTGTTTCATCTTGTAGCTGTATGCAAACGTGAAGAAAAGCTGTAGAAGGCGGGGACCCTCCTTGACCTTCTCCATAACATTTTGCCGTATTCTATCCATAATGGCAGGGACAGCACCCATAATGGTTGGCCTGAGAACTGACAGGTCTCCTTTTGTTCCTTTCTTGATTTTAGATGACTAAGGAAAGACAAGAAAAGTGACAAGATTAATAGTCAAGAGAAATTCAGTGAACTAACAGGCAACTATCTTATAGTTATACAGCAGGGTTGACACGGTTTGGGTCCAGTTCTCCCATCAGATCACTTTTTTGTTTGGAAGATCTTTTATCAGAGAAATAATTCAAATGACCTGACAAAATGTCCAGTCAATCAAGGATTTGACAAGCCTGTTTTTGACTGGACATAAGTTGACACCTAACCAACAAACAGCTGTGAAAGACAGGGTTCTCAATAGAAGGCGGCACCCGGCGATTGATCGCTTATGGGAAAAGTCGACACACCTTTTTGCAATTTATCTAAAAATCTATTGAGAACCCTGGAAAGACACACCTTTCAATCTAATCAGCTGCTGTTGGCTCATTTTTTTTGCTCCTTCTACCTGTACAGTCAAACCTCTACTAATGGCCACTTCTCTACAACGGTCCCTTTATTTCATTCCAGCAGAAAGATTTACGCTTATTTAAACCTCCCGCCAATGGCCACCTCTCTACAACGGCAACGGCCACTAACGCATGTCCGCAACAGCGAAAATAACCTCTCGACAACAGCCAGTTTTGTCAGCGACTGACGAAAAAGTCAAGAATGGACATAAGATTTGATCCGTACGGCACATTTATGATCAATCGCTGCAACTGCATTTTGATTTTGTTTCATTTATGCTCCTGTTGCAGTGAGCATAAATAATTTGTCTACAATACTTACAGCAAAAGTTGCAAACCTTTCTCTTTTTGTTACATTAACATTTTGATTCAAGACATAATTCAAGCTTTTCATGTATTTTATCTCCATACATTATATATGATTGGATTTCCACGATTATGGGACACAGTAAGCATAAACTTAGCAGAAAAAAAAACATGTTGTGCTCCCTAAAAAAATTGTCATACAACACCCCTAGTCTTCCCCATAACAGCAGCCACCTCTCCACAATGGCCACTTTCTTCTGTTGCCAAGGTGGCCGTTAATGTGGAAAGGTTCAACTGTACTTTAAATTTTCTGGAAAACCACGCAGACAGACATCAAAATTGTGGAAAATGCCTCAGGATTATCTTATATAAAAACATTTTTACCTGATCAGAAAGGGTAAGGGGGCTTGAGTATCCTATAGATGCCCCTTGAGCAAGAATTCCAGTTTCTACAACAATGAAGAGCACAGATAGTTAGTTACTTGTAACATTCACAAGTAAAGGAGACTATTTTTCTATGTTGGCATAAAATAACACAAATTTAGTCCTCTCAGCAATGTTCTTTCTTACCTGCCACAAGCTCCAGTACATGTGCCAAAGGTAAATAACCAACATAAACATCTTTTTCACTGAAGAAAAAAAAGAAAGATGGAGGACACGAAAGTCTAAAAATTAGCATGATCTTAAGCAGAGGCATCTCTTGATTTTGAAACAAACACGTGACGGGATTTCTACCTTGGACTGTATATAATTTTCCCTCATCATATTCTTAAAATGAAGCCAGACTAAGTGTATCAAGCGCTTGATGGCCGCTTAAAAGAGGTTTGATTTCCCATTCCCTTTTACAGTTACTCTGGGACTTTGATTATTGGCTGCTTAATAGAGAGTGGCCGCTTTTAATGAAGGTTCAACTGTTTATATGTTTACATTTGTATTCAAATAATCTACAAAAGCATAGCCATCTGTATTTTTATGCAGTTTCACAAGGCGGTTGTGCAACAATAGCAAAGCAATATGCAAAAAAGTGTAACACACATGCAAAGTTGTTGTTTTACTTAAATAAAGCTACTGCTTTTTTGCCGTTCTTGTGACCTTTGTTATTGTCACTGCTTAAGATCCATACCGATGCACATGCTGATGATTAGCTCAAAACACAAATAAAGAGAACATTACCTAACTTTGGGATGCACTCTTGACACAATTCCAGTCATAGCAGCTACTAAAGAACCATGAGGTATGATAACACCTGGTTTTGAGAAGAATGAAAGACAATAGTGACCAACATAAATTTTCTCCCAATGATATCCTGAGACACAGGACATACAGCTAGATGGATCACTTTTAGCACAAGGATTTGATGGAACAATAAAATACCTTTGGGAAGTCCTGTGGAGCCACTTGTATACATGATAACTGCAGTATCATCTGAAGTTGGACCCCTTTGGACCATAGGTTCTAAGAATATACAAACCATTTACACAATTACTATAACAATAATAATTATTAAAAAAGGCGCACATGAGCCAAAGGCTCAAACGGCTGGAGCTTAATATCCCAGTTTCCTTGGCATGAAGCATGCCTGGATGGGATGCTAGTCTATCACAGGGTTACCCCCCAGTATAATGTTGCAGGTACCCATTTACAGCTATTTTGAGGAAAGTTGTCGGAAAAATGTGCATGCGACAATACCGAAAGGTAATATGGGATACAATCAATTCACTGTTCCTGACACTGTAGCTTTCGAACCTACTTTTGTTCCTTTCCTTTAGCACTCGCAAACATATATCCATTGCCTCTCGTTCCATCCTTCTCAAATTTCTTTGAAGAGCTCAGAATACAAAAGCACCCACAATACCTTTCTCAGGATTGTCGAGTGCACTGTTTCCGACAACCTTTCTCAAAATAGCTGTATACATGTGGGTGAAGAGAGACAAAGTAGAGTAAAGCTCCTTGTCTAACGAAACAACGCAAAGGGGGCGCTTGAACCCCAGACCTCCAGATCCACAGTTCGAGGTGTTAACACGCTGGGAAAAAAAATGGTAAAAATCGGCCAAAAGATTGAGTTGGGGGCGTGATAGGCACAAACATTTTTGGAGTTCTTGGGGCTATAACTTTCTTTCCTTTAAAGGCATGACACTGAAATTAATACAGGCAACAATACTTGACTCCAGGAAAATTTTGGAGTAGGCATTTTGTTGGTAAACAGTCACGTGACCCTCTAGTGGCCAATTAAAAAATCAAAACTCCCAAAGACTTCTCCTTCAAGAAAATAAAACCTGAAAGTGTGATACTTTGCAGAAATATAGTGCACATAAAATTGAAGAACTTGTCTGATTTGAAATCTCGAATTTCATTTTTGTGACGTCACAACTGATGATGTCACAAAATGGGCTTTTTGGTCATGCGCAGTACTAACCCCAAACATGGAGAATTTGAAAGAAAAACTTGAGACAAATACAAAGTGAAAGTCTCAACTCATTATCTTCTATAGTTTAAGAGATATTTGTCACATTCCAAGCATATTTTTATACAAACTTTGGACACATTTTCTGGCCGATTTTTAGCACTTTTATTCCCAGCGTGTAACCACCAGGCCACACAGGCCTCCACAATAACACGATAATAATATTAACAAACCACACCTCTTCTTTTACAAGGCATAAGTAAGTCTCCAGTTTGCGAGTGCGTAAGAAATGGAACAAATCTTTTAAGGACAACCACAACTTCCTAAATTAAAATGCCGCTATGTAATCCTATTTGCTAAATTTTAAAAAGTTAAAACCTGCCTTTACATTTCAATCAAATTCCAAAAATAATGGTCCAGTTTTGTTTACACATTGAAACTGTTTTCTGTTGTCTGTTGCAACAGATGACAAGGATTGACATTGACTGAAACTTGAAAAACTTGGGACAATTTTTGCAAGTTTTAATGTTACTTGCAAACACCACCAAAAAAATTATCATCATAAATGCTCCTTGTTGAAATTTGTTTGAGATGTTCTTCAAAATGCAACAGGAGAAGTTTACTGACTACTAGTGTGGTGATATAGTGCCAGGCAAATGATTGACAGCTATAAATGAATTCCTTGGCACATTTTCAGTTGTGTAGGATGTGGGCTTTTTAAAAGAGAAATTGAATAAATTCAATGCCCCAAAAAGGGGGGATACGCTAGGCATGAAGAAATCTATAAAGGATCTGCATTGACAACTCCAAAAACATTCTAAGAAGAAAAAGATTGTTACAGCCGCTTACCTTTACCTTGCGATTCACCAATCTCTTCAACTTCACGGATTGAATGGATTTTCACCCTCCTTGAGAAACCAAGCAGGGTAGACTTCTTTACAACATTTCCAAGGTAGACAATATGTTCCAGTTTAGGTAGTCTATCAATCATAGTTGAAAGTTTGCTGAGTAGTGACGCATCTGTGATGATAAATCTGACATCGGTTTCATTGATGGCATGCACTAAGGCTTCCTCACCAAGAGTCGCATAAACTGTAACAACTGAAAAGAAGACAGAAAAATCAAAGGGGCTCTGTATTGGCTGTCTGGTTCACTTTACTAATAGGCTGATTTAGCAAACAGAATGGGAACATCATTTGACGACGGCAAAGCACATGAAAAGGACTAAACTCGACTTCCAGTGCCCAGTCCATTGGTCAAGCCAGTTGTTTGATTTACACGCCAACGTCAAATGACGTTCCCGTTCTGTTGCTAAATCAGCCTAATATTGCAAATAACACTTCCTTACGCACTATGGAACTTAAAGGAGAACTTCATTCCAAAATGGCAGGATTTTTTCTTTTCAACAAAAAAACTGAAATTTCGACTTAATTCTAAAGAGCTTTCCAACCCTATGAAATCCTCGTCTGAAGTAGCCCAAAATCGAGATCTGACGGCACCATCTTGGAGAACTCTTAACAGCCTGCCGATGAGTGTGTGACGTCAATGCGCTCAACCTAAGTTTCTTAAGTCACTCAAAACTTCTCGTTTCTTCATTTCAGAGCTGCACAAGAAGCCATGACCACAAAAAACACAATCCGAAACAAAGAAAAAAGGAAGTGTTGAGTGATTTAATCTTTCTGCCAAACTCAGGTTGAGTGCATTGATGTCAAGTACTTGTCACAAAGCTGCTAGGAGTTCTCCAAGATGGCGGCCGTTGGATCTCAAATTTTGGGCTCCTTTAGACAAGAATTTCATACAGTTGGAAAGGTCTTTGGAAGCTGAAATTTGGGCAAGTAACCTACCTTAATCTAATCTTTTTGTCAGCGAAAAGAAAAAAACTGCCATTTTGGAATGAACTTCTCCTTTAACGTTAAAGAAGAAATATTCCTTGTAAACAACATGGAGAGTTTGAGGCAAATAACTAGAAATAAGGATATGGAATGGGGAAGGAATGAAAGTAACATGCACACTTCACTTCAAGGGCAGTAAGAGATATATCGGTATTTTGAAAAAGGAATACAAAGAATATATGTAGTTGTTTTGAAATAAATTCAAGGTTTCAGACTGAAGTATATATGTTTTTTCAACTGGTCATGAGCTTAAAACATGGTTCGAGTAATCAAGGGTAAAATGAAAGGGTAAAAGCAACACTAACAACAAAACAAAACAGAACAAAAAATTGAGCTTAATTCACTCACAATGACAAAAAATGTCTTATTTTTTACCTGGGAAATTTTGAGCAAAACAGCCCTGTGCAGAAATAATCCATTCAGCTTTAGTTTCAGAAAACAAAAGAATGTTTTCTTTAACTTGCTGTCCTAAAGCAGCTAACCCACGTCCAAATGCTCTTGCTCTTGCATCTACCTCGGCATAGGTCAGCCAGTTGTACTCTCCACACACAAGCTTTTTAAATACTCTTCCGTTAGCTTGAACTTCATCTTCTTCTCTAAGGACTTCTCGAGTTCCAAGGCATTTCCTGTATGGGTACAAGTTAACCGAACGCCTAGGGGGCACAAACATTTTATTTACTTAACGGAGCTATATCACAAGGATATTGCTGTTTTAGATCAACTCTGTGGTGGAGTCATTACTTAGTGTACTACAGTAACTGTAGATTTGTGAAAAAGACCACTAACCATAACAATAATAGTTTTTGGTCATTTTTGCAGACAAAACATTAAAACTTAAAAAAGTTGGCCCAATTTTTTCACGTTTCAATCCATGTCCATTCTTGCAATCCATAGCAACAGAAGACAGGAAACATTTTCAATACCTAAATATAGTCTCAAACGAAAAAAGTGGACCATTATTTTCAAAATTCAATTGATGTTTTAGCTTTTTCTTAAGTATAATAAACAGTGTGACATAGCCGCTTTAATTCCATAGTGTTAGGCTGGATCACAGACGTAATTTAAGCCCTGATAGTAACATCTGTCTAGTTTTCAACACAAGACATCAGCATTCATAAACTTGGCAAACTTGACTGACTTTTAGGTGCTCCTTCCAGCCGTTTTGACTGGTTTTAGCCAAGTCAAAGTTAGAAAAAACTATGTTCACTTCTAATACCGAAAAGGGTAAAAAATTTTGGTCAGGAAGTGAAATATCAACAACAAGGATTAATATGGGTTCAAATTCCAGACAAATGTCTCCACATGTTTATACGTATAGGAGCCAATTTTTCTGAAAAATGATATGATCAAAGTACAAGGATGTCTTAAACTAAAAGCTGGGGTGTACAAAGGCATGAACTTTGTTTCTTAGGGACAAGGGTTTACAAGATGTTCTAGTTGCAATATAGGTTTCAAGATTATCTCAAAATGCACTAAAAGTTGGTGAAAATGGTCCGAAATTAAGGATTGACTTTGATATTTTGACACGAAAGAAAATAGTGCAAAGTTTTGGAAAGGAGTAATCTTTGGCAAAAGAAAGACACACACCCACACCACACCTCCACCACACCCCCCCAGGGGAAACCATTAATACAGTGCCTCACAAGAATGCTGATATAAAATATCAGTGTCCCCTTATGAAATTGCAAAATGCGATCAACAGCAACAGAAGAAACTAACAAACAAATTTTTCATTCAAGTGGTAGGACAGCAGGCCTGTATTGAATACAATCACAAGAACTTTCGTGCTTAGCAAGCAAACATTTAACAATTCGCCGACTATATACATCTCAACTGTTGGACTTTCAACTAAATATTGTACTAGAGCACCACACAAATAATACAAAACAAATACAATTTCAAATACCTAACAAGAAAGAGCAGAACTATCGAGGCCTGAAATGAAGATTAATGATTCTCTGTTACAATTAAATGTATTTCGACGAGAAAAGCACTTCGATCGTTACGGTGGGCAATAAAACGAACGCTCGGGAAAGTACAACTCGGGCAAAAAATGGAAAACTAAGCTGCGTAGTACAGACGAATCTGCAAGGTAACCATTTGAAGTTCGATCCTTGATACGAATTTTACTTTCTCGTCGTGCAAGTCGCTTGCAAGACAGAAAGATATCAAGCGCGAGAACTTTGATCCTTCATATTTACGTCTCAAAGAATGTACTTTAACCTTACTGCATGTTAAGATCATCTAGACAGTGCTGTAAACGCACGATTCCACAGTTCCACAAGATTCCTAAATGATGGAACAAAGGTTCACCTCGGCGCAATAAACAAACGCGTTCATACATTTTGCCATTTCGACTATAGCTCTGCCTAACCCTGGACCACTTATCGTTCATTTTGCCATTTTCGACTCTAGATCTACCGAACCTTTGATCAAATATCACGGCAAAAACATGCAGTTTCACAACAGGCACATTACTGATCGAAATAAATCACCGGTGACCTCGTGATCAAAAATCAAAACCCCTTTACACCTTTTCATCACACGAGGGAGAAACTACTAGAGTGTATTACGTGTACATGCAATTCTCCATGGTGAAGGGCTATTTTACGGAATCGCACCTTTTTAACCCGCAAAACACACGTAAAACTTCACTTGCAGTAAAAAATCAATATCTAGGCTTAATTCCCCGGCTACTTTACAAACTTACTTGAATAGTTGATCCAAGGTATTTGCGCCATCATAAAGAGTCGTCACCAAAGAATCGAAGTGTTCAACACATCGATACGGAGCGCCTGGAAATTGACCAACAGGCCTTGCTTGCACTTTATTTTTCGGTCGGTAATGTTTTCTTCCGACCAGATAATACCATGGCAGAAAACTGATTATTCCCCAAAACCAGCCGGCTATGTTAAGGCTGAAGAGAAACACGTTCTCCACCAACGACCTCTCCATGTTGTAATGGTGACTTGACTGTGAATCAAAAAGGAGGACTCTTGCGACGGGGTGAACAAAGTCCGCATGACCTGTCACTCAGCTGAGAACCGCCGTCACCCTGCGCGCGCATATCACCACACCGACTCACAACATTTTGCCACTCCAAACAAAACCCAAACGCAAACGATTATCAGCGATAAGGCAGCTTTTGCAGGTTTTTTCCTAATATTCAATACCCGAAAAAACTTTTTTGCCTTACTGCAGTTGTTCACCCGGGTTCGAACTTTGCTCAGGTGTTAATCACTATTGTGACGTCACAATGACCTGTTAACAAAACTGATTATAATTCGATCAAAGTTCAGAGCACTATATACCATGTGGAAATGAACGGGAAAATATTACATAATACTAAGTAAATACGTTCCATACATTTTACTCTAACTTCTCTCATCATAATCGTCACACAGGATAATTCTTTTAGAAAATATTAATACAAATGTGGTCCTGTGAATGTTTCGAAAAGAACCGTCCCGATCCGAGTTTCCGAGGGAATGTCAAGGATTACATCGAACTACAAGTATACGTACGTGGGCTTCGCGAATTAATTTACTCCACGTTTGGATCTAAACATTTTAAAACGTTTCTATCATGACGCGCGGAACTTGAACCTCAAAAGATTTTATGCTCGCCGCCACCACCTGGCGGGGCCCGGCATGTGCAAGTATTCTCGTCGTCTTAGTAGAGACAGCAAAAATTGGTCTCACTAATAACAGCCTACGAGGAAGGCACCGGTTAGTTTATTTGATAATTCCCCCGCGAGGGGAACACGTGAAGAGGAGAAAAGGCCTCCTCTCCTTTTCCAAGCAATTTCTCCCTTGGCCTGAGGGACAGAACGCCAATGTTTTTACCCGTCTTGGTATCGCTTAGGGTTGTGCGCAGACTGGGTTGTGCGTAAGGAAATTGTTTCATCATGGTCCCTGAACCACGCCCAGCAATTGGTCGCCTGACTCTTCTTTAGGGGTTCAATTAGACTTGCCACAAGTCGACCTCAAGAGTGTAAATCGGACAAAGGACTTTTTTTGAAAGTCTAGGGTTCAATAGGCCTCTTAGCTTGTATGTTTTGTCTTCCTTAAGAAGGTCTCAGGGGAATTTGACGAAATTTGAAAGAAACAATTCTCGTGGAAAACAACATCCCGTGGTCAGTCTCCGGGCCCGGAAAGGGGGGCGGGGGGGGTTGTCACTCACCCTCACTTTCTGAAGAGATAGAGGGATTCCTGTTCAACAGACTGGTAAAAAGATTATTTAGCCTTCGAGCAAGCTCTCATGTTAAGGGTATAGCAAACTTGTATTTTTTGGGGGGGAAACAAATGAAGTCTGTGTGTGACAGTGTTTGAAGCCTGCGAACAGCAGACGCATTTCCGGTCGTCGCTTCTACAGTGTGTGCGATGTCACGCGCGGAAGGCACGCCAAATAAAGTGCTTGCTCACAGAGGGTAAGGATAACGATTACGTCAGTGACTCTGTACTTTATTCCACAGATCAGAGCAGTCGAGTTCATTTTCTAGCTCTTACATAATCATCCCTAGTGGATATAAGCAGATGAGCGGAACGACAAATCAGTACCGGTAATGGCAGGTCAAAGTCTACGCGAACTCTGAAACTGAGGGGCGCCCTACACATCAGCTCTACAAAAACACCTGACTACTGAGGTTAAGTTAATAGGTTGGAATTTTCTAAAGGCTTCAGTTCTACGTGATACCTATTATCTGGCAGGCGTTTTTGTAGAGCTGATATGTACGGCGCCCTCCAGTTTCATAGTCCGTCTAGACTTTGACCTGCAATTACCGGTACTTATTTTTTTCGTTACGCTCATCTGCTCATAGGCATCACAAACGAACCCCAAAGGACGTCTGCGGGGAGGCTAAGGCATCACGTAGAATTGAAGCCTAATAGAAAATTCCAACTAAAATTTACTTCATTTTAGCATGACTGTTGAAAAAAGAGTCTAATATCGGTGAAGTTTGCTGCAATTTGAAACGTTTTTTAAAAATTATTTGATAAAAATAGCCTAAAAATTATTTTTCTGGTCGGTGTTCAATATCTAACTTTTGTGTCACTTATACATTTGTTCATTTTTCACTCCAGTTTAATTTTTTTGTATGTGAAGTTGGGCCGAGTAAGTTTTTTTGGACGTTATTACGGTAACCTGAGATTACGTTTCGTTTCAATGAGATGTATGAGATGATGAGATGGCCTGATCTCAGGTGACAATTGTACCCAGCCGGATGTTTCTAAATACGTCAGAAGTGTCTCAAATGGTTTTCTCCAAGCTTTTGTGGCCTGTTTGGTTATTTTGAAGCTGCCCCAAAAATTAGTCATCTGTTCGGATGTCTTAGGGGAACTTTGGTCGTCCCGTCGGTTGGGTAGCCTGTTCCCAGCAGAGTGCGGCGCGAAGTCAGAGAAGGCTGCCCCGCGAATTCACCTTTTCAGAGACGTTTTCGCTGCCTTCGCCGCGTGAAAAACACCCCGAAAATCTTGGAAAATTTAGTAGAAAAACTCCGAATATCTTCAACGAATGGCACGATTATCCAGAAAGTTTCAGCCTTTCTCGACTTTGAAAATATTTACTACTCCTTCGAGCAGCTATGGTGCCCCGGAGGTAATTACCACGGCAAATCGGCACAGTAAATACCATCGCTTCGCCGCGGGTTGGGAAAGATACAAGAAAGATAGAAGTGGGGAAAGTTTGAAATGTCAAAAAGGAGAAAAATTACATAAACCCGACACAACAACTGAATTAAATGAGATTTAATTTATATATAACAAATTCTAACGGTTTTTGACACTAATTGGTGAATGTAGACTATTTTCAGTAGATCGAGAGTTGAAGTAAGACTCACTGTGAAAATGTCAAAATAAATTATTCTCGGTTTTCACAAAAACAAGCAGCATTTGACCACACAAATTCCTTCCGCATCTTACCTCTCTTTATTTTCAACTTACACAGTAGCCGGCGACACAGACGAAACTAAACTACTGGTTACCAGTCGCGGTTAGTATTACGTCTGCAACGTACGCTACCTGAACAGGTTAAGCTTCTCAAAATTAAAATAAGGAAGGATTAACACAGCTTTAGAGTGTAAACATGCTACACCATTAATAAATTATAACATAATAAGTAATGGTAACAGGACTCAGTGGAGTCCAATTCGGTCTGTAATCATACGAGTGATTCACAAAATCGGACGACGTAGCCCGCGTTTAGCACGAGTCCGATTACAGACTGATTTTGAATCACGAGAACGGGGTATGATTTCACAGAACCAAATTTCGAACGCCGAAAGGTTTTGGGGCAGCCATTTGAAATTATTCAAGGACAGATTGAAAAATCTATACGGGTATGATTACAGACCAAATTGCGCCCGGGGAGGGTACAACATGGGGTCGTGATTTTGAAGCTCCTGATTTAGAACGGGGTATCCATTTCAGGGGCGTTTTCTAGAACGAGGTATAATATTTCGAACGCACGAAAGCTCCAGTTTTGTAAGCAGCCATTTGAAATTATTCAAGTACAGATTGCTTTTAAAAATATGGTTCAATGCAGGAACAAGCAAACTGATGTACTCTTTGCACCTTAGAACGGAGTTTAAAATATTGGCCCATTTCTAGAACGGGGTATCAGTTTAAGGGCGAATTCTAGGACGGGGTATCAATTTTAGGGGAAATTTTTTAGAACGGGGTGCCAATTTGGAGTCCCGGGCGGCACATACCCACCCAAAAAATATCCAAGTGCCCCCCCCGGATTGGACGACACAAAGTTCTGTTACCAATTAATCATACCTTTAACAAAATTTGTGATGTAATAGGCTATTTTTAAATCAAAACACAAGAAATTCGAAATTTTGCTTTGCTAGCAGTGAAAAAAAAAACATTTAGCGCGCGCGTGATGGCGCGTACTGTCCATTTACTTAGGCATGACGCGTACTGTCCTAGTAAACTGTCTAATTAAGGCTGAAATCAGGGCAGTTGATAGCCAATCAGATTTGACAATTTTGTTATAGTTATGATTATAATGATAATGATGATGATTTAAAGAATTATAAAGACAACTCAGATAATTTACTACAACTAGTACAAAACTAGAATCTAACTTATAGAAGGAGGATTAAGACTTTTTTATGCTAATTCCATAAAAATAAGCTGCGCTCACCACATTATTTGGGAACTTAATTATATTATAGAAAGATGCATCACATTCCTGTATAAAACTCAAACAAAAAAGCACCTGTAAATGATACTTTCAAAGTTTACAGCTTTAATGGTTGCTTATTTCAAGGGGAGTAAGCTTCATTATTATCTTTGTGGATAAAAACCGTCAACCTCTTAGGCAACATTTGAAAAATAATGCGGGTGCAAATGTTGTCAAGAGACTGATTTTCTTGTGGTAGGAATGTGAGAACTCATGTGTATCAAAGCCCTGATAACTTCCTGGGTGGAAGCTGACTTTTTCATAAAAGACACATTTCAATTACACCACTGCCATCCACATTTTTCTTTCTTTCTTTCTTTTTTGTCAGGAGGGGGAGGATTTCATTCCATAAATGCATTTACATTTTTCAGAGGTTTGCTGCTTTCAGCATTATTAACTTGCACCACTTTTAAGAAATTTTTGGGAGTGGGGGATAAGGTTACTTTCAGAAATTCACGGTATTACCGACTCAACTTTTGCACGAAATAAAATAAGTGTATCAGCCAAGGCTATACTACAAAATAAATTTTCCTCAAAGTTAAATATTGTAGACAGTTATGGTCAAAATTCGACTGTGGTTGTCATCAGAATTTTCATTTTGACAGAGAATAAAGACAGTTTTTTTTATTGAAAACATTAATTTAGAACTTTTGCCGGTAAGTATATTTTGGGCAGCTGAATTTGGATCATTATTCTGGGAAACTGGCCACCTACCCCTTCCCAAAGCCATTATTTTATCCTAAGTGACAAGTAAGTGTTGATATTGGCTTAGGGGAGGGGAAGGTGGGCAGTTTCCCAGAAACATACAATTATACCTCTGTAAAGTACACACTAGCAAGAGTCCAGTGGGTGTCAACTAAATACCAGTGATCACTTCACTTGATCACACTCAGTTAGTGCTTGTATTAGCACTAAGATTTTCTTTTCTTTTTCTCCCCTTTAGTCAACTGGCAAACTCTGATAATAATACTATTCCAGAGTTTCCTTTAAACTTTAAAATTAAAACGAGGAGTTAATAGAAACAAATATCATAAACTCTAACACCAAGGACGATCATTTTACAGACCCTCAACAACCACAGCCTCCACTTGGTTGTTGGGGTTCCTGTGGTGTATCTTTTAGTTTGACTTCTATGAGGTCATCTTTGTTGGTTTTGTCTGTTGTGCTTTCCATTCCAGGTAACGCTGCAGCAACTCTTCTGAAGAGCTATTAATAAAACCACAAAATAGCACACTGAACATTCTAATAACATGCAAAAATCTCAATTGACAGTGAACAGATGGGCTTACCAAGCCAAAGAACCTCAAAAATAAACCAAATAAGAAATGAAATAATAATATAGCATTTAAGTTGCAAATTGTCCTGTAGCAATTTTGTGCCCAGTTACAATTACTCCAGGGGCAGATCCAGAAAATTCAGAAAGGGATGGCCACTTGCGCACTTGCCAGCAATATAGATACTTTTTACTTTTCTGAGAATTCTCTAAACATTCTCTCTAAAAATTCTCTCCACCCCTAAACCCACCCTTGCCCTCCAAGGTTCGAATAAAGTCCTGTATGGTCATCTGGGACAAGTACATAGAGATTTTCTTGCTGTACAAAAAATTCTCTAGCCACGTCATCTTTTAACTAAGATCTTCAACTAAGCAGGGCTGTCAAAACGTTTTTAAGTAGCAGGCTGATAATGAATAATAGGCGGCTTTGGAACTTGCACCAAAGGCACAAGTTCTTGAGCGCAGAGGCATCTAGGGACATTTTGAAAATTAGAGTCTCGGAAATGGTGTTTCCAGGGGTTTTCAAGAGGTATTTTCCACCACGGACGCCATGTTGTTTTGTCAGAATACAAGCAAGACTGGGAACAATGCTGTTGAAAGGTCCCAGACGTTCCACAACATTGCATGGTTCGAACGTTTCACAGATCTAAATCTGTTTAAATATGCATTCAATGTCATTCAAATCTGAGAAACAGATACTTTATAATAATATTTTATTTGATGGTGCTTATTTTTTGTTAGCAGTTATGGTAGAAGAAGATGAAAGTAGCCGGCCAAGGATGCCTAACTAGCCAGCAGGTTTTGGCCGGATACCAGCCCTTATTGACAGCCCTGACTAAGACAAGCAAACAATGGGCTGGGAAGCAAAATGGTAAAGTGGCAAGTGCAAAGGGGAAGCTTGTTATTGCCTTTCCTAAATTATACCCAAAGGCATACATCCTAAGCAGGATCCTAGCTCCTGCAGCATTAATTTCTGCAGTGGAAAACAACTCCACTAACTACATCTTAGGTCAACAGTACATTCAAACCAGATTAAAGAACAATTTTTCTGTTTTGTACCTGTTTTACATTGTATCCTGCCTTGGCGCTTGTTTCTATAAACATGACATTCAATTCTTTTGCTTTTCTTTCTCCTTCTTCTGTTGTTACTTGTCTAGATTAAGAAAAATTGGGAAACACTTAATGTCAAGCTGTTTCACTATTTTTAAAGAAGTAAAGGAGCTGAGCAGGTTTGGCCAAGCCTGGGAAACTGCCGACATTTCCGATACCACCTCTGCTTTCCCCATAAAAAGACGTCTGAATGAGAGTAGAAACTCCATACTGATGACAGGTCACTACCCGGATCTGGGTAGTGCTTCTGACTGGTTGAAGCTAATTTTCAGTGGTAGCGTCATGAAATGTTGGCTATTTTCTCAGGCTAGGGCTGGTCCAGCAGTCAGAGCACTAGCTTTGCTCCAATGTGGCCTGGGTTCAAGTCCTGGCATCAATGCCATAGGTTTCTCTCTGAGTACTACCGATTTCCTCTTTCTCCAAAAACAACATTCAACAGTCCAATACCATAAAATCCCACATTAACGTCCCCTGGTTTTAAGTCCCTCTGGATGAAAGCCCCCCGTTTATAAGCCCACCCAAAACTCCTGATAAAGTTATATGAGCCTCGGGCTTTAATGTGGGATTTTACAGTATTTTACTGCCAAGTGTCTCCAAATAGTAGTTTGGGACAAGTAGTGGACCACAGGATTGTATATTGTAAGTTCTTGGAACTGTTAATTGGCACACTCTCTAAATAATGCTTTTTTTTTTACAACAACACTTTATTTCATATTTACATACAAAGGAAAAATTACAAATATTGTAAAAAACTAGAAAAAAAACAAGTAACAAAATTACAGTTTACAGAGTAGCCTCTCTAAATAATGTTAGTTATTTTGTTTTTTACAATGAAATTATGACTGACAATAAAATAAAGATAGAAACAAAAAATGAAAGTTACCTGACCTTTTGTCTGAGAGATCTGTTTTATTTCCAACCAACATAATAATAACATCGCTTCCTCTTTCCGTTCTTACATCATCAATCCATTTTGCCGTTTGCTGAAAGGAGTTATAATCTAGGAATAAAAGACCAAAACTGTTCACAGAGAGGATCATTATATGTTTATATGAAACTGCCCACCTACCCCTCCCCTAAGCCAATTATATAAACACTTACTTCTCACTTAGGGCAAAATGTTGGCTTAGTGGTGGGGTAGGTGCGCAGTTTCCCAGAAACGTATAATGATTTTAAGTTTCAGTCAAGCCTTTTGAAATTATTAGAGGAGATGCATGGCTGAATGGTTGTCACATTGTTCCTTGAATTTGGGCCATCCACAGTCTGTTTTTTTTCCCTTCGGAAATGTCCAAAAGACTAGGAATGAGTAAAGGATGAAAGAAAGGCTGATGACATCATGTGAAGTCAGTTCATTTACTCAGCCTTTGCTTCCGCTTCTTCTTGCTACCTCACACTAACTTGTCAGTTTGGTCGCATGATAGGGTAGACATTTTTTTAAAAACAAATTCATGTGTTTTAAAAAAAAAAAGGTTTGGCAAGATTATTGAGGAGTTTAAATTTTGGATATATACTTTACTCATATTGTAGAACTAAAACCTGCAAAAAGAAAAATTGTGTCATATACACTTTAGGCCCAATATCAACATACAAACTCTGCAGACTGATCTCCATACATTTCCTTCAAACATTAGTTGAGAGAAGTTGTTTAAAGCTCAAAGCAATATTTTTCTTAGGTGATCATTATATTAATTCTCATAACCTAATCACTTGATTACATACTGATATTGTTAAGAGAAAATTGATTTTGGTCACTCTTGGGACTACAAGGGTACAACTGTAGAGTGTTTTCACTCATGTGGCCAGCATCTATGCAAATTATTTTTGTTAGAACAAAAGAAAGCATAATTTGCGTAAGAAAAGAGTTCAACTCTCACAGGACTGCAGTGTTCTCCATAAACTTTAGCTCAGCAGGTAAGGTACCATTCATGGCTGGTATGGCAAAAAACATCAGCCAGAGGTGCACTTTCCTAGAGGGGGTGGGCAGGGAGGTAGTGAAGTGCAGAACATGGCCCCACCCTTGCTGGGAAATTTAGGAGCTAAGTTCTCTGAAACGTCATTCCCTAATTTTAAGACCCATTTTACACAAATCGACTGCTGTTACCTTTACACAACAATTTAAGATGGTTGATTCCAATAATTTTACTCTGTCTTCAATGTTCTCTTGCCAAAATGTGTGGCCCATAAAAAGAAAAGCTGTGTATACTTTTGAACTTGTCCATATATTCATTCAAGTCCTTGTGGCATGTGAGAATCGGATCAGATCATAATTTGTGTTTTCTTTAAGTACTTCTTTAATTTTAGTAAACCTTCAGGTTACTTCAGGCAATAAATTTTACTACTTACCACCTGATAAGGAGAACACTGCCCCGATGTCATGTGAAAACACTCTACAGCATGGCTGATGAGTCAAGCTAAATTTAACAACTACATTACAAAGTAAAACTATCTAACATATTTACTTGTTATGTCATAAACTACAACAGCCACACTCGAGTCTCGTATGTAGCTCGGTATTAAGCTTCTAAATCTTTCCTGACCAGCTGTGTCCCAAAGTTGCAATCGAACCTGAAGAAACAAGACAAAAACAACTAAATTCAACAGGCTTGATGGGTTATATTTGTAGGCGGCTCATAATTCAAAAGGCAATCATAAGGTACGGTAAGTAAATGCCAACTCTAATCGGTGACTGTCACCTTTTCCAGTAGTAAAATCATTATGACTATAAAAACATCAATTATCCATAAGAAGCACCTTGGTTACCAGTTAGGCAATGAACATCATTCAAAGTATTACTCTTGACATATAAGGCTATATAGGTTAGCTTGAGCGTACATTACAGAGAAGTTAGTTACATGCCCAGAGTGAAGTTTCACTAGTCCTGGGCGATTGGGCTAGTGTTAGTGTCTAGCACTGCGTATGCCATGCGTCCATGTACGCGGTAATCAGAGCTCTACCACTAACTACATGTATTGACACATTTGACAAGTGATATGGGTAACAGGATCTACTGCAAGAACCACCCAGTTTTGAATTAAAATAACTCATAACCTTGTCCTGGCTATTTATAGAATAATAAGTAATTTAACACGCCTACCGTTCTGTCTTCTAAGTACATTGTTTTTGACAGAAAATCTATTCCAATAGTGGCCTGAAAAGAGGATTGCAATAATTAGCACAAACATAGAAAATAAATAGTAATATCCAATAATTATCACTTAGGCAAGACTATGCTCTAACAGCACCCAGGGGCTCCTGGCACCTAATGATTGCTCCCGAGTTGCCCCTAGGCAACTAGAAAATCTTAATTTTTTTTTAAAATATAAATCATATGCTAGGCACCCTGGATTACACAGAGCACTGGGCTGCCTTCATTTTTCTTAGAGCAAAGCCTTGAAAGGGGTTTGAGATTATTAATTTGAAATAAAGGTCCAATAAAACTTTGGAATTTCAACACAGTTATGTCCATAGAACCCTTGCTTTTTTTAACTACCAGTCAGCACATTACTAATTAAGAGACTAGACTTCAAGCGGCCTCCCTTTCTGCGAAATGTGCAATAGAAGAAAATTGTCACATGTACAACTAGAGGCAGGAAAAAAAGAAAAGAGAGAGACTACTACCACAGCTGGAATGATTCACCTTTTATTGCCAAATAATTTTTTGGTACAAATTTGAAATCTAGACTATTTTGATCAATGAATGCTCTAGGTATAACCAATAGTAGCTTCTTATTGTGCAGGGAAAACATAATTCATTCACCCTGGCTTTTGAAGCAGTCTCCTCTTTTTCCTCCTGGGTTCACAACATTATTTCTTGTAGGTTGCAGATGTGTCCAACCCCAGTAACTTTGAAGAAAAACAAGCGACTGCTTGCAGTCTTTTAAGAGACAAAGGGACAAGATAGGTAATAAACATAAGGGATTTGCCTTTTTTCTTCATATTTATCAGTCTTATCCCCACAAAAAGCTCATTTTGTGTACAAAATAGAGTTAACAACACTGATAATGTATAGTGGCAAAACTTGGTGCTTTGACAAGAACGTCTACAAAAGGGAGAAATATATTTTGTTGTTTTTGAAAAAGAGGACAAAGGAAAAAAACAACAATTTATCACAAACATCCCTTTACCCCTTTCATTCACAAGTTTCTGGGAAGGAAAAGGCTGCTAAAAATACTACCAACAAAGAACTTATTTATAATGTCAAATTGACATCATAGTGAAGTTATCTATGTTTATTATAGTAACGACATGTCAGCTCTTTAGGATTTGGTGCCAATATAGGTAGCTAAATTGAAAGTACAGCAGAAATTATTTTTGCATAACATTCACCAGCCTATATTATCATCTCTTACATCACCACTTATTTGCATCTGATCTATGTCATTTTTATTTCCTTTTAGAGTTGTCAAATTTCTGCAATTTGCAAAGTTTAAATTGTGAAACTTCCATGAAAAATTACCAAAATTCAATAAATGGATGTTTACTTTAGAGCAGTATTCTAATAAATTCTCATGAAAAAAACAGAGTATTGTATCAACTGAACCAAACCTTCTACATGATCTGGTGATCCAGCTGCATTTTAACCCAATTTTCGTATTAAATAAAATTGTCGATCCAATAATCTATCAATTCCAAAGGCAATATTGACCGTTAGGGTTAGAATGCAGAATATCTGAAAGACAAGACCTAATACTATTCTGAAAAATGCAAGCTTTGTACCGATTATAAACAGACTTGAAGCCAGCGATCGATGTCAGAAACATCAAACGCCGGCTGCAAATTTGTAGAAGACTGACTTCTCACACTTACTTGATAGGTGTTGTCAAAGCTGTCATACATGAACCTTGTTATAAGAGACGTCTTTCCCACTGAAAACAGACCATATCACCTCTATTTAGCCAGAGAGTTCAAAACATAATCCAACCAGGCACTTAATTATGCTAAAAAGAACACTTTTCACAGCTGACTTTTCGAACACCCTGAAATTTACGATCTCCACGAGCAAGTTGACACCACTGCAAACTTACCGCTCTGTTCACCTAAAAAGACCAACTTGAATTTTCTTAGAGGATTACCAAAGTCCGACGACATGGCTTCTTCAAGAAATAAGACAACAATATAGTGCAAGCTCAGGAGGTCTTATTTTAGTACCGAACTTTGTGGTATTTATATCATTGAACCTTCGATCGAAGCCACGTCGAAAGCTGTAACGGCATCTGCGCTTGCGTAACGCGTACTTTCCCACATGACGTCATTCAATAAGTAGCCAAGCCTTTATTCGCTTGGGCAAAATGAAAATGGCGGCAGTTTTGAAAACATTGCGAGAAGCAAATTCCCTTGATTTGTTCATTTTGTATGAAAATGATAGTTTGTTTATCAGATACAAAGACGGAACATCAGTTGAATTGTCTCCTTGTGGAACAGCTTTTCTCCACCGCGAAGCAGCACCTGGTAAACGTACAATGAAACAGCTGACAAGATTCGCTGTCAGTTCATTCCGAACGAAAATAATCGAAGCTGTTAGGATTCGTAACTTGTTTGCGGCCAGACCATATCTCTGTAAAGAACTGACCTCTCAACATGAACTTAAGGTGAGTAGTTCTGCACATGTTTGCCGACTTTTCCTGGATCAAATACGTGATATTTTTTATCCATATTACCCGAACTTCCCTACATTTTCCGACAACTTCCGAACTTTGCCGAAGATTCCCAATTATGATCAGATTTAGGGTCAAGGTAGCTGATGCTGGAAGGGTAAGATTTCTGAACAGCCCCATTAATTCATGGGGCTCTGATGGATATTAACGGCACGAAGCCTGAAACATGATGTTTTAGATGGTTAAGGCAAAAATATGACACTTAGCATGTTGGTCTGGGCTGGGCCTTGTTTAAAGCTTGGGTAAGATAGGGTTAGAGTGAAATTTGAATCCAGATATGAAAGCTTAAAAAGCAAATTCCGGTTGATCCTTTTTGTCTACAATATTTTGATTGGATGCTCTTAGAATAACGGGGAAAATTATCCAAGAAAATGCACGTCAAAAACTCCAGCCAACTTTGCAAACATGTCAATGTTGAAGCAAGCCAAAGTAGTTCCTGGCTGGGGGCCTGCAGCCTGCGTAGCAAGCATTTCTGATGAACTCACCAGGAAATACTTGTTACTCAGGCTAGCGTAACTGATATCATGGGTGCATTCCTTTGGGGTGGTATGGATTTGGGTCAGTGATCTGAGATCACAGAGATCATGGTGCTTAAAAGGAACCAATGAATCCACTCTAGGTAAGGATTCATCAGTACAACACACTGTACCTTTGATATGCCATCATCTGAGTGACCTGGGATCTCTGATTCCTATTGGTATCATCCAAAAGGAATGCAACCCATGTGTTAGCATGTACATCATGTTGCAATGGTCTGGCATGAGGAAGGATAAAGAGTTTTGTTTCATGGCCAAATTACAGTGGGGAAAATTGCATACAGTGGAAGCTCTCCTGACAAACTCTCTCATCGCCGCGGCAGAAAGAGCTACTTACAACTGCCTTCACAAAACCCTGTTTTCCTCGCTGCCATACAAACTCTGTATTTTTACATTCCTGTAAGCAACCAACTCCAGTTATGTACCCCTTTTTCATGTCCCGAGGGTGTCCACTAACAAGAGCTTCCACCGTATTTTGATTATATAATTTAATTTATTTTACTGAAATCTACTGAATAACACCTCTCCCCCACTTTTTCTGCATTTTAAATGCATACTTCTAGGATACACATACACATACTCTGTTTACAGATATCCTCTACCATTTTGTGAAGGAGGATCATGAGCTTTATTTAAGATCTCTCCTTACAGATAACCCACCCCGCCCAGAAAGGGTTAATGGCCACACCACTGGGGTCTATGTCCCCTACTCTTTTCAAACAGTGGTGTGGGTTCTTTTACATCCCACAAGAACAGATAAGTGAACGTGCTGTGAGATGGGACCTACATGGTTTTTCATCCTTATCCAAGAAGACTGGAATGTCTGACCATTTGTAGATGTCGTTACAATGGCAAGACGTTCTTCTCAGGCCCTGAGTGTTGGTCTTGCCGGGATTGAAACCGTGACCTTCCCCTCAGTAGACTAGTGCTCTCCCAACTGAGCTAACTGGATACTTCAATAAAAGTGTGTTGTGCATGCATGATCATAAAGTAAAACCATGGTAAAGTTTTTTTGTACCACATATTAACCAGGCCTGACATGTTAAAAGCTTATCTTTCCACCCTTAACATATCCTACATGTAGGTTGGTTACCATGGTATCACAGAATGTCATTGGTGTGATCAACCTGCTAAAGACTTTGTTACACTGTTGTCTGATGGCTCTGCTTTCATGGAATCTCTTGACGGTTTAGCAAGCTTAACACTTTTGCCTCACAGGCAGGCATTTGTTGTGAATTTTCTTTGTGAGGTCAAATATCCCTTACCAAAGGTAAAAAAAAAACAAATTAAAGTGTCTTCTATGCAGATAAAATATGGGGGTTTAAGGGTCAGTTTAAAGGCCATCAAAATAGCCAAAGCAATGGCTGGGCCATATTTCAAGCACTTTGTCCAACAAGTGGTTTGGTGGTTTACCAGTTTTGAAAAGTGTTGAAAGAATCAGAAAATATATACTTTGTTGTGGCTTGGTGGCTATTCAGTCTTCATTGGTGAGATTTTTAGAAAAAAGTATAATATTATATAGAGGATATTACTAGTGTTGAAAAATATTTCACCACTCAAAGAGAAATTCGTACCTACACGTGGCTTTTTACACACTCTGTGCATTCAAACTTTAGCAGAACTCGGTGCAAAGGTACAAAATAATGGTAAAACTATGGTTGGACATGTCTCCAACTGCACACTTATGCAGATTAACCAAGCAGCAAGAAACACTGGGAGCCCAACTAGAGTAATGGCATTAAATACACTTGCAGGTCAGGTGTCACTTCTACTTGTTACGTCAGTAGTTTTAACATCACAAATTGGAGGTCTGCTTTTAGTTTGACCATAAAAAGTTTATTATCTTTAACAGAAAACAAACGATAAAGGTTTAGAGGGACAGCAGCAGAAGCATTATTACACTTGGCAAGAACAAATCCATTCATTGTCCTCATGTCCTGAGCCATGGCAGTACCCACTTCAGTGTGTAGTTGATGTTGTAAATAATGTAGAAGAATCAACAGTCTGTCCTGTTGGCAGTAATACTGTAACAAAAGTTCCCTCCTCTCTTCCAATCACTTGCAAAGCTGCTCATCTTCACTCATGGAGAGCCCAGGTATGAGATAAGAACTTGAACAACTAAATGAGTGAGCCCTTACATTATCTGATAAGCATGAGCTTATTAGTTTGGGGAAAATTTTAGGGCAAGCTGGTGAGAAGAAAGGGGCAAGGAAAGCGAGCCTGAGCTTGAATTTTGCCCCTTCAAGGTGTTAAGATACTATGCAATCATCTATTCCATCCCTTTTCCTCACCCCATCCTTCTTGCTGACTTAAGTCAAAATTTTCCCTGAGATTGCACAATTGAGCCTGCTTGCAGGCTAGATGACCATGGACACAATTTTTCTCTAAGACTGCCTTGAGTTTACCCTTTTTATTCAAGGAAACATCAACTGCATTTACAGTCAATCTACATTAGAGTTTACTTCTTTACCTAATAAAGAGCAGCCAAAAATAAAAAAAGTCACAAAAGAAATTTATTTTCTGCTTTTCTTGTCAGATGGTACCAAGTGAATGCTTGGATGCTGAAAACTGGGAAATCTTCTGGCAATCAAACATGAGAGTTATTTGGAAAGGTGGCGTTACCTATAGGTATGTACAAGCTGCTCCTTTATACTTGAGCAGGGCTAAAAGAAACTTAAATGCAAGCTTGTCCTTCAGGCAAGCAGCTCTGAAATCTTGCTTTCCCAAGGCCACTTGTTGCTTATCTTAGTTAATGATTTTGTTAGAGGAAGACTAGCCTGGATCTTTCCCATTAGGCAAGTAAGTCTTAAAGGTTATACTTGCCCAACAAGAAAAACTTCTTGTCCCAGACTACCAGATGGAATTTTTTTGTGCCCTGTAGAGGATACTAAATTGTTACATACATTGTAGCTGCAGCAGATGCATGGTTATCCTACCTGAGAACTACTGTGGGCTCCCATGATTAGTGTTTTGGTTGCATAGGCGTACGGGCCGGGGGGGCGAGGGGGGCTGCAGCCCCCCCAAATTTTGGGCAACTCAGATTTTTTGGGCAGCGAGAGAAAATTTGGGCAAAGCCAGTTTTTTAAGACGTTTCTGTGTTTTTTAAATCATTATTTTGAAGAGATAAATATTTTCTATTTTAACCTGAAGTTGGCGTTATAATCCAGTTCTGTTACATTTACAGGGGACAGTGGTTGCCTAGCACGTAATGAGTTTCTGGTTATAAGGGAAGGGTATCATGTGCTGTTTTTTTTTTTATTGTTGGGCACTGTACTGTAATGGGCAATTTCCAGTCGTGAATTGATTAGAATAAACTTCCGCCTAACTTTCTAGAATCATCTCAACTTGTAGAACAGTGTATGGCAGATAACATCAGCAATGGGTCTGAAAGTGAAGAAGTGGCTGACTAATTCTCAGTTTGAATTACGCGAAGAATCGTATTTTTGAAACAAAAAAATCTATCGAGTGGTTTAAAGATTATTCACTAATTTGTTAAAGTAGTATAGACCGAAATGATTACAAAACCGCTAACAAGAGCGCCATGATACATACTAAACACTCAAATCCTTTTTTGACCAGAGCTATCTCCATGATCTTTTACCCACATTTTTAAAAAGATTGAAACTACTATGAGGTGAAATTGAATGTCAAAAGCGCTTCGTTTTCTACAGATAACGGCCAAACAGCAAGATTTTCCTTTTTTACCGTATTTCTAACGATAAAAACTTTATACCAAAATATCTCCGCAACGCTCTTACAGATTCCGTTTTAATTTCACGAACATCGAGGCGACTATTGGAGGAAAATGCTTCTGTGAACGATTTTGGAGGAACAGTTCCCAGTGAGAAATGTTGCTGCAAGTATAATAGGTAATGGCATCATTTGGTTGCTATGACAACTCCGATGTTATTTCAACCCGGATCATAACAAATTTTCATCTTTATCTAATACAACTGTGGTGGCAATTTTTCCAAATGTTTGTTTATGGTGTCGTAATCTATGCTCAAAAAAAACTTCACAGGTATTGACCCTGAAAAACTGTATCGAGCCCCTTTCATATGCTAGTACGGCCTATGTTGTTGCATCTTATGGCCCTCGTTTCTGTTCGACTGTTTTGTAAAAATTTGCATTTTGGGCAACTTGCAAGAATTTTTTGGGCAAATGGTTTACCGCCCCCCCTGACAAAAAATTGCCTGTACGCCTATGTTTGGTTGCCTTTTCCCTCAAGTACGTGTTCGTACTGACAACTTAAACTATCCCAAATTCATAAAAAGGTGAGTGTTTGCATCCCCATATTTCCCTTGGGATTTGATTAGCTAGAGTAATTAATAATATTTTGTTTTAAGATTAATACCTTAGAGACAACCAGTGTTGCATTCTAGATTAACAGTAATGTATGTACAGTTGACTCTCTCTTAACGGTTACCTCTATAAGACAGACACCCTGTAAAATGGACACTCAGAGTTGGTCCCAGCCTTTCTTTACTCCATCTATTTGACTCTCTCTAACATGGACACTTAGTACTGGTCTGATCGATATACATGAATACAAGTTTTCCTTTTTTTTCTTCGTTTGTTGAGTGTACACTTTTATATTTATCTTCACACTCAGCAAACTAAAAAAGAAGAGGAGCTGCTCATTGCTCATATTCGTAACACAATACAATCTCTTACAGAATATTCCCTCAGCCAACTGGTTTATTTACTGTAGAGATTGATCCTGGAGATGGCTCTATAATGAGATCACAATCACCATGTGCTAGATACTTTAATCACTGGATTGTTCAATATCATCCACACCAGGTATTAACAGCGTTGTGTAGCAGTTTTCTGCAGTTTTTCTGTGTTGTCTTTGAATTACAGAAATCAATGTTGTTGCAAATATATAACATATTAAGACGGACTGTGTGTGACCAGGGGCCCATTTCTTGAAAGACCTGATAACTTTTCGTGCCCAAAGCCAAATGTTAAAATCAATAATTTATTCTAAACCCAGATAGCCAACAAACCGGCCCATTTTGTATTGTTCACTGATAGTTTTACATGTAGTATATTTAAGCAATAGACCACACTTTCTATGGGTTTACCGGCGTGATAACCCACTTGGGATGTTGGGAGAACACGAGAAAAGCTTGTAAATCACAAGCCGAAGGCGAGTGATTTACAAGCTTTTCGAGTGTTCTCCCAACATCCCAAGTGGGTTATCACGCCGGTAAACCCATAGAAAGTGTGGTCTATTGCTTTTATAAAATAACTTTTAGTAGAATGGAGTCTTTTAGGGAAAAAATATGCTTTCAGTGCCGTGATCAAGTCATGTCTTCTCTCTAAAGTCATCATAAGCCAATCATGACTCACGATTTAATGGCGCTGAACTTTCTCAAAACTCAGTTCAGCCAAACAACAAACAACAGCACTTCAAAACACGAGTTTTTGCGCTCATTACGATAACTTATGAAAGCTGTTTTACAGGAAAAGTCAACACATATTCATGCGAACGTACAATGAAAGAATACGTTCATGGTTTGCTTACTACAGAAGTAGAAATTAATTGAACATCAGACTGTACGCAGCTGTATTTTGTTGAGTCGATCGGTAAAAATTTCGTGGCTTACAGACGGAACTGGCAGCTATTGTAATGGAGGACTTCATTCGCTTTTTACAAGCCACAGTGGTTTAAGATGTGTTTACTGGGCTTTATTATGATCAAGAAATGCTGCGGTAACGACGCGGTGGCGCATTTATGGGTTGTCGCATGTAACTTTATATGCACGTACAGCGACCGATGGAAATATGTCAGTGGTGAAGAAAGGTTTCTTTGCCGTAGCCACATATTGGCGCTAATATTTTGTCGATTTGTGAAGTCAGGTGGTTTGAGGTAGGTTATGCCATTGATATCACCGAATAATTTGTGCAAATGTTGGAAAAAAACAGCCCAAAACTCTGACATCTTTCATCATCGTTGGCAGCTTGTTTACAACCTACAGCGGCCGATTTTGTACCATATCTTGATCAGAGACCTCTTTTTGTAACAATTTCTTTCATTAAGGAATTTAATTTTGACATAAAATAAATCAAGAATGCTAAAACTATCCGTTTTGTTGCTGGTTGGCACATGGTTAAGTTTTCCTAGAGACTTTCTACACCAGAAATTCACACAGTTGTTGTCTTTCTCTGCGATTTGGCATCGTCGTGAAATGTAAACTGCTTTCCAGCTTTGTACTTTATAACTTCTAAAGCTATGGCAGCCGCGAATTGTGACCCTCAGTAATAAAATGTGGAAACCAACGCTTTTAATATTAAGAAGGGCTAAGGTAAGTAACTTGTTCTGGTTTTTAGCCTTTCTAAAATCGTTGTTTGCAGATCAATAGCGGGTTTTGTTTATGGCTCGTGGTCCGGATGCCTTTTCCTATGGGTTTACCGGTATAATAAACCATAGGTTTTTGACCAATCAGATCACGCGTACTATCTCAGTTATTTTATAAAAATAGAAAAACGACTGATACCTCAGTCTCAGACTTTTGAGAAACGAGCCCCATGTAACGTTCCTTTTTAAGGAAGCTCATTTAAAATATTCATATACCAAAATTATTGTTTTGTTTTGCATAGTGCCATAAGCATCATTAGAGTATGCCACTCTATTAATAGACTTTAATTTAATTTCTACTGTATATGAAACAAAATCCTAATTCAAAGGCTGTAGTGACAGTATGTACGGTCAACTCTTGCCTTTTTGGACACCCCGCTATTATGGACACCCAGATAATACATTTGCATTTGCAAATTTTGCATTGCCCGGGGGTCGGGCATTTGCCAACCTCAGGGCCAACCCCAAACTTTTGACACGCACGCAGTTTCCTATCAGACTATAAATACCCCACCCTTACGCCACTGAGTTTTTGAAGCAATTTCTCCCACTCTACATCAGTTTGAAATCAATTTACCTTATTTATTACTTTTGTTTTAAAATTGAAAGACTCTGGCCTTCAGAAAATCTCTGCCCAGTTCCAAAGACACCAGAAATCCTAGGGCTATTTCTGATCAACAAATTGTCCAAACATTTTTCAGTCAAAGTAACACCTTCTTCTGCAGATGAAAATTTCTCATGTGCATATTGGATAGCATTTTCGGATAGCCGGTCTCCCACACATATTCCAGTCTTGAAGAAACATACGTCTTTTTGTTGTAACTTGTAAAATGAGTTGCTATCATGCCAGGAACAACCTGGCAATTGTACGGGTGTTACCCCCATTGTTACAATCAGTAAGCCTACATACGCGTCCTCAATCCGAAATGGTTCGAACATTTTGGTGCGATGCCAAAGTTTGTTGAGAATGTTGTGTGACATCACGTAATAAGGCCCTCGACAGTACGTGTGGAACCGTGTTCCATTGTACGTTCTATAACTCAAGAAATAAGACTTCCAAGGAACTCTTTCGATTCCTGTATCTATCGCTAAAGCCCCAGCGTAGATTTGCGATGGCAATCCAGGAGACGTCTGTAGCCATTTTATAAGTCTTGGCACATGTACATAAACATCATCATCTGCTTTCAAAATATACTTGCATTTGAAGCGTGTCGCCCAGGTGAATGCCGTAAAAACTTTGATAATCAGATTGTCGTATGTATCTTTGTAATTTCCGATGAGAAGATCTCGATAAATCCTAGCTTCTCGTTCAAGCTGCAGATCCAACTCGAGATTGAACGTTCTACCCAAATTAAATATCATTTTCCATGTGCCACTCGCACCTGTACCTTGCAGGCTTCCCCATGTTTGACGAATCGTTTCCCGCGTAGCTTTACTACCCGGACGTGAAGTGACAATTGCCAACAAGAAAAATTCTTTGCTTCCAATATCTGGTTCGATGGCCGGTGGAAAAACATTCAAAGTCAAATTTGGAGAGCTAAAGTGGACTTTCTTGTAAATATCAACAATGCTAAGGCCGATGAGAAGGAAGGCGAGCAACAGAACCGCACGTACGCAGGAAAAGCTACATAGACGAACCATCTTCCGACGTAAAAAAGATAAGCACGGTGAAATAGCCATTAAAATAGCTGAAGAACCGTAAACAAACTAAAATAATCAAAAGACGACGAAAAATAATCGAATACTACCGCGCCTACCCGGTATTTCATTTAAGACAACACTAAATTTCTCATATGGGTTCACAGGCAACCCAAACTCAGTTTGAGGGTTAATTGCGTGTGGTACCATATTGCGTGATCTTCAACTAGCCGTGAACATAAGGGTTACAGGTAAGAATTTGAATGGAAAAATAAGTAGTAAAGAGTAGTGGAAATTCGGGGGCAAAGGAAATCACTTAAACTGCAGCGGATCAGGAAGAAAACACACGTTAGGCACAAGAGCAAACTAAATAAATAAGGTAGAGTGTTTAATACTGAAAATCCCACCGAGTGTTTGTCTGCGTGAATCTAATGGGCTATTGTATTAATTTTTAATATCCGTACCCCCCCCCCCAACCCCCCCGCTGGTTGAGGACTTACCTTTTCTTTTTACATTTGAAGACTGGCTAAAATTGCATTCACCCTTGAAGAATTTTGTGAAAATTAAAGCTTCACCCCCAACGAATTTCATATTTTTTTACTCTGCCCCTAAAGAAATCCTCAACTTTTATAACTCCCCCCTGGAAAATTCCATGGTTCCTCATGAGCAAGGGGGGGGCGGATATTAAATGCAATAGCCCAATACCTGAATTCCCATACAAACCCTTACTACTTGCAATCCTTTATATTCACAGCCATTTTGAGGATCACGTTTCTTCTGGAAGACAGTTCATACAGAATATTTTGTCTCTCAATCTGTTGCCCAAGTATAGTTTGACATATTTGCGGCCTTGTAGAAGTTAAATGTGGTAAAGGGTGGGATCCGACTCTGTCGAGAGAGAGATAGAAAATTTTAAGCCATACTTTCATTATGATTGGGAGGTTGTCTAGAGGGAAAATGAAGCCTCTTGAAAAAAGGGGTCTTTTTTGCTAAAAATGCAAACTATTTTACGGATCTCTATAGGGTGTTGAGATTCAAGAGAGAGTATACTCGGCTGACAGGCCACTTCCAGACAGATTGCTAAGAACAAAGTACTCTGTTGGAAAACTGATAAAACAAGCTACAAGGTAGAGTTCAAAATTAAAGTCATGCCAGGTCAAGCGTACCCCCATAGGTTCCAGTAATGAATAGATTATTTGAGAAATGAATCTGTTAGTCGCTGCCGCTACCCATATCAAATTCAAATCTGCATTCCTGCATACGTAATGAGCAGTGAATTTCTGGGTAGAGCTTCTTATTATACAGTCAGGGTGGATGTCGCGTTCCCACGGGTGGAGTTCGCTGTGATCAACCACACGCTCCGTACTCGATTAAAGTTCGTTTATTGCAGTATCAATGAAGCATATGGTGAGAACTGAAAACATACATAGACACGCGTTACGCAAGAAAATATAACTAAAATTAAAAGGAAATCGAGCGTAAAACAAACCTAAAATGAAAGACAAAAATGGAAAAGAACTTACGTTATAGTTCCTCCAAGCGTATTAAAGAAAGGAACAACAAAATAGGAAAAAACTGAATGAAATAACTCCGTAAAAAACTCCTTGTACTCTCCGATTAGATCTGGTAAAAAAACTCCGGGGCTAGACAACTGTGATAATAATGATATATGTCAAACTGGTAAAAAATTAACGAATTAAACAAAAATACAAACGAGCGTAACGCAATATACGATTTCACAACACTCCTCGCCCAAGGATTGAAGATCCTTGCTTCCGTCAACATTATATAAATCAAGTCCGTGGAATCAAATTATATTGTCCGCAAGATTAGACTTCGTCTTCCCGTTTGAGTAGAACGACGAAACTGGAAATTGGTCGTTCGTAGGTCTTCACGTTTCCCGCTCTACATGAAGTCACTTTGGCACTCCGCACTTTGCCATCGGTGCTCTGCGTTACTTCTGAAATCCTTCCGAGCGACCAGTCGTTCCTGGTTGTGTTGTCCTCCTTAACCAGGACTATATCACCGACAGAGAGGTTGCGTTCGCGTTTCTGCCACTTCGATCTGTTCTGAAGGTTCTGCAGATACTCTCTTTTCCATCTGACCCAGAACTGATCGGCCAGGTATTGTGCCCTTCTCCACCAGTTACGGGCATACAGGTCCTGTGGCACGAAGTTACCAGGGTGGGGTGCTAGGGGGCGAGTCTTCATCGTAAGCAGCATGGCAGGGGTTAGTGGTTGCGGTTCGTGGATGTCAGAGGGTACTGCTGAAATAGGGCGGCTGTTGACGATTCCAGTCACCTCTGCCATGAGAGTCACTAGTAGTTCGTGGGTTAGCTGTGCGCGTCCAATCCCCAGTAACATTCCGTCCAAAACGCGTCGTACAGTGCCAATCTGTCGCTCCCATACGCCTCCAAAATGCGATGCGTGTGGAGGGTTAAATATCCACTCGCAACCTTGTTCAGCTACAAACTTCTGGACTCGTGTTTGGTCTATCTCCGAAAGTGCTCGTTCCAACTGTGATTTTCCTCCAACAAAGTTAGTGCCACGATCACATCTGAGTTTCGTCACTGATCCACGAATGGCGAAAAACCGTCGCAGTGCACAGATGAACGAGTTGGCGTCCATAGTTTCTAGTACCTCGATATGAATGGCACGACTACTCAGACAGGTGAAGATGAGACCCCAGCGTTTTGCGTTTGCTGCACCACCTCTGAGTCTTCTCATTGAGATTTCCCAGGGGCCAAAGACATCGAAGCTTACATTTGTGAAGGGCGGGCTGGTCTCCGTTCGATCTAGTGGTAAGTTTGCCATGTGTTGCGTTAAGGTTGCTCCTCTCAACTTCTTGCAATTTACACAGGATTCAATAAGGCTGGATATCATTCGATGAGCTCCGACAACCCAGTAGCCGGCCTCGCGAACTGCCCCGCTCGTGATGAGGCGTCCTTGGTGATGGACGCTTTCGTGGAAGTGGCGGATGATCAACTCTGATACATGATGACCTTTTGGTAAAATGACTGGGTGTTTCTCTTGATATTCGAGCGTCGAGTTTTCGAGACGGCCTCCGACGCGGAGTAGTCCATTAGAATCTACCAAGGGATCAAGTTGCAACAGGTTTGAATGCTTTGGAACTGATTTCTCCATTTTAGCAGATGACAACCCTTTAAGCTCTGCGGAGAAGACTTCTTTCTGTACTGCCTTGATTACAACCTGGCCAGCTTGTTCGAGTTCGGCTGCAGACGGAGTAGGCCGGGGGATGACTGGCTTGTTTGAGAGTACTTGATTTCTCTCCTTGAACTTTCTTATGAACGCAATAAGACTTGCAATTGCGCGCCTCAGGAAGGACCAGCTGGAAAAGCGCTTGAATCTCTCGCAGCCAAGACTCTGGGGTGAGTGTGTTGCAGTGGCACAGGTGGTGACTTCTCTTTTCACCTCTGGATCGCTTTCATTGAGGGGTACCTCCAGGAGTGAAGCTTGAGGCTGAAGCTGCGGGTTTCGTAGAAATTCAGGTCCAAGTATCCATGGCGATTCTACCAGTTTCCCTGGGGTAACGCAGCGAGTTGCGAGGTCAGCAGGATTTCTTGCAGTGTCTATGTATCTCCATTGACTTGGTGCAGTTGCGTTACGGATATGCTGAACGCGGTTCGCGACATAGACGTAGAATCTTCTACTTTCGTTCTGAATGTAGCCAAGTACAACCTTCGAGTCTGAGTAGTAGATTTCTTCATCAATTTGAACGTCAAGCTCCCTGCGAATCATCATTACGGCTTGTGTTGCAAGTACTGCGCTGCACAACTCTAATCTAGGGATGCTCGTCGTTTGAGTTGGTGCCATCTTAGATCGTCCGAACAGAAGCGAAACGCTTACAGCTCCATAATTGTTGAATTCGCGCAGGTACACGGCAGCTCCGATGGCCTCCTTACTTGCGTCAGAAAACGCGTGTATCTCTCTTCTTGTGACAGTGCCGAATCCTTTGGGGTGATGGCAACGAGGAATCAATACTTCTTCCAGTTTGGGGAGTGCGTCTCTCCATCGACTCCAGCGGTGTTTCATCTTCTCGGGAAGTGGATCGTCCCATCCAAGAGGATCGTTGCCGTTCACCTTCTTCCCCATGATGACGAGCTGCTGTAGTATTAGTTTCCCTTCCAGGATGACTGGGGATACAAATCCCAGAGGGTCGTACACCGAGTTTATGACAGACAGAACTCCTCTCCGTGTGAAGGGCTTTTCTGGGAGAGAGACATGGAAGGTGAAATGGTCCTTCTCGATGTTCCAGTGGACCCCAAGAGAGCGTTGCGATGGTAGTACGTCGCGGCGTAGGTCTAGATCTTTGATGTTCTTGGCGCGATCTTCAGCTGGGAAGGCTTCCATGACGAGGACCGAGTTGGAGACTACTTTGTGTAGGCGTAAATTCGCGGTCGCTAACATGGCTTGGGCGTTTCTGATGAGGGTAATGGCTTCGTTCTCCGTGGGGCGCGAGGTCAGCCCGTCGTCTACGTAAAAGTTTCTGTGGACGAAGTCTCTTGTTTCTTTCCCGTATTTCTCCTCGCCGTCGTCTGCTGTTTTTCGTAGCCCAAAGGTGGCTATAGCAGGACTGGGCCCGTTGCCGAACAGGTGCACTGTCATCTTGTTCTCTATGATCCGCTTGGACGGATCGTTATCTTTAAACCAAAGGAATCGGAGAAAGTTCTGGTGCTTTGGGTCCACGTGAAACGAGTGGAACATTTGTTCAATGTCGCACATCACGGCGATGTTATCCTGACGAAAGCGGATTAACACTCCAACAAGGCTATTCATAAGGTCGGGACCTGGAAGAAGTTCTTTATTGAGGGAGACCCCTTGGAACTCGGCTGACGAATCGAACACCACGCGGATCTGATCCGGTTTCCTGGGATGGTACACCCCAAAGTGAGGTAAGTACCATGTGCGTCCCTCGCCTCTGACTCCTGCCACGTGCTCTCGCTCTGATTCGGTGAGTTTCAATGGTTCTTTCCTATTGGGATAGTCGTTTGATGTTAACAACTCGTACTGTGGCACTGGAACCGCATGACCGCGTTCGAAGACTTTGCCCATGAACTGGAAGTAATCTTCTTTCATCTTTGGTTTTCTATTGAGGGTGCGAAGCAGGCCGTTAAGGCGGTTGACAGCCAAAGGTCGGTTGTTAGGCATCGAGGCGGTAGGTGAGCGAAACGGTAGCGGCATCTCCCAGTTTCCCTGTTGGTTCTTGCGAGTCCCCGTCTCCATTATTTTCAGGAAGCGTTTGTCTTCTTGCGACAAACTGACCAAATTGTCGCCGGGTGTCGATTGAAAGAGGTTGTCTCCGATTTCTCCTTTCTCTGCATATCTTTCTTTGACCTGGAAATGATTTGGGCAGGGCACGATTTCACTTTCTTCAGCATGATGATGTGAAGCTTGCACGTTCCGAGGATAATTGGTAACAAGCCTGTCTAAACGCTCCAATGATGTGCGGTGTGCTGAGATGTGGACTGGACCACCGACTCGATCTAAACACATTTGGCCCGAGATGGTCCAGCCTAAGTCTAGTTTCTGGGCCCATGGCGCTCCTTTAGGTCCGTTTCTGCTAGCTCTTATCTTCAACAACTCCGGCGCGTCCCTTCCGATAAGGATCTCGACACTTGCCTTAGGGTCGTAAGGCGGGATTTCATCGGCAATCTCCTTGAGGTGAGAAAACTGTCTGGCCATCTCTGGTGTTGCGATTTCGCGCTTGTCCTCAGGGATGTTTGTGCACTCGACGAGCTGGGGTAGCTTCGCAATTATGCCGGTCAGAGAGCGTAGCACAACACCGGAAATTCGCCGTCCAGACTTTTCTTCTCTTCCACCGCTGCATGTAGTCAGGAAGTACTTCACAATCGGTCCGGTTGCGCCCAACCTATTCGCTAGGTTTGGAGTTATCATAGAAGCATTGCTCTGGTCGTCTATGATTGCGTACGTGCGATGGGACTGCTGAGGGCGATTCTCACAGAGAACGTCAAGGAGAACAATCTTGCTACAAGACACTCCGCCGCTGAAGGGGTTGTGGCAAACCGAAGTGCAGGCCGTTTTAAGCTCCTCGCCGTGCTCCGTACGTGTCGTGCCAGGCTTCTCTTTGTGAAGTGCCGTGGGATGACGATCGTCCCCGCATTTGGCGCATTTTACGGTTGTATTGCATTCGCTCGATCTATGTCCTGCTGATAAACAGCGAAAACACAGTCCTGCTTTGAGAACACATTCGTTTCTCACTGCTAGTGCTTGTTTTTCAAAGGCTTTGCATTCGGCTAAGAGGTGTCCCTTTCGCTGGTGATAATGACAGTACTTCTCTTCTCCAAGCTCTGGCTCCTTCTTTGGCTCGTTTTTGCCGTCCAAGCCTGTCTTGAGGACTCTCCTATTTGGGTCAGTGTCTGTTTCGGGAAGTCGTGGTCTGTGTTCGCGGCCTTTCGGTTTACGATTACTAGGCTGAGCTGCTGCCAAAACGTTCGGGTGATTCTTTAATCGAGCTTGCTCTCGGACCATTGCGGCAAAGTCTTTGAAGCTAGGGTAGGCATCGTCGTATTTCTCTGCATACTGGACTACACGCTTCTCCCATTTCGAGCGAAGGGAGTGGGGTAAGTTCTCGACAATAGGGCCTATCGCGGTTAAGTAGTTCAGGCAGCCGAGTCCTGGAAGAAAATCCAATTGGCTGTCCACGTCAGCACATACGTCAGCGAAAGCCTGAAGTTTGTCGCTGTCTTCTTCTCCAAATTTGGCCGCTGTCTGAAGTCGCACTAAGAGAACGTTCGTGATGGCGGCGGTATTCCCGAAGCGTCTCTCCAGGGATGTTACTAAAACGGGGAACGGGGAGCGGGGAGCGGGGAACGGGGAACGGAAGTCTGGGAACGAGTTGTCAGCGGAAACCTCCATAAAAATCCAATATGGCCGATGATCGATGATAGAGAACCGTGGTCGGCATTATATTCTACCCACCAAAACCACATCGATCGAGAGGGACTGAGATTGAATTTTGAATAACTTAAAAGTCGTAACCGAAGATTCTCGGAAAATGTACGGATGATATGCACGAACAACCGAACATCCGAATACTAGATCGGACGTTCTAACCACTGAACCTCCAGGCCAGGGCTCTAGCGTTAGTGAAGTCGGAATTCTACTATACCAGTAGCCTGCGTGGCAGGCGTTCGAAAGGGAAGGGGAAGGGAATTAGCCTGCCACGCAGGCTACTATACCAGCAGAGTGTACTACACTTCTGTACTGGGAGCTGAAAGAAAGAGAAAGGCTCGAGAAAGGCTACGTTCATTTCACAGTTGTGGGGGTGCGGAAAATATATCAGGGGGATACAGTTTCATACATAATGACTGAGATGTTAGGAAGATGTTGGAAACGAGCAAATCGGCGAGAACGAATCACGAAGCTCGCTGGTAAGTGCTCGTTCAGTTTCTCACGCGGAGAAAAATCAAGAACAAGCTCTCGAACCAGGGTAGCTAGGTGTAAATTACAGCGAGCTTTATATTCCCCCCCTGCAAGAAATATGGCTGTGCTTTGAGAGTTTTTGTCCCGACTGTAGCTTCTTTCAACTGCTGTTGGAGCATATTTTGTTGTTTAGTAAAACGCAAAAAGGTGAAAAATGTCATGACATTATTACCTCCGTAATATTTCAAGCACCTCATGAGCATATAGTTCATTAGTAAAATAGCGACCTTAAGTGTTGTTTCGACGCTTCTCTATCATCGATCTTACCGGGTCCTTGATCCTTACCGGCCATTTTGGATTTTTATGGAGGTTTCCGCTGACAACTCGTTCCCAGACTTCCGTTCCCCGTTCCCCGCTCCCCGCTCCCCGTTCCCCGTTTTAGTAACATCCGTCTCTCCAGCTCCTTCCACACGTCGCGCAAGGCGTCGGCAGGATTCCTATATTGTCTCTGACGGTAGTTATTAACTACTTTTTGTGCATCTCCTTTTGTATAGCTTCTTAAGTAGTTGATCTCCTGATCCGGTGACACGTTTGCATCTTCTATCATGGCACGAAAAGCACTTTTCCATGGGTGGAAGAGTGTCACGTCTCCTGTGAATATCTCCGGGTGGCACTTAGGAAGGTTCTGTCGCGCTAACGTTGCAACTAGCCTTTGATTTACTGTCGTGAGATCGTCTGTGGGAGTCGACGCGAAGGGATTTGTTCCTCGGAGGCCAAAAAGGGGCATGTTTCCTGTAACACTTTTCCCTGGAGGTGACTTTTCAAAGCTGGCAGCGTTTGTGCTGGGTAAGGGCTCTTCTTTTGCGCATGAGCGAGCATTCGTTAGTTCGCTTTGAATGAGCTTAGTGTGTGATACCTTTCCCGAGTCGTGTTGGGGGCTTGGGTACCCTGTGCGATCCAGTGTCTCCATAGTCCCTTGTGCATTAATCCAGGCTCGCGTTATCTCTTGTGTGTCGATAGAGTTGTCCAAACCTGGGATAGTAACTATAGTGGCTTTCTCGTCTTCCTCCTCGATAGACTGCTCAATAGCTTTTAGTTTGGCCTCGGCGATTGCCAGCTTCTTATTTGCTGTTAACACAGCTTTGTCGCACTCGAATCTTGCCCTCTGAGACTGACGTTTTCTCTCTTCTTCGGCTTCCATTTCAATTCTCTCCCTTTCTTTCTCGGCCAGTAATCGGTCATATTCCGCTTCTTGTCTCGCTGCAGCGGCTTCGGCCAAGGCTCTCCTTCGTGCCGCGCTAGACGAGGTAGACACGCGAGACGAGAGGGTTGAACGCGTTCGCGAATGTTTCCGAGAACTTTGCGAAGCAGAATCCGTTTTTTTGCTTAAAAGTGGCTCCATTGGATTTTCGGAATTGTTTCCTATTGTTAAACTCCCGCTCCTTTGTGCCGTGTTAACGTATATCGGCGAAAATATACGAATACTGATCTTGGGGGCGGTGCGCCATGTGCTATTGCATAACCAAGTTGCTTGCTTGATGCGATTCTTAGAACTCCAGTAGAATAGGTCGAAATAAGCTTCTCACTAAAACTTCTCACTGTCGCGTTCCCACGGGTGGAGTTCGCTGTGATCAACCACACGCTCCGTACTCGATTAAAGTTCGTTTATTGCAGTATCAATGAAGCATATGGTGAGAACTGAAAACATACATAGACACGCGTTACGCAAGAAAATATAACTAAAATTAAAAGGAAATCGAGCGTAAAACAAACCTAAAATGAAAGACAAAAATGGAAAAGAACTTACGTTATAGTTCCTCCAAGCGTATTAAAGAAAGGAACAACAAAATAGGAAAAAACTGAATGAAATAACTCCGTAAAAAACTCCTTGTACTCTCCGATTAGATCTGGTAAAAAAACTCCGGGGCTAGACAACTGTGATAATAATGATATATGTCAAACTGGTAAAAAATTAACGAATTAAACAAAAATACAAACGAGCGTAACGCAATATACGATTTCACAACAGTGGATAAAATTGCTTTGAAGACTTTATTTTATATTAAATCCAAGAAAACTGAGCAGGCAGAAATTTCAGAACTAGCATGTTAATTCACTACTCATTACGAATGCAAGAATGAAGGGATGAATCTGAAATCTACAACTGCAAACAGATGCAACTTTCAAATAATAGAATCATTAATGGAATCTTAAGGGGTATATGCTCCAGGGGGGGGGGGGAGTACTTTAGGAATTTCTGGGTGGGGATGTGCCGCTAGACCCTGGAACCCTTAACCTATACCAGAGCTAGTTCAGCTGAATTTTGCTACCCTATACTAGAGTAAACTCCCCAAATCCCCCCTACCCTAGAGTTGCTGTTTTGCAGAAACTACTGAGGTCACTAGCACAGTAGTCTAGTCAAAACAAAACCTCAAACCACAATCCCTAATTTAGATAAAATCTTCAACCAACTGATCAGTTTCCTGAAAAATCATGATACCCTATTCTAGACCCAAACGCTCTGGGCCAAGATGTTCAAAGCTGGGTTAAGTTAACCCAGGGTTAGTGCGAGATTTGAATTCAGATTTGAAAGCTTTAAAACCATTTCAGTTTTAATTCCTTTTGTCTACAAGTTGATGATTGGAAGCTCTAAAAATGGCAGAGAAAATTATCTGAGAAAATGCTTTTGAACACAAGAAAAAGAAACCAGGGTTAAATTTAAACCCGGGTTAAGCGCTAATCGGCCTTCGAACAACTGGGCCCTGATTTATAATTATTATACCCTATCCTAGAGTAAACTGCTTGAAAACATACCCTTCACAGCGGCACATACCTATATAGCCCATATATGGCAATACCCCCCCCCCCCGGGTGTAAGCTTGACCTGGCTTGACTGTAAACCCCAAAATAAGAGGCAATATCATTTCGGAAAATTGTGCTTATTGATAAGTAGGTGGTTTTATTGTTTTTCAGTTACATAGAGTTCTTGACCACTACTGGAAACCAGTTAGCTGAGCAATGCTGTTGGAAAGAGGTGATGCTTATATAGTTACTGTACCTGTAGTGACGAAGTCATTTAATCTGATTGTCTTTTTTGCATCCTGTAGTTATTTTAAAATAATTATTCAGCAAGCAGGCAGTTGATAAATAGCAATTGTTGCAAAGCATTGAAGTGCAATATTCATCGAGCAAAGTAGGTAAATAGTTGAAGTTGTCTGTACAGAGATGTTAGCCAATAAAAAAAAATAGCCCATTTGACTTCTGACAATGAATTCTGCAGAGTTTTTGGTACATTTTTTCAGAGTCTGGTTGGTTGGGCTAACCAGCAAACAGGCATCCCAGACCTCCTCTATTTCCTGTTTATGCTATAAGGCTATATTAATTATTTGTATAGGATCAAGACTGATCCTCCTATATTTCCTGTTTATCCTATAATTTGTATAAGATCAAGACTGATCCTCCTCTATTTCCTGTTTATCCTATAATAATTATTTGTATAGGATCAAGACTGATCCTCCTCTATTTCCTGTTTATCCTAGTAATAATTATTTGTTTAAGATCAAGACTAATCCTCCTCTATTTCCTGTTTATCCTATAATAATTGTTTGTATAAGATCAAGACTGATCCTCCTATATTTCCTATGAATAGGATCAGAAGATCAGGGGCACCCAGTGCCGGTTTCCTCCTAAAAGCACAGAAATACGTTTTAGCCTACTTCGAGTACTTTTATACCTCTAGAAATGCATTTTAAGCAGAGCTATACAGTTTGTATCTGTTTGGTCATCCTTCATCAACTTGAGTCTTTTTGAAATTTCAAGGGCTTTTTAGATTTTCTTAATTTTTACGAAAACTACCTTAACTTGGGGAGTGAAATGCAAAAATTAAACTTCAGAAAGTCGTAGGGAATTTATTAGATAAGTTTCAAAAATTGCACATGAAAGGGGTGCGGATCACCTAGAAATTTTTAGTGATCCTCAAGCCATAGAAAATTCTAGGCAATTTTTGGTTCGCCGAACAGATATTTTACAGAAAACAGTTGTTGGGTGCCCCTGAGAAGATAACTGGTCATATTCTGATATCTACATTTTATGCTGTGAAGCAATATTTTGTTGTGAATAAACAAATTTAAAATTCTTTATCAGTAAAAATTTAGTATTAATTTTTTCGTATTTTTTATTTTTTTCCTATAAAGAGCCTAGTATATTTTGGCCGGAAAATCCTATATTTTCCCATATTTTGCACTTGAACAGCCTATTTTTCCTATCCGATTTTCCAAAAAGTGGCTGGGATGCCTGAGCCAGCTTTGCTCACTTTAGAGATTTAACTGTCATTAAAGGATCAAGGGACTTTTGACTTAGAGCCAGTTTAAGTTTGTTCAAACATCAGTCAATATCACAGCTCACAGGTACTCTAAGTCAACACTTCACTCAGATGCAGGGATGGTTGTATTCAACCTTAATTAGTGGGATGCCACTAATGTTTCCTACATGTCCATTTTGACAGCAGTCAAATCTTCCAGTTGTATTGCCTAAGCCATTCTATCCAGCAAATGTCATGGAAACTGCAGTTGTGGCAGGCACAGGAAGATTCAAGGCTTACTCAAATGGAAACATCAATATCGTATTCAGTGACAGAACAATACTTGATCTGAGAAATGTAACCGACAATAAAGAAAATGAGCATGAGAATTCCAGTTTATGTCAGCTTATTCTCTCTAATGGAGATGTCCAACAATTTAGTTTAGCAGATGAGGAGCAGTGTGCCTTATATCAAAGGTAAAAGCAAAATATAAGACAGCCCTTTTGCAGACGGTCTTTGAAATCTTAATGTAGGGATAGACTACAATTTTTTTAAAAGGGGGGTCTCGTCATGAGTCCATGAACAACAATTTTGCATTTCACAAGTCACAAAACATTTTCAAGATTCTCAAAAACAGAGGTCGTACAAAATGTCAAAACTGTTACGTTAGGCCCATTTTGCAAAACAGAGTGCTTCGGCAATATTTACAGTTAACTAGAGTTTTACCAACCTTATGAAAAACACTGCGCGATTATAAATTCCCTAGGGAAGTCAGCTGTAAGTGGGTCTGAGGGCACTGAAGTGTGAAATAACATCAAAAGACTCTCTAAAGTAAATTTAAATCGAGCCACCAGATGCTAAGTAAGGTCATTTGGCCAAATTCAGGATTTATTTTTCTTCAGTTGTTCTTCAATGTACATGTAAACAATCAAGGATTTTGGCAGGTCAGGTTTCACTGAGTGCACTTCGATGGCGATTCACAGAACAGTTTTTCAGTACATCACGATTCATGGACACAAAAAAATGGTCAATCACGGCATCACGAAAATAAGCTTGCCCCCGCCCCCCTTACAAGTGAACAACATTTAATGTCATGTCTAACATCATGCAGCTGCATTTGTAAGTTGCTAACTACAAAATTATTTTCAGTGCAATTTTAATTTGACTGAACATATGCAGTCAGTCTACCTGCAAATGTTAAATGTAGTTTGATCTGATTTTTTTTTCAGATACTTACAGACTGCCCAGCACTGGAAAGACTGGGTGAACTCATCACCCTCACAGAGAAGAACATTTTACAAAGACACATTATGGGACCCTGAGAAAAGGGGGTGAGTTCATATTTGATAAGTTTTTGTCTTGTATTATTTAAATATTTTATACACACTTTCTCTAAAGCTTAACACTTATCTTGAGAAAGATCAGTCACAAGATCTTACTTTTGAGAGGAAACATTACCAATTCCAGCACCAACAGAGGACTCTCATGCACTTACAAAAATTTGCTTAATTTGCTAAGGTCCAAGCCTACATGTATCTGAACTCCCGACCTGAAGACGAAAAATGGCCACTGATTTTCCTTTTATGGGGGGGGGGGGGCTTGGTTTTACATAGACTACTGAGGTCTTCCGATAAAATTCATGGGGTTTAGTTATTCGCTTTGCAGCTAGTATCACATATGCTGACTGTTATTTGGAAAAATATATTGACGCCAATTCTTCTTACATTGCAAATTGTTTGTACAGTCAGGAATAAAAAGGTACTGGTCTGTAAAACTCAAATAAGAAGTTAACGTTCTAACTCTTCCATTTTATGGATAAACAGGGCTATGAGTCTTGAAATTGACAAGATAAAACGATTTAACTGTATCCTTTGCTATAATTTTTACCTTAACTACATGGGTTGATTTAGGGGAGAGGGTCCTTGATTGCCGGCATGTATCCCCTTTATGTACCCCATGTACAGTGCACTTCCTCTTCCTACAGCCCATCAAAAAATCTTAAACCTAACCCTAAATCCATGAGAAAGCATTAACTTTCGTGCTCCTATTGTTTCTCTCTGTTCTGTCATCTGTTATATTGCAAATCCTTGACGCAGTTTTTGCCTGATCAGACATTCATGATCAACAAAGCATTGTAAATGAAACCCTAAAAACAACAAAGGACAGCACAAACTCTACAAAGGTATTTGACATATATGTTTTTGTGAGTAATTGTGTCAACTGGTCCATTTCATGCCAGATGCATGTAGCTGGAAAGTTACTTCATCTTTATCAATAATAAATTTATTATTATATGCTATCTTGTGTTCTATATACATGAAGAACCTTGAGAGCCTTACAGCGTATAGAACTAAACAATGAACAAATAAGGGAAGTTTAACCAAAATTATACAGCCACTAAGTGATCCTTAGAAAATCATCTACTGTGGCGAGCAGCATTGCCTAGGGCTTTTTCCAGTATTGAGAAACTCAGATGGAAATCTAAGTTAAGAAAGCTACTTTGAAATGTGTGATTCCATTTCTAAAAGTTTTAAAAATAAGTTCAAAGAGGAGAACTACAGACTCTTTAATGAGATCTGTGTCGCATCTTACCCTTAGTCTTACTTAGTTTTTTGCATCTACATTAACGCAGGATCTCTTCAAGACCTTACACATTCTTAAAAAAGGATTTCTGGATGGAAAACACACACAACAAACTCAATGTTTTGTTTTTCATTGCCTGTTTTAATTTGTTGCCTACCACTTTCTACATGACTGCTAAAATTACCTTGTATGTATTATGATGTAAAAATTATTTTCTCTTTTTCTCTCTAATTTTGTAATAGGAACTTGAAGGGATGGAGGCATCTCTCAACATTTTGGGTTCACCAGCTGAAAGGGATGCTATGATCAAGAAAGTGTTGGACCAGAATAACAAAGCTATAGATGACATTGATGGCCTGCTGGCCACAATTAATAACACTTACTGTTCTTGATTTAATCATTTAGCGACAAATTATATAATGATTGCTTCTTTAATAAAGCTGGTTATGTGCTAGAGGTTTAACTTTATACTTTATACTTCTTTTAAGTTACTGAAAAATAAAAAGAATCTGATTGCCACATATTATTTTACAAAATGAATTTTGGAGGTGAAAATAACTTTGAAGTTAAAATAACATGTTATTTTCTCATGTGAAGATATCATGTTTTAGTGCTAAAGCTCGCGTGGTATTTCATTGGTGGTTATATATAATACAAAGGTAATTAACTTTAGATTTAACCAATTTAGAGTTTCACTGACATTGATTTTTTAGTACAGTATTACTGTATTTTTCTGATGACTATTGAGTATAATGTTTCTTCTGTGGTTTATTTTTTCTTCTTTTTAGAGGTTGTTGTGGTTGTTGTCATAGTCTTGTACATTACTTCCAGCCCTTTCCAAGAGTGCCATAGTAACAGAAGAGGAAATATAACCCAGAGGCCATTGAAAAATACTAAATATATCCAGAAGTAAAGAGGAAAACTTGTATCCAAACTTGGGCTTCCAACCAGCCATTCAGGACAAAATGTCATCCAGCCTGTTTAAAGATATTCATATTTATAACAGAATAAATTGTTTTATCACAAAAATATTCAAAAGCAACTTTGGGACAAAGAATTTTCCAATCAACATAGCTACAAATATAAAGTGTTTGCACTTTAAATGCAATTTTGTTTTCTTAAACAATTTGGAGACCTATGTGGCACTAGCCTTCACAGATGTTACCTATCTGGGCTAGCAACACCTGCAAGGCAGTGCCGAGATCCTTGCTCTGGCCCCCAAAGGACTCAAAAAGTTTCCAATTTCATATTTCCCTTTAAACAGATTAGTAAATCGAGATTGGCTTTTTTTAACAGGCTGGCCATGGCACATACTCAAGGGGGGTGGGGGAATCCAGAACAAGAGAACCACAGCTTTAATTTTGTCTGGAATGCAGGCTAATGAATGGTACATAACTACCCAAAACCCACCCAACTACTGTCTGTGGACTGCAGTGAACCATGGTCATGGATGTTCTTTATAATTTCCCTTTTTTAGTGAATACTGCTAATCGACAATATAATAATCTGAACATGTGATTAGATTTGTCATGACCTTACAATATTTCGGACAGGTGCAACATCAATGGTTTAGAGTTTAAGGTTCAACAATTTAACCAAGAAATAATCATCATTTCAAAGCACTTGAAAACACTGTTCTTTCAATAACATCTACTTCCATTAAGAGGGCAAAATTAATGATAAATAGCATAATGCAGTCATACCTCCATACAGCTCACAAACGCATAGTGTTATCTGCACAAAATGCCTGTTAAAATAACACAGAGAATAGACCATTTATTTCGATATCTTAAATTTCATACTTGGCTCTGCTGGGGGGAATAAAATAAACAGGGTTCTAACAGAGTCTTGAATTCTTGAAAAAGTCTTGAAATTTGCCCAGCAGTTTTCTAAACCTGGAAAAAGTCTGGAAAATGGAAATAAAGTCTGGAAAAATGGTAAAAAGTCTTGAGTTTTTTTTTTCAAAGCTACAACAAATTTATAAGTGATTTTTTGTTTTGTTTTGGTCAAATCTTATTCAGTCTCAACTGTATGATGAAAGGAGCTTTATTCCTGCATTTTTAAAGGTCTCTATTGATCACCTAGTCTGGAAAAAGAAATTATTGTTTTGGAAAAAAGGCTGGAAAAAGTTTTGAACTTTGGATCAAAAAATCTGTATGAACCCTGAATAAAAGAAATTAATGTATCATTCATTGCTAAGCCTCAAGATAATTTCTTTTGTTTTGTTTCCCAAAGCCTTGATGCCAAGTCTGAATTTTAATAATATGAAATTGGTCTATTAGCATGAATAAATTATATTTAATTTTGCATTTCAGTGTCAAGCAGCTCTCAGGGCTTTCATTAAGGTTTTAAAGTGGCTAGTCTCTCAGGGAAAGTAGCTGGTCATTTATCCCAAAAATCCTCCTATGAAAGTGAACCTGATTTCCGCAGTTGAATCAACAACCCAAGTGGTTGAAAAAGGACCTGAAAAAATTCCGGCTTGACTGCTTTATCACCAGTTCAAAATGTGATTCATTTCATATACTGTAAAATTGCGATAATAAGCCCCTCCAAATATAAGCTCCCCAAACTGGTAACGAAAAAACCGTCCGTTACATTGTCCCTCCCCCCAGGGGCTTGTACTTGGAAAATTGCCCTCAAATGCAAAGTAAAACGAAGCAAAAACGATAAATTTACTTTCAACTTTAAGGCTAGCCCAATCGATTTTGAAATGCAAATTTCCCTCCATAGATAAGCTCCTCCGAATATAAGCCTCTCCCAAAATAAGCCCCTCAAAAAGGGCCTTTGAAAAATATGTTTTCAGAATTTTATGGTATTTCAATTCAGATGCTCCTATATTTGTTATTTTTCATTCATTTTCGAACTGAAAGTAGCAGGCTGATTTAACTGCAGTAGCCAGCAAAAATCCCAGCTTCTAATGACAGCCCCACAGCCCTTCAATTTTCCTGAAACATATCCTTGGCAATGACGTAAAATCAAAGCAATTACCGTATTTATTCGATTAACCGCCCTGGGCACTTATTAAATTTTTGGACCTTGAGAGTGGGCGCATATTCGAGGTGGGCGCTTATTTGAGGGTGGTCGCTTATTAAGTTTTCAACAAAACAATAAATGCTAATAACAAAACGCGAAGATCAAAGTAACAAAGCAAGGTTTCTGTAAAATACTCTGAACAAAACTCCGTCCTCGGGGAAGTCTCTTATTAGAATTGATTCACTCAAGTGGGTGGGGTGAGGGTAAGCGCTTATTTGAGTTTGATTGGGAGGAGGAGAGGATGGGCGCTTATTCGAGGCTGGGCGCTTATAAACTTTTTCTGCCTTTAGGATGGGCGCTTATTCGAGGTGGGCAGTAATTCGAGGTTGGGCGCTTATTCGAATAAATACGGTACTTTACCTGTAATGTTTGTTGAAGTAAATGGCATAAATTAACATCAGGGCTAGAGGTCCTGTGATAACAACTGTAAGAATCTCTAAAGAAACAATTGTTGGGTCTGAATAAAGCCACCTTGAATCTGCCTTGCCATATTCTTTCCCTGAAAACCATGTAGTAGAGATTAAGAAACTATTGAAAGCATCCATGGATTAACAATTAAAAAGTGATTCTTTATCTAATGCTATGATTTTGCTTTATTTCAGTAAGCGAAAGAAAAAAACCTAATTTGTTTCCACTTTCAACACACTATTACTGTGAAACTTACAAAACTGTGAACACCAGAAATATTTATGGAATGTTATCGTGTTGTGAGAAACAAGCCAATAAGGTGAGAGATAACGAAACTGCAAACAGCAATGGTAATTAATTTGTGGTTTTGAGGTTTGCTTGCGTATCCTGAACTTTATTGCGATTGGCCAGTACACAATCAACATTCCCGAAATTTTTCAGGTGTCCACGTTTTTCTGAGTTCGATTCACAGTATTTAAAATTTTGAATACTGTGGCGATCAACTGAACAGGTCGTTAGACAAAAATAGTTTTGTGAATTGCCATATAAATTCAATAGTTTGTTGAAAGTGGAAACAAATTAGGCTTTTGCTTACTGAAAAAATGTTAAGTAACACTTTCTTGGCTTCAGCAAACAAAATTTCACAGACTTATAATTTTGCTTGTTTCACAAAAAAGGAACTAGAAGGCCATTTATAAAGAGATAAAAGGTTTTACCATCCCCAGTGCTATGGAAACTACTTCTTGAATACCGGTAGAATGTTTTTTTAGAAAAGTCTTCGCAGACTTATTTATACATGTCTTAGTCCCAGGGGGGTACTGCCTCATGTGGGCTTTTTAGGTATGTACCTCTGTGAAGGGTATGGTTGTCAAGCAGTTTACTCTGGGATGAGGTGTATAAATCAGAGAGTTTGGGTCTAGAATTGTGTATCGTTTTCCAGGAAACTGATCAGTTGGTTGTAGATTTTAGTCTAGACTAGGGAGACCGGGAATTGCCACTCAAAAATATATTTTAAAAAGTCAAATCAGTTTTGTTTTGGCTGGACTGTGTTAGTGACCTCAGTAGTTTCTGGAAAACTGCTACTCTAGGACAGGGGGAGATTTGGGGAGTTTAGTCCAGTATAGGATAGCAAAATTCAGCTGACCTAAGCTTTGGTATAGGCTAAGCTGGGTTCCTAGGGTCCTGGCGGCAAATCCTAAAGTACCCCCACCCCCAGTCCTAGTGCATGCACTTGATAATTCTCTCACACACACCATTAGTATTCTATCCCTTCTAATAATGCCTTTAAGCAAATGTAAATGTTTTTTTCTCTTCTGATTACTTATAACAATACTGAACTTTTCAGCATGCTTTTAACTGAGTTATCAAATGTATATGGGTTTGCTAAGAATCTATATTGAAGAATCTAGACAGGGATTCCTTCAATAATCTCATTTCATATTCAGCCAAAAAAATCTTTGCGTCTTTTTTATTGAACCCACCAAGTACACTGATATGATAAGGAAAATTTTAATGCTTTGGGTTTTTTTTATTCCTTCACTTACACACTTCAGCTAAGATGTGGTTTGTATTATTGACAGAACCAACAAGTGAGAAGTAAACAAAAGGCCCTTCCTGAAAAAAAAAATTGCACTTTTGATTATTGACTATCATCAGGAGCTACTAAAAAGAGGGTCAGAAAGGGGTTGTGACCCAGGGGCCCCACTCACATATTTTAATGATGGGGGGTCCGACAGAGGTTCATATTTTGTACCCAAAAAAATCCCTACTTTTTTTAGCATACCCAAAAAAATCCCTCAGTGTTTTTGCATCAGCAAATTTTATTATTTATGTTCTGGAAAGCTAAAACATGCCAACTTCAACTTTGGTTTTGGTCAAAAACAAAACTATAAATTGCACTTATGTTATTTTTGATTTGAGCTGATGAAAAATACAATACCCAAAAAAATCCCTCATTGTTTTTGCGACCCAAAAAAATCCCGGCGTCTTTCATAGACCCAAAAAAATCTCTTTTGGCCAAAATGTCAGACCCAAAAAAATCCTTCGGACCCCCCCGTCATTAAAATATGTGAGTGGGGCCCCTGAGGGTTGTGAATTATTGTAAATCAGGAGCCCTGTGTAAATTTAGTATTTTAGGGCATGAAAACGATTTTCTTGTGTATGCATAATTCAAAATAGTTGACACCCCAGTTTTGCAATACTCTATGGGTGATTAATGAAATCAAACGCTGAATTTTGTGTGATTCGTGAAAAGTCTGTTTTAATTCCCATGAACCGTGAAATTTCGATTTTAATTCCCGTGAACCGTCCATGACACACCTTCTTTCCGAACCTCTGTAAATGATGACTTTTGATAAATTACTAGATTCTCCTTACTAATAGGCTCACATTTTCTTGCAAAACAAGGAGAGAATTAGTCTATACAGGATCAAGAGGCATTAATAGAGATTGAAGTAAACTGCTTTTAAGTATACGAATTTTTACGATTCAGTCTGATGATTTCCGATCAGATCTTTGCACCACCTGCTGGGACATTCCATTTTTTACCCACACCCCCTCGATTTTTTTCTGCAAGGATCTGGATCCTAAATTAACCCTTCTGGATTTCATTTTTCAAAGGGCGCCGGAAAAAATTGATGGTTCGGATTAGAGCAATCTTTAGTAACGGGTAGGGGTGCGGATGAAAAATCGAACCCTCCAGGCCTCCACCCTACCAGCGTAAAATGGGTCAGCACATCATAAACCAGCCACGTAATTATCCATTTCTCCAATGATGGTAACTTTCGACAAACTACAAATGCAAAAACTATCGCCACTAAAGCTTCCAAAAAAGTAACAGACAGACTAGCGACTGACACAAAATTTCCCTCGAGCGTGAAGCCCGCCATTTTGCCAATAATCACTTCATGTACAAGGAACCAAAAATGACATAATGGGGTCGTAGGTGCGAGCAAACTGGAACGATTTGTTCGTTTGATTGTTTCCGTTTAGAGGCGTTCACACTAAGAATGTGGTAAAGAAAGTCACTTTTCGGGGCTTGTTTGTATATATCTTCTCGCTTTATTACTTTGGAAGATCTCAGGAGAGATTTTTAGAGTTTTGGGTAAGATTATCTACTTGTGCACTATCGTAGTCACCTCCGAATTTCGCATTCTTTACGGGCTAGCCATGAGCCTCTGCGCGAAGCCGCTTAGCTTTGAAATGGTAGTGTTTTCAAAGCTATCGCTGTATCAGCTACACGATCCAAGTCTTCTTTAGTACATTCTAGTACATTTTACTTTACATGTACGTTGTCCTCGCCCTAACTTGATGACTCTGTGGCGAGCACACGATTTATTTTCAATGATGCGTTTATCAAAAGCTTAATCTTACTTCTATAACACTTACCATCTACATGTAGTTTGCAAGCGCTATCCACGAATTAAAACTTTATCCAGTGGATAATGCAATTGGTTTACCCATTACATATCCACTAGATAGGGAGTTATCTGGCCTCGGTTGTTCAAAGGCGGGATAGCACTATCCACCGGGTAAATCTCTATCCAGTGGATAGCACAATTAGTTTCCCCATACTTAGTGATTTATCCAGTGGCAAGCACTATCCAGCTTTTGAACAACCTGGGCATAATTTTACATAGTAAACTAGCAGTAACCAAAGGTTAGAAAGAGTGGCGAACACGCATTAAGTACGTTTACCTTAAAGGTGCAATTGACGTTGAGAACCACTTTCATAATCCAAGGCAGCTGCCTAACGGGCGCTCGGTCGCCAGAGCCATGTTTTGCCCGCCGGCAACCAAAATTTCCAACAAGGAGCTCACATGGGCGCCTAAAACTTATGATTGTTATGCCAACTTCTAGTGAACGAATGACAAAATTCCCTGCTTATCCTGCACTTGTGAAACAAAAATGAAAATATAAAACTTTGGTCTTCGGTCATAGGGCAAAAGATGTTAAACAGCTGCAAAACAAGTTTGGTTGTACTTTATTCGCAGAACTACGCAGCTAGGATACGCAGACACTACCACGAATCTTCAGATTGTTTTGAATACCCAAAAAATTTGCACTAATATCAGACCACCAAAAAAAATATTTGTTAACTTTTAACAAAGTTAAAGTTTTTAAGTAACTACAGAATGTGGCTTTTGTCAAATTTCTACTTTGCAATAATAATATTACAGTAGAACTCTGAGAGGAAGTGGAAAACAGTTTGAGTTAGCGGGATTCGAGTTAGCAGGATTGATTGAATGTTCAATTTGCCATGTTAATAATTGATAATTGATAATTGATGATTTTCCAGTACTTTAGTGTATAGTACAGTGCAAATTTACTTATTTCATAAGAAATGTGCTAACATGATTATGCATCATTTTTTTATTCATTGCACCAATTAAAATCAAATTGCTGCAGAGTTAAAGTTTTGGTGTTTTGACCATTATTATACAACAAGAAGGTTAATGACATGGCATCCGAGTGGTGTTACAAGAACCAGCGTTTCGAGTTGTCGGGTAAATTTCAGTGAAATTTTGAACAAGAAGAAGGGAATTTTGTTCGAGTTAGCAGGGAATTCAAGTTATCCAAGTTCAAGTCAACGAAGTGAAATGACTGAAAAGTGGAGTGAAATACAAGGGAAATAGGACTTAGTTTGAGGTAGTGGGGAGTTCGAGTTATATAGGTTGTACTACATTATACAGTCGAACCTGTATTAAGTGGTCACCCCCGGGGAATGGTTAAGTGACGGCTTAATACAAGGTCACCGCCTAATATAGGTTGCAAGAAATACAGTTCAAAGAATTTGATCTCCAGTGCTGATCAGAACAGATGTTAGACCTCAAATAGAAATATTCATTTCCAGCGTTTTAATGATTTGCGAAAATAAACAAGGAAATCAATCGTTGTATGTCATGTGTTACATTATTGGAAACTGTATGAGCAAGTAATTGACACCGTGTGACCATTTAATACAGGTCTAATGGTGACCGCGACTGCTTAATAGAGGTCAAAATTACAGTACATCAAGGGAAGTAATTTTTGTGACTTTGAAAACTGACCGCCTAAGTTGGTGCCGCTTAATACAGGTTTGACTGTAGTAGTTTTCTTTTTTTATTATTCATAGTAGCTGTTTACTCTTATTAACCAGGCTATTCACTCTGAACTGATTTTGTTTTTTATTGTATCTATAACAGGTGTGAACAATCTTCACTCACTACGCCATTATGCCTTTGTTTGGCTCCTCCAAGAAGAATCCTGCTGAAATAGTTAAGGCTACCAATGATGCCCTTACGATTTTGGCGCAAGAAGCTACCAGTAGTAAGAAGACGGAGAAGGTAATTTGGGTAGTATTAACTTTTCATTAACTCTGGTGGTGGCCAGTGAGTAGCGAAAAATCCACATTTTTCTCCTATTCCTCTTTTTCAGACTGGTTTTCGGCTATATAATAATAATTATTAACTGTAATTATTACAGTTGTAGCATGAAAATGGAGAAAACTGAGTTTTGCAACAGAAAGGGCATATTTTCCGACTAACCAGATGTAACTAAACAGCTTTTTTAACTTTTGTGCATGTATGTGTTGTGGTTCAATTTTATCCTTGGATAAAATGTTATTTTCCTTTGTTTCACATTCATTATCATACATTACCATACTCCAAAACAAAGGAAAGTGAAATTTAAACCAAGGATAAAACTGAACCACAACATAATATGCATAAGCCAAAATTTAAATTTGCAAATCTATTTTGATCTTTCTTTCATGCTCTCTTTTTTTCCTTTGCCTCCCTTTTTATGCAGTTTTGTCGCCTGCTCTCTTCTCCTTGCATAAGCAGGATTACAAAGTTGTCTCTAACCATTAAAGGGGCTGTGTCACGGCAGTCCAGTTCATTTTGTTTAATTTTGCCAATTACTCGCCCTCAATCTCTATGGAACTTAAAGTAAGCAAAGAAATTACATGTAAATCACTAAATCAGAGACCCGAGACAAACAAGTATGTCTCCTGAGCATTATTTTTGAAGTTGCAAGCAGCAGGGATCAACTTTGAAAAACTGTTAGGCTGAGCAGTTTTCAAAAATCCTAATTTTAATCCGTTTCAATCTTCTTCAGTTTTGCCCATCCGTGGCATCTGTTGTTTCTGTTGTGTTATTTTAACCTTCCATTAAAGTTTTAAGCGGTTATTTTTATGTTCCTCTTAATTTAACGGGCATTTTGTAATGTCCTAATTTGGCTGTATTTCGTGACACAGCTCCATTAAAACTGAAGATGTCATAAATGGCCCAAAACATTATTTAAAAGTGAAGCACTTCAAGGCTTTCTGTTCCAGGTGCAAAATATCAGCTTCCATAGTTCGGGCTCGTGCAGAAAGAACATTTTTGAGATACATGTAGTTTTTGGGTTTAAAAGTGACAGAGTAGTCTTAACTTCTACTTTTTGGATTCTCTCCTCTCAGTTCTTTTGCTTTTCTTTTTTTGTTTTTTGCCGTCCTTTTTGCTGAGCATTTATTAGACTACAGTTGAGTGGGAAAAGTTTTAGGGAATGCTTTTAGGATCTTTTTAGGTTTAGATGAAAGGAACTTAAGGTTAAGGTGGGTAGTAAGATATGTTACGATGCAAATTCTCAGGTTGATGTTACGTGGTGTGTTGCCTTTTTCTTTGACCTCCTTGACTGAATCGTGCTCATTCTGGTGTAGTTTGAAAAATCTCTTCCCCTTGCTCAAGTTAGAGGACAAAGTTGTCCCTAACCATTAAAACTGATGTTATCATAAGTTGTACAAGGGACATGGATCTGCATTTTAGTAAAGGGGGAATAGGTTAAGGCAGATGCTTCAAATACAAGGATCCATATTCCTTTTTTCACAGAGTCGTCAGCCGGGTAAGTAAACCTGATGGCCTACTTGCCCGGTTACAATTTGGATTGCCTGGACAAAAGTGCGGAATTATATAAAAGAATGGTGAAAAAGTTGTGTGCAACTTGAACATTTCTGATTAGCATTTTATTTGCATTATAGTTAGTAAATAGTTACTTAGAAGGGTTAACTGTTAAGTACAACAGGTTACAGGCCTAGGCTAAACACTGTCAGTTCATAAATGTTTTACCAATGTTTAAAACTGAGCCTGCAGATGATGGTTTCGTAGAAAATACTGCACCGTCAAAGTTGGCATCCAAACTTACTATTTCATTGCAGACAAAAGCTGCTTGTTATTCACCATTACTCTAAAAGTTTTAAGTGGATGAGAAGTAATCAAAACACAGGGAAAATGTATAAAATCATATAAGAATTTTTTAAAAGATTTTGTGGTTGAGCAAAACCTCACTTGTCTGAAGGGCGACTTTTGGAGTTATCCCAAGCCCTAGGATTTCAAATGCCATGGATAACAATTTTTCGGTTCCATGCCCAGAGATCATGGGAAACCAATTTTCTGGTTCAATGAAAATTCATGGGAACCCACTTTTATTTCTTTTAATGTACAGAAACATGTTGTTAAACATACTTTAAAATTAAAGAACGTCAATGGGTATAATTATTATTTACGCAAAATGTCAGAAGAAGGTCAATTTGAGTGTTAAATGTGTGTGCACTATCAAAAATAGTGTCAAAAATTCCAGACTCCTCTCTGATACAACTAAAGAAGTATACTCTCTTGAAATGTTCGCTACAGATCTTGTCTTTTTTTAAAGAGATTCGGGCCTCATTGTCGGTTTCAATAGTGAAATTGTCACTAAAAGACAACTTTCTAAATATTTTTAAACTTTTGGAGTCATATATATATTTTTTTTCTTGATACTGGAAGCCATAAAAACCACTGTTGTTGACTGTAAAACATCTTTCGTGCGTGAGTCATCAGTAATGTACAATGCACATTGGGAACAATTCAAAATGATGAATGATAGAAAAACAATAACCTTTTTTAAAATTTCGCAAATACACAAGCTGAGTCATAGAGAATTGCTCTACTAGTGTTAAGAATCTGAGTGGAAAGTACTGTATTTGTGTATTTTGATTCGTCAGTCTGAGTATAATTATCAGGATTGTCACTGGGTAACTATTTTTCGGTTCCGTTATTTTAAGATCATGGTAACGACACAGTACCAGAAACTACCGGCAATTACCGTGAAATCCTAGGGCTTGTTATCTTAATCGTCCATGCGAAATTGTAGTCATCTGGGAGGACCGGATGACTGGGAATATGGATCCCTGCAAATGGGTCAAGTTTGAAATTAAACATTTTGTCCAGTGCCCTTCAAACTTTAATTATTTGGTAGCAAAACATGTCAGATATGCACCCAATAAGAAATGTTTTGTCACCATAACCTGTCCATGTTTATAGATGAAAACTGAAAATGACTTGAGTAACATCACACCCAAAAACCACATGTATACACAAAGCGCTGTTGGTCAACAAACGCTGGTTTCAGATCTTTATTTTATTTGTGGCTTACATGTTGATTAATTGTACAAGCAAGTACTAGATAGTTGTCGATTATATTCCATAAGTGTGCATAAATTTCACAACTTGGGATCGGACACTCATTGTAGCAGACAGTTTTCTTGTTTTGATGGGAGTGTGCATTAGTAGTTTAGTTTTAAATATAGCTGTTAAAGCTTCCTCAAATATTGTAACAAATGATTTGTGTGTGAGTCACATATTTGCTCTATTTTTATTTTTCATTCAATTTTAGGCTTTAGAAGATATTTCAAAACAGCTAAGTGCCATGAAAACAATTATTTATGGATCTGGAGGTATGTTGTTTAGACAGTGTTTAACAACTGCATTGCTTAGTGGAGTTGGGTACCTGGGATGTGCATGGACTTCCACTTTTGGCATATGAGAAAGTATTTATCATATGACAATAGGAAGTCCATTGTACAGGCTATTATAATGTCACAATTAGACTATTGTAACGGTCTATTATATGGTACGCCCGCTGTTCATCTTGGTAAGCTGCAACGCCTGCAGAACGTGGCAGCTCGGCTGGTATGTACTGTATCTAGGGATGATCCTATCACACCATCCCTGATCAACCTGCACTGGCTTCCGGTTACCCACAGAATAGAATTCAAGATAGCAATGCTAGTTCACAAATGTATCTATGGCGTCGCACCACAATATCTTTTAGACTTGATAAAAATCAAAGAGAGCTCGCGGTATCAGTTGAGATCATACCGGGGCATATAAGAAATAAACATTATTATTATTATTATTATTATTATTATTATTATTTGGCAAACCCAGACCCTAGACAGAGTTTGTGCTCCCATGGCTGATAAACCGGCGCCTTCCAGCCATAGGGGGAGGGATGGGGGTAAAAGAATGATCCAGAGGCTAAACGAAGAGAGAGGCCACCAGGAAACGCTCTACTAAACACATGGAGATGATGGAAGCAAGGCTGACCATGCTTGAGCCACTACACTGACCACTAAGCGACAACACGCGACTGCACTCCTTGTTGTTTACTGTGTTAAATTTTATGTTCATTAAATCTTTTCTTTAAATCTTTTTCTTTTTAATTAATTTTCTTTAAAAAAAAAAAACATTCATTTGCCTTTTAAAAAAGAGATGTGACACAATTTTTATGGGCCTCACGTCTCTCTATAACTACCAATGTAATAGTTGTTGTGAAATTTGTTTTTTTAGATTCAGGACCACAGACAGAACTTGTAGCACAGTTGGCCCAAGAATTCTACAATAATGATGTTCTACTTCATCTCATAAATAATCTTGGAAAATTGGATTTTGAGGTTATTTTTAAAACTGAACTTTTACCGCCCCACCCATGTCCAGAAACGCACACAGTTTGTACCCTTTTACTTTACATTAGAGACAATATTAATAATTAACAATATTAGCCTTCGTGGCAGGCGTTTGAAAGGGAAGGGAAAGGGAGCTTTGTGAAAGGGAGTTTTAGGCACGAGAGAAAGCGAGGGGCGCGCAAGGAAGGAGGGAGGGAAACCCCTGCCAGGAAACCATTGTTTTTCTCGTTTTTAACATCTACCAAGCAAATGTTAAAATCCTGATTGGTCAAAATTGATAAGATCTAAATAACTTGTTCTAATTGCATGGTCACCTACATGTCATTCAGTAACTTGAGTGTTACCATTCACAACTAAACATATGTCGTTAGTGAAGCATGTTGAGATTTCTCTACGGGAATTCATCGTTAGAAGGCACCAATTTCAGCTTCAAAGGAGAATACAAAAAAGCAGGTAAAGAACTGTATGAAGAAAAGGCCTGTCAGCAGATGAGTTTTACTGACTGGTTCTGAAAAGTATTATCTCCCAACGGCTTGTCAGTTTTACTCGCCAGAAGAAAGAAACGAAAAATCATGCTGCCAGTGTGCCTGTTATCTGCTGTTTGACCCGCGTTATCAACGGCAAGATAATTGAAGACAAAGCGATCTATAACTTTTCAGTTGACTTTTGGCGATTTTTGGTCGAGGACTTCTTCTTGCCGGTTATAAAACCGCCAGGAACTTACTGTAATAATAAATTGTTGCCTTCTTGCAGATCTTCGAAGTTCAGCTCTTCTTTCCCTGCCACCAGAATTCTTTTGTGTGCTCCGCTGGATCCAGTTCGTCCTGATAGAAATTCAAAGAGTGCGTGACGGCAAAGTGTTTTAATTTTTCTTAGACAAACCTTGCATTGAAAGTTGCGAAGAGCCGCTACATTTCTTGTTAAATAGTTTTCCAGCCAGATTGCTTCAGCAATAACTTGAATAGATTTATGCTGGATTTTATGTAACTTGGCACGCGTCGCTGCAACTTTCAAGGAAGATTCCTTCGATGGACGACCGCATTTGAACTTTTTTCATAGTAACTTTACTTTAGATTTCTTAAGGAAAACAAAAGAAAAACAGTGCGAGAAATACGACTAGAATACGTGCATCGTGGCCAGACTTATTTGACAGCTAGTCATTCACAGTTGCGTTATTTTTGTTATTTTTTTAATTAGCAGGCAGAAACAATGGTTTCCTTGCAGGCGTTCCCCTCCTCCCTCGCGCGTGGTCTCGCGCCCTAATTCCCTTTCCCTTCCCTTTCGAACGCCTGCCACGCAGGCTAATTAACAATTAATGAATGAGGCTGAGTATCTTATGAAGAATTATGGAGATCGAGGAGGGTGTTATCCATCGAGGCCGTAGGCCGAGGCGGATAACATCCTCCTCGATCTCCATAATTCTTCATATGATATGAAAGCCAAATTCAATAATTGTTTTATTATTCATTCAAAATAATTCCTAGTTAAACCCATTCGCTCCTGGAGATTTTGCCGAAAAACACGTTTTGAAGCTGGTCGAGTGGTTTTCTGGTCACTGTCGTGCTATAAAGAGCTAAGACTTACCACAAACGGGTTTACAGGTCATACACTTCATGGCCTTCTGATCCAGATGAAAAATATCAGCTTGCGAAGTTCGGGCATGCGCAGAAAGTAAAATTTGGGTTTAAAAGTGACACAGCAGTCTTGACTTTTACTTTTCTCTTTCTCTCCTCCCCTCTTTTTTCGCTTTTCTTGCCTCATTTTTTTTTTCTCTTTCATGCTCGTCATTTAGTAGGCTTCATTTTGGTGGGAATAGTTTTTAGGAAAGCGTTAGGATCTTAGGATTAGGTGAAAGGAAAGGTAGGTGGGCAATGCCGTCACAAGGGTATAAAGGACGTGGATCCGCACTGGCGGTTACAGGCGGTTCAGGGACAAATGGGTTAAAAACATGGCTAAAACATGCTTACCTCCATCAATCCATCGATGTTAAGTTCATCTTCGATAGTGCACCTTTAGGCTTGTCCAGCTCCGCAAATATTCTCCAAATAGCAGATGTTGCCCTTTGAGTTGTCTTCTTGCTGTTCTTGCCACGTTTTTAGCTATTTTTTCGCCTAGTTCTTACTCTTGAAACGAGTGAAATGACCATCATTTTTGTTTCCACAACCAAAACAACTCAACCTTGTCCCCAGGTCTTCTCGGTTAACAGTGCCTTAACCTGCTTGAATGCTGCATTTTTGACCTGATTTCCTCGTTAAACACAAAATTATTCCAAATTTGGTCATCAGTAACTGGTTATGGTGAATTAAACGTGTGCTTTTAGCCAATCAGAATTGGGGAAATATTTTGAATGAATAATAATAAATCCTTATGGCTTCATGTTTGACAGTATTTCTTGCATTATTCTAAAGGGACTGTGTATGTGTGAGTTGTGACATTAGCTGATTGTTTTTAAACCAATCAGAAGCAAGTTAGGTGCATGCAAGGAAATTTACATAATTCAAATTTGTTGTTCACTACGCAAGAGTACTTCTGGATGTTTAGTTCGATTTTATGTATTCTAATAATTCATATTTGTTCTCTGCTATTCCTAAGGCATATGTTGCAGCCAATAAGAATGTTGTAGCTAATTTTTATTTCAGTTAATTTTTCTTTTTCCATTGTTTCTGGGTATGGTAATGTATGCTAATGAATTTAAAACAAAGGAAAACCAAAAATTAACTGAAATAAAAAATTAACTGCAACAGAATACGATTTACAACCCTGTCCTGCCTGTGAGGTCTTTCATGTACACACGCTAACAAACGGATCGGCAAACAAAATTTGTAAACAATCCTTATATTACTGATCTCTCTGTTCGCCTTATATAAACCTAGAATTATCTGCAATGGTGCCTGACCAGTGACCAAAACGCAGAGCATAGGTATAAAGATTATCCTAAAAGAACAACACAAAATTGAGCATATTGATTCAAATTCCTTTACATTGCATCGGGTCAGTGTTCTGCAAAACAAACTTTATTGAGTAGAACACATAAAGAAACCAGATTTATTGACGGTAACTGTATAAACAGAATATTCGGGGAAGAATTTATTTTAAATCACAGTTCTTGAAACACTGACAACAATATTATTACATGTACATGCCAAATCATTTGTAGCTAGTAAACTGAAAGGTGTTTAAAGTTCCAATCTCTGGCTTTTTGGCTGAGATAGAATCATTATTGTTCTAATGGTATATATTACAAAACTGTACTCAGGTTTTTCTTATAATCCTTGAAAAGGTGCTGAATTCTTCTGATTCTATAGCGACATCTGTTGGTATTTTTTTTCCATCTACAGCTGACTCTCTCTTAATGGATACCTCTGTAAAATGGACTCCTAGTGTCGGTCCCTGCCTTTCTTTACTCCCTTTATTTGGCTCTACATGTATATAAGAGGGACACTTAGAGCCTATCCCAAAGGTGTCCGTCTTGGAGAGAGTCGACTGTATGGCAGTTAAGGTGGCTGAACACAGTTTTGCAGTTTGTGAGTATATGTCATTTGCTAAATCATGGCAAGAGAAGGGGTTACAGCTCACAAGTGGAAACTTGCCAAGTGAAAAATATTTTGATTGACGGTAAAATTTGACATTTTCGTAGTTTCGATGGCAACATGAATGATTGAATACAACCTTAAAATTTCACTTTTGCTCAGTTTACATAAAACTCCCTCAAATTTTCCTGTAAACTTGAACACAGCTTACTATGATTAATCATTACCATTTGAAACTTATTTGACCCAATTTTAACAGACAGCTTTCTAGATAATCAGTAATATAATTGTTCTGTAATTATCAAATGTGTCATAAAAATCAAATCGTCTGTTCAACTTCCATTTTAAAGTTCTCTTGATTAAAATGCGATAAAAGTAAAAGTTCTGCCAAATATCACAAAATTTTAATGAGTAGATTTTGAAAAAACGTCTTCTGTGTACCATTGCTTTTTTGCCGCCATGTTTGTTTGTCTAATTTAAAACGAGTTACTGCTGACCGCCCACAAAACTGTGTTCAGCCACGTTAACTGAGGGACTCGATTTAATTGGTATGACAACTATGTCTTTGACTTACAGTATATGGTTCATTACTGTTTAAACTCGAGGTCAGGGCTTCCCAGGTCTCAAAACCTTTCCCTGGTCAATAGATGTTTCTCAAGTTTTGTTCCTTGTTTTCTGTAGAGCAAGAAAGACACAGCCTTAATCTTCAACAACGTATTAAGACGTCAAATTGGTACTCGTTCCCCCACAGTGGAATACATTTGTCAGAAAAATGAAATTTTGCATGAACTTCTTAAAGGGTAAGGCTTTTGTACTTGGAAAAGAAATGGATAACCAGTATCGCATTTATTGCAACTTAAGATAAATCTCCACTTAGCTCAAATCTTGGGTGTTTTACATGTACAAGTGAAAGTCAGGGAACCTTTTCTTTTTCTGAGGAACAGCTCCCTACTTAATATCGCACAGGTTTACTTCCCACATTTCTTTATTACAGTCAAAGCAGGTGAAGCGTTCCCGTCGCTAACGAACTAATGAATTCATTAATGGTAAAATGATTTTGTTTTTTGATTCAATAATCCATTTGTAAAATGAACAATCAAATATTCTTATTCAGCCTCGATTCAATAAAAATCATGTTGATTCAATTACTGTTTTTTGAAAAACTACACTTTCCACAAGTTAGACTGCGAGCAGTCCCCAGGATGGTCATGCGAGCAAGGAAATGGAGCTAAGCGAGTGAAAGTAAAAAACAAGAAGCCGAGGGGAAGCTCCCCTCAGCCATTTCACTCTCTCCAGTCCTGCCGAGCTTAGACTCGACTGACTGAAGAGGGACTGCTTGCAGTCTATCCACAAGTCGACCCCAGCATTTTCTTTTTTCTCCTTTTTTTCTAAGAGTTGAGTGCAGCCGAGTTCTGAAGTTCAAACCCAAAAAACTGTTGCATGTACGCCATTTTACTTCCGGTAATCAGTGCCTCAGACCTGACCTCTTAAAAAACATGATGGTCAAACTGAGGTCAGTGTACAATGTGCGGTAATTAATAGATTTCTTTCCTTGGCCTTTGTCAGTTTATTTGCATTTGCAGTCTGTCTATTCCTGCTGTTATTTTGATTACAGGCAATGAAAAACGCAATCGAAAACGGTAGAAAAAGGGTAGCAAATACAATTGAATATAGCAGACAGGAATAAAGAACCAGTAGTTTTTGTTCACAAACCAAATCAACATTTTAATTATTGAATTGAGGTCCAATTTGACTGTTAGATTATTCATTTTATGAATGGATTATTGAATTGACAAACCACATCATTTTTCCATTCATGAATTTATTAGTCCATTATTGACAGGAATGCTTGACATGCTTTCACTGTAATAATAAACAGATTTAATGGTTTCAGTCAGTTTTTGTTTAAGATTTAAACCAAAATTACATCTTACACTAGAAAAGGGAGTTGACATCAGCAGATTCAGAAGAAAATCATGGAAACATTCAGATTCTTGCGACTATGATTCCACTGAGTGTGTATAATATGCGAGCCAGCGAGTCATGCGAGTCAACATGTGAGTCAACATGCGAGCCATGCGAGTCATGCGAGTCAGCATAAAATAACTTTGTTTTTAACGTAAACTACTAAGTAACGTATCTATTCCAAAGGCAGGTCCTTTAAAATTCAGCTTCAGAAAAATTCGCCAACATACAAATTGAACGAGGTGAAACAATAACAAAGGTTTGAGAATGCGTTAAACAAAGGTTTAAAGGTTCTTCCTCGGTCACGTTTAATGAGTCACACCATATGTGGTAAGCCACGTGACCAGAACATAAAAACACTCTTTAAAACCCAAACGCCTTTGCGCCTTTCATAATAAAACCAATGCCAATGGCTTAAGAATATCGCGATAAAAATCTGACTTACTAACGCCCTTCTCAAAATTCACAGTAATTGAAAAAGCTATGACGTCATTGAGGGTATTTTTAGTTGCGAGTCAACATTTTACGAGTTTATTCCTTGCGATTTACTTAAGATGTTTCTTTTCTTCAAGTTTATACACTCGATAAAATTATGGGCAACATGACTTAGGACTCACGACTTGGTAGATGACTTTCGGCGACTTGACCGTTACCTTTTCATACATTTTCTTTAAAAGACTTTCTTGCTGTCGTCTGAACGCTAATTTCATGCTACAAATGTTAAAAAAGTTAAATTGCTTATGATTCGCCAAAAAATGGATTCTCTTTCCTTCGAACTTCTGTCTCGCATGGCTCACATGATGACTCGCATGACTCGCATGACTCACTGGCTCGACTCGCATGACTCGCTGGCTCGCTGGCTCGCAGTTTGTCAAGACCCATTCCACTCTTCTTGCAGCTGTAATTTTCTATTATCATTAGGTCCTTAAAGCACTCTAACCACTCCAATTCAGTCACTGTTGAAAATTGGCCTTTAAAGCACAAGATTTCTCAGTCAGTCTTTAAATGTGGGATTGACCAGTTAACTGAGCATTTTGTTCTTTAAGAATCATATCGAAATATATACATGTACTTGAAATAAAACTCTACAGGTTTTTGTAAAACTTTAACAGTGTCAATGCACCTACCAGGTACAGTTATTTACTATAATAAACTCCAGTGAAATACCAGGTGAGCTTTCACGCGAAAACATGATATCGATCTTCATATGTGAGAAGATCATTGTAGCTGTGGCTACATAATAAATCACGCCTTTCACAGCAAAAAAAAAATGGTGATGTAAAATGGTTTGGTTATTTCATTGGTGTTTATAATAATAAATAGAACATTACATGGCCGCTTGGTGATATGAAATTTCTCTTCTCCTCTGTGTTTCTCTCTACAGCTACAAACAACCTGGAATAGCACTAAACTGTGGAGTCATGCTCAGAGAATGTATTAAACATGAGTCATTAGCCAGAGCTATCTTAATCGAAAATGAAGAGTTCTACATTTTCTTTGAATATGTTGAAATGTCAACATTTGATATCGCATCTGATGCATTCTCAACATTCAAGGTATCTGAAACAGAATCTGACATTTTCACAAATTTTAAAATAACTAAGATAGAAGGCACGTTCTGATTGGTTAAAAACCTTTGGTTTATTGTGCTGGTAAACTCATAGGTTCACTTAAAGTTATTTTATAAAAGCAATGGACCACACTTTCTATGGGTTTACCAGCATGATAACCAACTTAGGATGTTGGTAGAACACTCGAAAAGCTTATAAATCACTTGCCTTCAGCTCATAATTTACAAGCTTTTCTCGTGTTCTCCTAAGATCCTGCATGGGTTATCACACCAGTAAGCCCGTAGAAAGTGTGGTTTATTGCTTAAATAATACTGTTAAAGTAAAAGGATTTATGAGGTGCTCTGGGTGGGGGGGGGGGTGCATATGTCCATGGTCTCTGTATTGAAAAACCTGTCATTTTGCATTTTGAGCTAGAGGAGGCCATGTCACTGTTGGTATTACACTATGGTATTTTATGCTTTTCTCTGGTGCAGTTTCAACCTATCTTTGTGCGATTTGTCACCATTTCTACTGTCCTATGTTGCTGTCTCAAGGCCACCGTGTGGCTTGTCAGAATTTTACCCTAACATGGCCTTGTAATATTTATGGTGGAGCCCTCACTTGTGGGAAGTACATACTCCATGTTGGGTAGTAAATGTATCCAAGAAATTTTTATTAGCTGTGACAAATTCTTCCATCTGTACATCCACCCCCTCATGTCAGCAGGTGTGAAATATCACACTTACTTCAGAAAAAACGTCTCTTAAAGGATCCCTTGAGACATTTGCTTTTGGCCTTGGCTAGATCTGTTTAATTATATTAGAGCACAGTAAGAGCATTACCCTTGAATTTGAATCACCCTCAACGTATCTGCTGTTGTTATGTTGCAATAACCAAAAACTGAGAAGTATACATTCAATGGACAAGTGAAATGTTAAAAGGTTATTTGCCTTGTTTTGGTTTTGGCAAGAGTTATCACAAGATGTAAGACCTGTGAAGCAAGTTAATCTCCTTTTAGTGTTCATAGTAGAAATTGCAAACTACTTATCTTAGGATGAATAGGTGGTGACCGAACATGCTTCAGCCTAGCCTGGAAATATGGCCTTCTCTCCTTAGTTGACACTCATTTCCATACTCCAGAATGACGCTGACACATTATGATTCATCTCGACAGCAACCCCATTTACATCCCAGAAGATCCTTTTTAATGCCAGAGGACTGGGTTCAAATTTACTTTAACCAAAGGGACATTAACTACATCTCACCTTCCAATATTAGAACCTGAGTGTTGAAACCCGCTCTCCCCAGTTACACAATTTCCTCTCCAATTCTCTCCCCCCCTCTGTCCCTGACATTTTATGAGCCTCCCCCTCTGAGCTTCACTAGTTTGTGCGATAAACATATTTTTAGTACACAAAGTAATTCTTTACAAAGGAAGAAACTGCATTGACTATCAATTATACTCAGATTAGGGTGAAACCCTAAAAATAGTGATTAGGCTCCTTGCCACAAGGATCGTTTTGCAAGAGAGAAGTCTGTTGCTCAATGACAGAGATTCTGTGCTGATGACGTAAATCAATGTTTACGTAATTAATTTAATCTTGCAGTCTTAAGGTTCCAAAAGTAGTAAATTTGTTCTAGTTAAGTTTTTCCTAGTCTTTTGTCATAAATGTTTGAGTTCCTCTGCAAATTATTCCACGAATAATGACTGTTTTTTATTAGGTTCATTTATTTTACATTTGACCTTTGTGACCTTTTGTCTGTCATTCAAAAACAATATGTTAAAAAATAAAATTATTACATCAACCAATCAGAGCTCTTGACCAGATTCTTGACAGATTTAACATCATCAGTCTGGAATTTCTGTCGTTGAGGCAGAAACGTCTCCTCCTCAAAATGTCTCTAGCGACGGGGATTCCATTTCATGTCAGAAAAGCAAAATTAATGCAGTCTAGTTTTGTATAGTTCCCAAATTTGATATAAGTAATGAATTATTAATATACCTGATGTGTCAACATTATTGATTTATTTCTTATTTATTTACAGGATCTTCTTACAAGACATAAAATACTAGTTGCCGGGTTCTTGGAGAAGAATTATGACAAGGTTAGTAAGTCTGCAGTTGAATTTTTGTAAGATGTTTACAAATCGTTGCCTGTCTCAATGTATGGTTAATATTTGGCTTTTTCATGTGAGGTTTTCTATTTTTCGGTAGTTTTACGGTCATTATGGCAAGTTACTGCACTCAGAGAATTATGTGACAAAGAGGCAGTCTTTGAAGGTAAATCTTTCCCTTGTAAAAATTTATTCATGATCACAGTGTGGTAGCTGCAATATTGCAATGTAATTGCACACATCACGGCATGATAGCAACTTGGTGTTTGTGAGCATGGCAAGGTTTTAGCAACTGCAGTATGCTGATCAGGATTGTGGCTTGATGATAATAATAATAATTATAATAATAAATACTTATATAGCGCGGTATCCACTAATAATTGCTCAAAGCACTGTACAATAATATGGTAAGAAACTAGAGTTAAAAACTATTTATAAGATGATCATAATCGTGGCACAAAAGAATCTGCAGTGATCATGGCATGATTTAAATAAATTGCAATCATGACCAGGCACACTTGCAATCGCAAGGATTGTGATCATAGAAGATGTTCGCAAGTGCAGAGAGATTCTGAAAAATCACAACAGCGATCTCTATGATATACCAGTAGGCATGTTGATTTTCACCCTATCAGTTTCAGATTTCTTCATGGGGACGTACCACGTAATTAAATTGCCAAGAACCAGCCTTTTAGTGAAAATTGGTGGGGAGATATACATTCACAAGCACCATTAAGCTCTGGTGACTCCATCCAAATCCTTGTAAAATTGGCTTGGATAGTAACACTTAAGATCCAGGCCTATTTTGGAAGGACTTAAATGGAGTCATCAGAACATAACCCTGCTTATATCTCTCCATCAATTTGTATTAACCCTTTAAACCCTAATGTCAAAATTGAGATTCTCATTTACTGTCCCTATACATGTACTTTTTCAATCGAAGCAGTTTGGAGAATTTGTTGAAATATCAATAATAGAGAGTTTTAGATCCGAGTCTACCGCGAACCTCTATCCGCGGTTTGGGGTTACCCATTTGCGGTTCAACGTTCAAACATAATTCGATTTAGATTGGCAGTGGATTAGATTACGGCCACCATTTTGAATCAGCAGCCATGAATGGCAATAGGATTTGTCAAATTTAGCATTTCACCCGAATTTGTGCCTCTGTTAATGGATAAAGAGTTGCTCCACAAGATTTTTGTATCGTTACGTGGGATAAAGAATTATACACTAGAAGCTTTCAGGTTAATGACATACGTGAAAACCTAACTCCCCACGTTGAAAACGCACGTCGTAAACCTCAAACGTGACACGAAAGACTTGTCTCGTGACCTCCAGCAGTTAGAGGTTCGCGGTAAACTCAGATCTAAACACAGATCTCAGATCTACACACAGTTCAGTCTTTTTGACCCACAGAAGTACATAAAAGTACGACTGACATTTGCACACCTTTTGTTGTTATTATGGACTATTCCCCACTTTAGAAATGAGAAGAAAACTGGGCGGGGTTAACTTTAAAAAAAACTTCTGAAGGGAAAAGGCAATGGCGACCATTTGCACAGTCCCTTTACGGTGTCTTCCCAGACGTTCTTGGTCAATTCATTTTAGTGACGTGACTAATGGCTCAGACCAGGTGATCTGAAACACATAGTCTGCGCTAAGTAATGAGGCCTTATAACTAGGCATGGAGACCATTAATATAACAGGAGATAGGGTAGGTAGTTCAACTTGGTCTAAGAAGACAGAATATCGCAGAAGATGGTCTGAGCAGTTTGAGGACTACAGCTGACTATGTAGAGAGAAAGCCTTAACTATAGCTAGTAAAAATAACCTGTTGTTATACATAGCTTCTTGGTGAGCTCTTGCTGGATCGCCATAACTTTACTGTGATGACCAAGTACATTAGCAATCCCGAAAACTTGAAGCTTATGATGAACCTACTCAGAGACAAGAGCAGGAATATCCAGTTTGAGGCATTCCATGTGTTCAAGGTAAGCCTCTCATTTACAGTAAGCCCTGGTTCAGATGCCGAACTTTTCATAAGCCGAATCTAATACATTGAATTAAGGACATGAAAAGTTTGGCATCTGAATCAATCAGGAATGCCTGATTCAATGTGGAACCACTCAGCCGTTCCTCCTGCCTAGCTTGGCCAGGAATTTCTACTTTGGAGAGGCTTTGGAACAGCTTTGATTCAGACGCCAAACTTTTCATATGCCAAACCTAATACATAAATTAATTATAATAACGTATTTTGCAAGCCGTTTGACAAAAATGAGCTTTTTTGGTTTCGATGGAACCAAGGTTGGCACCTGAATTAATTCAGCTGGTCTATATAATTAGGTTCAGCTTATGAAAAGTTAACCGTTTGAACCGAGCCTCAGACCTTAGGTTAATGATGGCTAATTCTGATTTTTGTGTTGTGATCTCACTGAGGTTAATCAAACAAACATGTAGGTCATGAGGATAAGAGAAATGATCGTAAGAGATGATGTGTAATGAAATCTGGAATGTACAGAACCAAAAATGCCCTAATCGCTGTTGCAATTTAGTTTCTTGTTTTAATTGCTGTGGAGAGTACCTGTTTCATTAAATTCTATAGGTAATGCTACATTGAATGTAACCTTACCTATAGCCTGCAAATGCAGACATATTAAAATATGTTTGCATTTGCAGGCTGTTACCCTTGGAATATTTATTTTTGCAGGTGTTTGTTGCAAACCCAAATAAATCTCCGCCAATTCAGGAAATCTTGGTGAAAAACAAAGACAAGCTCGTGGAGTTTCTGACAACCTTCCACAATGACAGAACAGGTATCAGTATAAATATGTAGATTCTCCCCAGCTTAAATACAAAAGTACTGTCTGTTAACTTTTTCAATCCCAGAAAGGACCAAAGTAAAAAATGGGCAAAAATTCAAGATTTCATTAAATTTGTAAAATTTTGCAAAACAAATAGCCCCATTTGAAAGCACTGCTGAGGAGGTTTTATTTGAATGGTCATATCAAAGGATTTCATCCACAGACTCAAAAGTTAGAACTACATACTAAATAAATAGTACCATGTGAAAGTACTGCTGAAGAGGTTTCATTTGAATGGTAACCCCACGGGATTTCATCCACAGACTCAAAAGTTAGAACTACATACTAAATAAATAGTACCATGTGAAAGTACTGCTGAAGAGGTTTCATTTGAATGGTAACCCCACGGGATTTCATCCACAGACTCAAAAGTTAGAACTACATACTAAATAAATAGTACCATGGCCATGTGAAAGTACTGCTGAAGAGGTTTCATTTGAATGGTAACACCATAGGATTTCATCCACAGACTCAAAAGTTAGAACTTCATACAAAATAAATAGTACGATGTGAAAGTACTGCTGAAGAGGTTTTATTTGAATGACCACATCTTAGGATTTGTCCACAGATTCCAAAGTTAGGACCACCTTGCAAGACTGAAAAACAAAATGCTTCTCTCCCCTCCCCTCTACTTAAACAGCAAGAAAACAGCGTGTACGCATTGTATATTTTGCAAGCATGACAATTTTTTTATTTATTTGTTTGGCCAAGGATACCCCATCACTTTCATTTCTGAGCCACCAACACCTCCCCCCCCCTCCATGGACTTACCAGAACCTGTACTTATGTACTAAGCTGGTGAGAAAGGGAAAGAACTAAAATACAACAGCTGCTGTGAGCCTTGAAAGAAAAACGATCCACAATGATCGATCATTCGAACTGCCGCTGAAGTCTCAGTGACAATCCTGCACAAAGTCTGGGGTGTGACTGCTGGCCAGCAAGCCTGTGTCTTGCCTGTTCCATGCACCGAGATAGTCGTGAGCACGCAAAATAAAATGGAAAGAAACTGGGAAGAGAAAGGGCTGTCTCCCTTCCTTTGTCCCTCCACTGCCCCCTTTTCCCAAATTATCCACACACATTTTCATCTGCCTTTCACTTTGTACGATGTACTCATGGTCTGTTATTTTTATGACTTTTCAGAGGATGAGCAATTCAATGATGAGAAGACTTACCTAATCAAACAAATCAAGGAACTGTAATAAAAAGGCATCCATGACATAAAATAAGAAAAATACATGTAGATTTTATTTTGTATTCATTACAATATTATTAGCCTAATTGCTGTACTTTGCTCTGGATAAAATTGTTGAATTTTTGATCATTCAGAATGTTTGAACAAAGCACAGTTGTTTTGCTTCTAATTTTTATAGCCTGTAGCATTATACTTACCAGGGTTTTTCCATAAGGAGCTGAAGGGTTCCTTCTCCTCAAAACAGGGCCACTGGCAGAACTTAACCCTTTCACTGCCAAATGTGGCCAAAGGCAAATTCCTACCAAATTTCATTTTCTAAAATTTTGAGAAACAAATAGCATCATGTGAAAGTACAGGTAGAGAGCGTTCATTTGAGTGGTCACATCATAGGATTTCGTCCACAGACTCAAAAGTTAGAGTCACCTTACAAAACTTCATCAAACACTCTGGCAGTGAAAGGGTTAAGGAAACACAGCATTCTGTATGCCTCAATGAGAACCACATGAAGCAGATACCAAAAGCACACAGTCCAAATTGCCTGGGTGAGTAAAGTAAAAATCCGCGAGTAAGAACCTGTATTTTCCCTAGTTAGCCTAAACAGGTACTTAGATAAATTTAATGGTAATTGGCACAAATTTAGGCTCTTAAAGTTCTTAAATAGGTTATTTTCTGAAGAAAAAAAACATTGTAGCTAAGGGCTTTTTTGTGGTATTCAGCTAATTCCTTATATAAAATCTGCATACTGGAGTGTTAAGGCACCTATGTCTTCGAAGAGGATCCTGAATGTTGACTTATCTCATAACTTGCCTGATTGTAAAGAATTTTTTTTAGATTTTAGAAAATAAGAACCTTTTTCAAATTCTAGGCCAACAGGTTCTGAAAAACCAGGTTCTTACTGACAGCGTTTTACTGTACTCCACGTATGGCACTATCATGAAAGTTGTTAATTGATGATGATGATGTTGATGAGTAGGCGCTGCTGTCGGTCATTTAAACAGACGTAAAATAAAATTGCTCAACTATGAACATACCACCACCAGCGGCACATTTTGCTGGCTTTAATGGTTTGTATTATTATTTTTTTTTTCGTGGGAGCCTCACAAGGCCGCCACCCAGTGAGAACACTGCTGTAGAATCTTGTTATGATTGAACAGTGGCAAAATTGTTGTTCACTTTGGTTGCCTTATTACAGTTGACTCTCCCTAAGACAGGCATTATTTGGACTCACTGAGTGTCTGTCTTAAGGTAGTTTCCGCCGTGCATCAAGTCAAAGAAGAGACCTGAAGAACAGCAGGCTCCCACTCTAGTTGTCCACTCTAGGGGGGTGCCTGGTGTCCATAATCCTTTCACTTATGATCCAAGTTATGGTGTGAAATGATTTATCAATCTATTCTAACTTTTGTATCGTTTGATACCTTTTTAGTAAAACTTTTTTCATGGTGCTGTTATTTGTAATTTGAAATTTTGTGATTTTTTTACATTGTCCACTGTTGAGAATGAAAGAATAGAAGAGAGTTGACTGTACAATAAAGGTTTGGTTTTGTGCCTTGGTGACCTTTCTCGATACTTTAGATAACTTGAAATAAAGGAAATGGCTTTGTTGTCCTGCTGTCTTTGGCAAAGTGAAGATGCTCTCAATATTATTCATTGGATTACTTCGTACTAACATTCAGAACAAGGCGGCTTCCTGTTTCTTAGATCAAATCACCTAGCTTCTCTAAGTTTGAAAATGAGTCAAACATAACAAATATATGAGGATTTGCGGGACAAATAACTAGCTACTGTCCCTGAGAGACCAGCGGGCTTACGACAGCCCTGCTCTCCTCCTCGCGTAAGAGATACGACTTCCCTTATCCTCTCAAAACGCTTGCGTGGGAGGCTAACAAATAAAGGGGACCATAAGAGAAAGTAGTTATAGTAGAGATTGCAATATGGATGTAACCAAACACGGAGTTGGATTTTGTTCACGTGACCAAAATGAACCAATCAGAAGGTTGGTACATTCAAGTCACGTAAACCCCAGCTCCCAGATTATTTTATACTGGAATCTTTTATTGCTCAAGCCGATTATTCTTTGTTACCATGATATTATGAGAATATATTACTACCATTTAGTGTATTCACAAATGAAAAGCCATTCGTTTTAAATTATCTTCCTGTGTAATGCCAGTTAACTATAAAATATCCATTAACAATAATTATGTCATCGTTTTGAATTATATATAATAATGTTATGTTAAAGGTCAACGATATTAACAGTGATCCTTTGTAAAACTAATCTATATTTTCCATTGTACAGAGAAATTTGTTGCACTGGTCAGAAATAACCATATCTTTGAAGTCAAGGGCATCAATAAAGGAATGTAACTACTAACCGTGTTATTGATTGTTATAAAAGTTGGCCTCAGAAAAGAAATTTTCAGTCGTAGTAGTTATGGACACTGGAGATATTGGTGAGTGATTTTAAAGCCCAGGGGAATTTCATTGCTGGGTTGCACGTGACGTAAGGGCGGCCTTGGTGGTGGTCAAGAAAAAAAGCATTTGTCTTCTCTGGGAACCAAACCCTATTTTCATGTAAATTCTTCGAGAAAACTTCTATTGTTTTGAACCCCAACATGGCCGCCTTGTCACGTGGCTGCAAACCAAGAATACGAGAAGGCTCCACCCTGAGAATCTATCCGAGACCCTCTAGCATTTTTGACAGAAAAAGTGCCCTGTGAGAGAACTTATATAAAACAATATGATACAGCTCAACTGTGCGTCTGTTCGAAATATTTTCAATAAAGGCCCTTTTCAAAAACTTGAATAATGGCACATTTTCCGAAACTAAACCTCAGATAAGCCAGCAGCAGTTCCGAAATCCCCGTTCCGGGTCCCCAGCTGTGTATGTGTTGTAGTTCAATTTTTATCTTGGTTCAAAATTTTTTTCCCTTTGTTTTGGGGTATGGTAATTTATGGTAATGAATTTAAAACAAAGGGAAAGTAATTAATTTAAAACCAAGGATAAAATTGAACTACAACAAATACGTACCAGTTGAGTAAGAGCCACTATTGCCTAATGTCAAACTGAGAGGGGCTGGGTACGAGGCCGTTTATTATGGGGTAAACAACACGAAACCCACATAGTTTCCCTCTTTTGTGACTAAGTTCCAAAAAGGAATGCTGGAAAATTTCAAAAATTTTAGTCGTGAGTCTACGTCCTCATATAAACATCACATTAACATATTTTATGTTGTAGGTTTGTAGCGGATGTCAAAGAAACGTACCAAAGATGTTGCACATGCATAGCTGTTGTTTTGCTCTTGAAGCCAATTGTCTTAGTACTATACAGCGCACCGAATTATCCCTTTTTGCTGAAGAATAGGCCATTTTACAGTTGTGTGCTCAGTGCCCTAGCCTTTGAATAAAAGCGAGGTTGGCGGTGACCTTGTTTTGTCACAAACCTTCCTGCTTTTGACGTGCAAATCGTGGTATTCTCATGCTAACAAGCCCGTGAACATGATCATTTACATATGAAAAACAAGAAGGTTTGTACCAAAACAAGGTCACCACCATCCTCGCTTCTATTCAAAGACCAGGGCACTGATCACACAACTGTAAAATGGCCTATTCTATTACTTTGCGGGGGAATACATTAACGCCGATGATGTCATATTATTTTGTCTTTATCTCATGAATAAAATGCGTGGGAACCTAGTTAAGTTGCCGGGAACTATCAACACCGATGGCGTCATCGCCTTTTGTTCTCTGCTGGACCTCTGTTGGCACTCTAACAGGGAAAGACTTATCAATAAAATGCGGAGGAATCTTACTGAGATAAGCTTATCTACTTTTTCAAGATGGCTCAATTGGTTTGACACGTTTTTAGATCGATGATATCATAGTTTATTTGAAATTATGTGCGTCATATACTTAATTGGCATAAAGCCACCAGTGAATCAAAATCACTGAACTGTAACGTAATTAGCAAGTTCTATTCATTGCCGCTTTCCATTGCAGACACTGGCCTCTTCAGCCCTGACTCTATGATACCCATAAAAATCACGTCAGAAGAAACACTGCCTGGAATTAACGTTCGTTTAAGTGATTATATTAAGATCATAAGCAATTTCAAGCCGGGCGGTCAACTATTAAGAAAGAAACCAATTGTATAAGAAACCGGAGCCTGTGTACAGACGACCCCCCTCCCTCAGAAAAAATCTGTACACAGGCTAAAGAAACTGTTGCTGATTAACTTAGGTCCTGATTATTTGTCTTCCAGGTTTATTCGTAGGCAGGTATACATATGAACTATTTAGACCGCAGTCTTTTTCCATAGAGTTCCATTCGTAAGGCGATGCACTGATGCCATGCACTCGGGTACAACCTCAACACTATAGCTCTAAACGGCTGCATCTCGTGTTTTTCAACAGAACTTTGGTCCTTGTTGCCATCGAAGTCCTGTAAGTACAACAAAGGGTATGCCATGCTGATTTATATTCTAATTTCACGAGGGAAAACTCGGCGTTCATTTACATCAAAGACCAAAAAATACCATGGGACACTCCCGAAATCCAATCCTAAGTCCAATCGGTAAATATCAAATGTTTATTTTTTAGGACTGTCCTGAATTTCTTGGATTCATTTTATTACAAATGATCCAAAGAAGTTCCATATTGTTCTTAGTTTTAGGGTGCATGTAGGAAAACGTGCTCACAGATTGCTGAGAGACTTACGGAAAATCTCCTAATGGCATCTAGGGGAATGGAAATACCGTAAAAATCCGAAAATAAGCCCCCGGGCTTATATTTTTCAAAGGCCCTTTTTGAGGGGCTTATTTTTGGAGGGGCTTATATTCGGAGGGGCTTATCTACGGAGGGAAATTTGCGCGGTTTCAAAATCGATTGGGCTAGCTTTATAGTTGGAAGTAAATTTACTGATTTGCTTTGTTTTACTTTGTATTTGAGGGCAATTTTCCAAGTAGAAGCCCCCGGGGGGCTTATATTTAGAGGGGCGATTTAACCGAGGGTTTTTTGCGTTACCGGTTTGGGTGGTTTATATTTGGAGGGGCTTATACATGGAGGGGCTTATTTTCGGAATTTTACGGTATATGATTATGATTTAAACTGTATAGCAATGCACACTGAATACAGTGTTATTGGAAACGACAATCATTACGTAGAAAAACAAAGATTGTTATGTAACTTACTATTTTATTTCCATCAACAAGGTATTGAGTCCACGATAGTCCATCATAGTATTGCAAAGAGTATTGCGTGACCCAGCATGCTTCATAACTCGCCCCTTGAGTAGCAATTCCAGTCAGATTTACTATGCTTTGTGTGGCAATGGTCAAATAGTGTTGTGTATCATCGGACAGCGGTCTCCAGCATGAGTGACCATTAAGCCTTGCGTTATACGCCTCATACCCAGGTCTAAAAGAGGATGCTGAGATGTCTTCGTCTTTGAATGAACCACTCTCTAAACCGAGGGGCACTGGTATTGAAACTGTAAAATGATAGGGCTCAAGAATCCGTTGATTCCATTCAGAAAAGTGGGATAAAAAAAACATATCAATGAAATAAACATCTCTAAAAAACCTCCATGCCTAATGTTTTTTCGGGAGATCAATGGTCCTGACCAGTCAAAACGCTTAACACTTGCTGGGAAAGAAGGGTTCCTTCCCACAAATCATAGCCTGGGACCAGGCTCTGCATTGGAGGAAAAAGGAGAAAAAAATTGGAGTGGGCAAAAAAAAAAAAAAACACCGGCGAGGGAAGCGAGCCGAGAGGTAGTCTGGAGAGGGGAAATGGGATCTTTAAAATGGGAAGGCTTCTTGGATGAGAAACCAAATTGATGCGTCTCTAAACAACAAAAATTATCTTAGGTAAGATGATTTGCACATAATTTATCCTATTCGTACACACCTTCACATAAGGAACCAGAGAATCCCTCGAGGCAAACGCAGCGGGTTACGGGATAGGGCTCACAGTGGCCTCCATTCCTACACGCCTTAAAAGTCACACAAGGATCAAATTGGCGAAAAACCATACTTATGTATGAAGATCCTCTTGTTGGCATAAAGTCTGTTTCAAAATCCTCTCGTGTACCAAGGTTCATCTCACAGGACGCTCTTACCGCATAGAAATTTACGCTGAAACATCTTGGATCCCGCTCATAGGTAAATAGGCACCCTTCAAACGTTTGCGATCTCACTGTTTTTAAAACGTGACCCAACAAGGCATAATCAGCGATTCGAAAGCTGTTACTGCAAACATTACAATCTGCGGAGTGTTTTCCCAGGATTAAGACGAGAAGAGTATAACAGGCACTAGGTGATAGCTGCATACTTCAAAGCACCTATAATGAATAAATAAATAAATAAATAACAGAGTTTCCACAAAATGGCTCTTCATCTGTTCTGTAAAAGAAATCAAAATTTGAAAAAAAAAGCCTTACTTATGATTGAAGATAAATGTAACTTATTTACAGTTGAAAAAAAGAAAATTACTATAAAATATAAGGCATAACTAGGTGTAAAACATTTGAATGGCTAAAAATTACTTTGGAAATCTCAAGTGTATCTAGCTAGAGGAATGATTCACTTATTTCCCTGCAAAAATGTCTTAAGTCATCAGGTAATCAGCGAGGGGGGCTATTAAAATCTTTGAAGCTAGGGCTTTCTGCAAGTTGCTAGGCAGCGTTTTCGCAACTTCTCGTATTTCGAGCATCTTGTTTTTGCATTCTGAGCAATTTCTCTAATTATCTTCTAATTCTGGGATATCGGAGCAGTGGCCTTTCTTTCATATTTCACATTTTTTTACTAGACAATTTGTCAGTTTATGAATTTCTTGTAAAAAAAAAAGGAGCCAAATCCTCCCCCCTAGGGCAGATCATGGGCGCAAGATAAAAGTAGGTGGACTGCTAAGTCAGCGATGTCTTAGAGAAAATTCGAAATGATGGACGAAGATTCACATTCGACTGACTTGAGTGTCTCGGGTGAAGAAGGTCTTTCAACAATTATATTGGCGCACTACTGTCACTACAGTTTTTGGTTTTAGTTGGGTACAAAGTTATTTAGCAACGCTGGTTACGCTGCACAAAAATGCTTAGAAATCATATTTTTGTTGTACATTTTTTACATGTTAGCATCAGACCAAAAAAGTTTCAGTTTTTTCAAGTAACTTTTGAGCAACTTTCGTTACAAAAAGTAACTTTTGATTGTTTTTTGAGTCACTTTTCTTTTGAGCAACTTTTTGAGAAATTACAAGGAACTTTTTTGGAAAATCTCGAGCAACTTGTGAAAAGCCCTATTTGCAGCATAGTCCCGAAAGGTACCGTTTTCAAGTGGGATCGAGAGCCTAGTGGTAGAACTGGAACAATGAAAGCGGACCAGTTACTAGCTAGCCTGGGACCAGGCTCTGCAGTAGGGAAAAAAGGCAGAAAACAGGGTCAAATTTGGTCAAACTGGAAAACGCTCGCCGAGCGCTGGCCAGGGCGTCCGCCACCCTTTCCTGTCTCCACACTACCTCGCGGCTCGCTTCGTTCGCCGACATTTTTTTTCGCCCACGCCGATTTTTTTCTCCTTCCTCCCCCACTGCGAAGCCTGGTCCCAGGCTAATTACTAGCCTGTGCAGAAGACGCACCCCTCACCTCTTCAAAGACAAAAACACAGGCTTACTAGTTACTTGATTGGTTCTCAAGTATGACGACCCAAATGACGGCCAGGTCTTTGTATGGAGTGTCTTTATGGACTATTCTAAGCGAGTTAATATCCCTTTGTTTCACTATTGGAAGTCATTCGAAGAGAGAAATTTTGAATAACGAGGTGATGATTGGAAACGAAAAGGAAAGGAAAAAAACCGGCATCTTTCAAGAAAAAGTAAAGAACTGAAGATATGTTATTTCAATGTATGGTTCAAAATATATTTTTCTGTTTGTTTAAACTTATATTATGAACATTACCATATTCAAAAGAAAGAGAAATTTAAACCAAGGATAAATTATACTATAACATATATACAAGATACGCGATTTTAAAACTAGTTTGCTAATGGAATATTTTCTTTTTTTAAAGATGCACAATTGAGCTCATTCAAATTAGTATATGTTTGTTGAATGCCAGAATCACACTTCATTTGGCAACGCCGTGCTATCCCTCGAGATCCCGCGTTCATGTCTGTTGAAGCAACCTTAAAAATTTAATAAAAGCTCGTGCTTTGTATTAAATATAGATGTGGGTTAGTGAGAGAGTTAATTAGTTGTGATGGCCGGGGACTAAACTACTAGGCACCTCTTTGTGGAAATCTCAATTTGAGGCAATACCTCTTTTACAACCAAATGTGAATTTTTATGTAAGAAACTCACCTCACCAGAAACTGTAATGATCAGCTCAGCACCTTTAAAAGCTAAGTTATCCACTCTGCTGTTTTTCGCAACAGCGGCAAAATTACTGCATGTCAAACCAAACGGAAATTGAACTTTTCATCGTCGACAATATAATAGAGGAATTATATACACAAAAAGTCTGAATAATAAAAAGTCAGTAACGCCCCATTGTTTGAACGACTTAACCGGTGTTCAACAAAACCGCGTTCTAAGGCATTTTCATGCCCGATTGGCTTGTAAACGTGACCATCAATGGGCTATGGAAGGAAGGTGTGTACCCTAATACAGACAAGAAATCTTCTGGAATATCTCAGTGCCTATAACAAATACTAGTAAGAAGATAGTTCAAACCCGCCGTCAGAGTGGTTTAGATGTCCTCAAATCTCTTGCCCCTGCAATATTACTGAGTTATTCAAAAAGCGTTGTTTCGATCGTTCTAATCATTGCCTTGTTTCGCCTGTCGTCAAAAAATATGATACTCAAAATTGAAGGCAAGGCTTATAGGACAGCTACTTTGGATGGGCAATTTATTTTGTCAGTATTAAATTTGCCTAACCGAAATATTGGGGAAATAAATTACCTATCAACTAATCATTGTCTGGGTGTTATTCTATTGCTGATCCGCCTGATCTACTTCAAGATCCGGCTTTCCCTCACGCTACAGTTTGTCCAAGTGGTCCTTGCTAGAATTGTTCGCTAAAAATTGTGATGTTTAATTTACAATCTATCAACATTTCTGACGCACGATGATAATTAAACATGGTTCTGATAATGATTCCTACAGAAAATCGGAAATGACGCATCGGGTGATGGGGTATGTCTTAGACTCCCCTACGTATTTTTCGGTCTTGTGACATGCCGTCATCCAACAACATGATTTTCTTTGTCTCTTTACCTTAAAAAATTTGAAAGTCAATAGCACACTTTTAAGGAAATGGTGTACGATGTTTTGAATATCAATATTATTACCGATTTTGTTTACACGTTTACAAAAAATAACATCTTCGTGAAGGTAACATTCAAAACTTTTTAAATATAGATGAAATCCTTTATTTTCATTGGTGGAGAAAGGAACAACTGAGTAAACTCAAATGTAATCTATCAAATTTTCGCCTTGGCATGATTTACCACATAATTTAAATCGGAAATGTGAGGACATGATATCAATATAGGAGGCACCTAACATTCTCTCTTTAACTTCTTTCTGCTCTGTTGACAGTTGAACTTAAAACTGTTTCTTTGTACCCATAAGATTGAAGAGAGATCACACTAGATGAAGTGCTACTGGTGCTACAGAATAAGGCTGTTGGAGACGGAGCAAGATATTATTCATTAGGTCAAACAACCCTTGAAAGGCAATTTAAATATACAGTGCACGTATAAAACACCGCCAAGTTGCATATCAATATCACCAGCATCATTGTTGAAAGGAAACAAAAAAAAAAAAGAAAAGAAAAAACGCGGTTGGTTGTTACAAGCTGGGAGTTATAAATACTTTAATTGACTTGAACTATAACGTTGTAGAAGTGTATAATATTCCAATTAGTCGCAGATACTGATCGGATAGAGGGTGGAAAATGTTGGCAAACGAAGTGGCGATTATCTTCGTTGCTGTCTTTGTAGTGGAGGCTGCATTGATCATCCTTGGAAACGCCTTCACCATCTTTGTTTTCTCAGCTCCAACTCGGACATCGGATATAAGAAGAACTTGCTATCTCTTGATTAATCTGGCCTTTGCTGACCTTTTTGTGGGTATTACAGAGCCCATAATTCTAGGGACGAAAAAGTTCCATGATATGAGGGCGACAACGACAAAACCGAGGTGGAATGAACGAGACAAACATACTGAGGGGAAAAAAAGAAAATGCTCTACCAGGAGTATGGATACCAGGAGCAATGCAACTTTTTGCATCAAGTGCATCGGTGTTTTTTCTCGCCCTGATTTCCCTCGAGTGCGCTTTTGCCGTGTTAAAACCGTTGCATCATCGTGTTGTTAGCACTCGCGTTTACATCTACAGCATTGTCGTCGTATGGGCTGTAGGAATTTTCATATTTGGTCTGATGGGTCTTTCCTTTTATTACCCAAAGCTGGAGCGGGAGACGGTTGATATTGTTGTACATTTTTGCCTTTTCATCTCTCTTCTGGTGATTTGTGCGAGCTACCTCAAAATACGAGCACGATTGAGCAGCACTGCACCCGAAGTAACCGCTGTCAAGAGCCGTCAAACTACTGAGCATAACGTACGACTTTCAAGGACTCTCTTCGTGGTGATCGCTTTGTCGCTTCTGTTTTGGCTGCCAGCGTTTGCTGTTTACATAGGTAGAGACTTCTGCCAGACGTGTTTTCACCCATACGTGATGTGGACGGTCAATGTTTTACATCTTGCCAATTCTTTGGTTAATCCCTTCGTGTAGAGCTTCAGGATGCCGGTATTCAAAGAAGCGTTGGAGAAATTGTCGAGAAGACGAAGGCACGTTATCCGAACAAGAAATATCGAGGCTACAAGTCTGGCTTTGAGTCCATCTTCTACTTCGAGGATGAATCACACCGGTTTCTCGGCTGCCGCAACATGTGGGGGTTCTCAGTTAAATCTCTTTACGGAAAGTGGAGATCAGCTTTTTACAGCGAGTTCACCGAAGCTTTCACCTGCAGTCAGCACTGCTTGCATTGGTGCAAACCAAACAAGTACTCCTTCGACATCCATAGTGACCCGATTATAGGCAAAACTCCGATGACGTCATTTTTGACAATTTTGCTCATTAGAATACGAGTACAAGGCGTCGCTCGTATGTACAAATCAAGTGCAGAAGTTGATAGAGCTAATTCACTTGTACAACTTGTGAAAAGGTTTAACTCTTTGCAAGGAATAGTAGGGCATCATCATATGCCAAAACCGTGAAAGATATCTATATGTGTGGCCTTTATATACCTCCGTGTAAGTCACCATATTTCAATGTAGAATTATTTGAAGAACTTGATATTTTCCTCCCAAGGCTCAATTCTCCTTATGGGTGACTTGAACGCTAGAACAAGAAAGTATTCTGACAGTGTCTGTAAATAGGGAAATAACCTCATTACAAACGACCAATCAGAATTCTCTCTCTGCCCAACGCAGAGAAATAGTTTTGCTAACGAATTAAACAGTCACGGTAAAAGGCTCCTTGAAATTTGTATAAGTGCAAACTTTAGGATTCTAAACGGAAGAGTCAGTGGTGATTCCCTAGGAAGAGTAACGTTTCATGGCAAAAACGGAGTGAGTGTAGCTGACTACGCAGTACGTGACCAGGATCTTTTATCACATGTTGCAAATTTTGTACTCAAAGATCCACTGCATTTGTCAGACCATAGCCCTATTACTACTTGACTGAATATTAACCAAAAGATGAGTTACAATCACACCATACTTGAAGACGATACTTGAACCCGTTCACCAAAACAATTTCTGCTGGATGCTTTGAGGTCTCCCCGTATACAAACACTAATACGCGATTATATTGCTCGCGACATATTCAATGAAAATACTGAGCTATCCCTCGAAAAGGTGGAAAACACTTTAATCACAACGGCTAAGTGTTGTTTAAAGATAAGAGCAGCTAAAACGCGTAAGCGTATTAAATCATTATCAAACAAAAAGCGGTTCGATAAAGAATGTCGTTTGAAAAGGCATGAATTACGAAAACTAGCAAACAATGAACATCAAGACCCTTTGAATACTACCATACGTGAGCAACACCATGATACTCTGGCCCAATACAAGAAGTTACTTAATTCTAAAAAGAATGATTATTACAATGCCAAGATTTCTGAGCTAGAAAAAACTGCAGACAATTCAGACGCGAAAACTTTCTAGCAATGCCCGAAATCGATCGACGACACTAGAAAAGGAGAGGATGTTCCATCAATCTCGGATTAAAATGGGCTACAATATTTCCACAATCTTCATTCAAAGGAACCTCTTAACCCAGTGAAGCAAAACATTTGCAATGAGCTACGACAAAATGAATGCCATGTCAACACTCTCGTCCGTTAGATTTCATGATAACTGAAAAAGAAATACGTAAAGCTGCGGAAAAGTTAAAGAATAATAAATCACCATTTTCGGATAAAACAAGACGCTATGGGAGCGTATACTTGGGCGTAGTCGTACTACGCGAATTATACTTTGAACATGCCTTATTGCAGCTAAACAACTGTCATCATATCTTACCAGAGAAGATAAATCCTTTAATCTACTTGTTTGCTGAACCACACAGCTTATACAGTATGTCCCAATCCAGAACAATAATCCTGTCATTTCATGACAATGCTTGGAGACATGCTTGGCCGATATGCTTGGAGCCAAATTGCAACATAGGACATAAGTGGTTACAGCCCGGAGAGTAAGGTTTATCTTAGCTCCACTGATACTGACACTTTGAGGAAGATTGACTGACAGATTTACCGAATAACCGCACAGTAGACCACGTCTTCACTCTCCGAACTTTTATAGATAAGTATGTTCATTATCACAATGAAAAAGATCGCTTTTGACTCGGTCTTGCATGACGGGCTCTTGAATAAGCAACTTAATTAAAAGCTTATACCACAACTCTTCCTTCTCAATTAAAATTGCCCAAAAACAAACGCGATCATTCCGTTATGCGAGAGGTGTGCGGCAAGGCTGTATCTTAAGTCCACTGCTTTTTAATCTTTATATTAACGACCTACCTTTCGCATTTGAAAATATGATTATCTGATCCTTTTTGTTTTGCCAAACGGTGCAAAACTCAATTCTCTATTATATGCAGACTATTTAATCATTTTATCACGATCCAAAACAGGACTACAAAATTGCCTCGATAATCATTTCCTTCATTCTGTACTTCATGGATGATGAAAATCAATCCCAAGAAAACAAATATTATGGTTTTTTAGAAACGTGCGAGAAAAAAATGCTGATTTTCACTTTCTCATAGTCAAATAATTGATGTTGTACAAGAGTACACTTCCTTAGGAACTAGAATGTCCTAATTGGGAAATTTTTCAGTGTCACGTGAACATCTCATGGAGAAAGCTCTTCATGCCCTCCTCAGCTTGAGACGACACACGAATCTTAGTAAACTAAAAGCAGCTCTCGCCTGTAAAATATTTGATACTATGATCTCCCCTATTCTAACATATAACAGTGAAATTTGGGATGTGTACGCCAAACCAGATTTCAAGACCTGGGACGGCTCACAAATCGAGAAGGCACTCCTTCAATGTTGTAAACGATACTTGGAGGTAAACAATAAAGCTTCTAATATAGCTGTAGAGCAGGGCTTGGTCGTTTCCGTTTAAACATCACTATCAATCAAAAAATTCTCAAATACATTTTGTATATACAGTCTAAAGATGAGTAATCTCTCGTGAAACAAGCTTTTTTTAATGTCATTCGACTTACACTGTAATGGCAAAAATAGCTTCCACTCTCATTTAATGAATATGTCAGAATACTTTAAGCTTCTTGACTTAAACCCTGATTTATTAGATATAGCTATGGTGAAAAGCTATGTAAGTTCAGTGAAACAGGAATATATCTCACAAAACACCCTTCAACATTCTCAAAAACGTGAATTTTATAGATCTTTTAAAACCGATCATACCTCCTCTAGTTACTTGGACTTAACGAGAGGAACAGCTGGGAGAAGGGCTTTAGCAAAACTACGAATAAGCAGTCACAAACTAATGATAGAAATAGGCAGATACAATCAAACTACGAAGGATATTAAATAGGCATTGCCCTTTTTGCGGATGTAATGTAATAGAAGACGAATTTCACTTTCTTTTTCAATGTCCTACATACTCTACGATTGAAGTCGACTGTGATTCAAATAATACCCAGTTACCTATAAATGGTTTGATCAACGAACTGATGAACTCTTCTAATTACTTTATCAATATACAATTCATAAAATATATTTCAGCTTGTTTTGATGTTCGTGACAAATTGTTATCAAAGTAACGTAATTGCCCTGTGTTGTAATTTTGATTCCTAAACATAGCTTTTGCAATACTGTATGTGTCTGTATGGTCATGTAAATAAAGCTCGTTCTTGTTGCGAGGTTGGTTCGGCAGTCACAGACAAAGTTAAAACTTTTACAGCTACGGGTTTGGGATTAATTGTAATTTCTATTGTAACTGGGTTTGGGACTATTGTAATTGCCAAGATTAAGCACGCAAATTTCGTAACGAAATTATCAGAAGATGAAGTTTTTAAAATGCCAGTTGTTTTGAAATTATGCAAATTTGTGACATTTTAATTGAATGTTTTTTGTTTGAATGTTTAATTTATAGTGAATTTGACAGTTGCGTGTTTGTATTTTTCCACATTGTGATTTTCAATGCTTAATTCTTTCAACGATTAAAAAATATTCATCATTAGTAAAACTCAATCAACACATAAAGCAGTTACAAATGGATAGATTTGGCGAAAACAATGATCAGCATCGTCATGAATAAGTAAGTTACAGCTGAAGTTATCAACTCTGCTGTTTTGTTTGCAAGTGCGGCAAAGTTACTGCATGTCAAACCAAACGGAATTGAGTTTTTCTTCGTCAACAATATAATAGAGAAATTATTTAATAAAAAAGTCAATAAGGGACGGTTGTTTGAACGAATTTAGCCAGTGTTTAACAAAACCGCGGTCTAAGGTATTTTCGATCATTTCATGCCCGATTGGCTTATAAACAGGACCCTCAGTGGGTTATGGAAGGAAGGCGAGTACCCAGACAAGAAATCTTCTCGATATACCTGTAAGAAGAGAGTTCAAACCCGCCATCAGAGTGGTTTAGATGTCCTCAAATCTCTTGTCCTAGCATATTACTGAGTTATTCAAAAAGCGTTGTTTCGATCGTTCTAATCATTGCCTTGATTCGCTTGTAGTCCAAAATTATGATACTCAAAATTGGTAAGGCAAGGCTTATAGGACAGCTACTTTGGATGGGTAATTTATTTTCCCAATATTAAATTTGCCTAACCGAAATATTGGGGAAATAAATTACCATCAATTGATCATTGTTTAGGTGTTATTCTATATATATTGCTGATCCGCCTGATCTACTTCAAGATCCGGCTTTCCCTCGCCCTACAGTTTGTCCAAGTGGTCCTTGCTGGAATTGTTCGCTAAAAATTACTTGAAAGTCAAGAGCACACTTTTAAGAAAATGGTATACGATGTTTTGAATGTCAATATTATTACCGATTTTGTTTACAAGGATATGAAAAATAACATCTCGGTGAAGGTGACACTCAAAATTTTTTTAAATATAGATGAAATCCTTTATTTTCATTGGTGGAGAAAAGAAACAACTGAGTAAACTCAAATGTAATCTATCAAATTTTCGCCTTGGCATGATTTACCACATAATTTAAATCGGAAATATGAGGACATGATGTCAATATAGGAAGCACCTATCATTCTCTCTTTAACTTCTTTCTGCTCTGTTGACAGTTGAACTTAAAACTGTTTCTTTGTACCTGTAAAGTTGAGGGGATATCACACTAGATAAAGTGCTACTGGTGCTACAGCGAGCATTGAGAAGGCTGTTGGTGACGGAGCAAGATATTATTCATTATGTCAAACAACCCTTGAAGGCAATTTAAATATACAGTACACGTATACAACACCGGCAAGTTGCACAGTGTCAATATCACCAGCATCATCGTTGAAAGGAGACCCCCCAAAAAAGAAAAAAAAAGCGGTTGGGTGTTACAAGCTGGGTGTTAGAAGTACTTTAATTATATAACGTTGCAGAGGCGTAATATTCCAATTAGTCGCAGATACTGATGTGATAGAGTAATAAAAATGTTGGCAAACGATGTGGCGATCATCTTCGTTGTTGTCTTTGTAGTGGAGGCTGCATTGATCATCCTTGGAAACGCCTTCACCATCTTTGTTTTCTCAACTCCGACTCGGACATCGCATATAAGAAGAACTTGCTATCTCTTGATAAATCTCGCCGTTGCTGACTTACTTGTGGGTATTACAGAGCCCATAATTCTGGGGATGGAAAAGTACCATCAGATGACGGCGACAACGTCAAAACCGACGGGAATTAACGAAACAAACCCACTGAGGGGAAAACGAGAAAATGCTCTGCGAGGAGTATGGATACCAGGAGCAATGCAACTTTTTACATCAAGTGCATCGGTGTTTTTTCTCGCCCTGATTTCCCTCGAGCGCGCTTTTGCCGTGTTAAAACCGTTGCGTCATCGTATTGTTAGCAGTCGCGTTTACATCTACAGTATTGTCGTCGTATGGGCTGTAGGAATTTTGATATTTGGTCTGATGGCTCTTTCCTTTTATTACCTAAAGCTGGCGAGGGAGACTGTTCATGTTGTTGTACATTTTTGCCTTTTCATATCTTTTGTGATGATTTGTGCGAGCTACCTCAAAATACGAACACGATTGAGCAGCACTGCACCCGAAGTAGCCGCTGTCAACCGCCGTCAAACTGCTGAGTATAACGTACGACTTTCAAGGACTCTGTTCGTGGTGATCGCTTTGTCGCTGCTGTTTTGGCTGCCAGCGTTTGCTGTTTACATAGGTAGGGACATCTGCAAGAGGTGTTTTCACCCATACGTGGTGTGGACGGTCAATGTTTTCCATCTTGCCAATTCTTTAGTTAATCCCTTCGTGTATAGCTTCAGGATGCCGGTATTCAAAGAGGCGTTGGAGAAATTGTCGAGAAGACGAAGGCACGTTATTGGAACAAGAAATATCGAGGCTACAAGTCTGGCTTTGGGTCCATCTTCTACTTCGAGGATGAATCACACCGGTTTCTCGGCTGCCGCAACATGTGGGGGTTCTCAGTTAAATCTCTTTACGGAAAGTGGAGATCAGCTTTTTATAGCGAGTTCACCGATTCACCTGCAGTCAGCACTGCTCGCATTGGTGCAAAACAAACAAGTACTCCTTCGACATCCATAGTGACCCGATTATAGGCAAAACTCCGATGACGTCATTTTTGACAGTTTTGCTCATTAGAATACGAGTACAAGGCGTCGCGCGTATGTACAAATCAAGTGCAGAAGATGATAGAGCTGATTCATTTGGACAACTTGTGAAAAGGTTTAACTCTTTGCAAGGAATAGTAGGACTTGAGCTCACCCCATAGTGGGGTTTCATTGGGCTGTCGACTGCCTGAAGCAGTGGTTTAATACTTTGAGAAGTATAGATTATAGCTACTCCTAACCGGAGGGATGGGATATATATATATATATATATATATATAACTAGAAGTAACCAAAGGTTATGGAGTGCGGGCGACAACGATCGAAGGTCAAAACGCTTTCGTTCCAGCGCTGTGCTTCGCGTAAGTTATAAGCCGGACAGATGGTCAAAACACGCGCATGATGAGATTGCAAGTGATAAAAGGTCCAAACGCGCGTGATCAGATAGCGTTCTGTGCATTCCATTCATTCCTAATGAATGCTGGCCTTTTGAAACAAGAGAACGATTGGCATTATTTTTAACTGGGACATTTCCACAACGCACGCCCCACCCCGCAAACACACAACTTGACCGGAAATTTCAAAAATTATGGTCGTTCTTCGCTTATAAAACGTGACAGGGTCAAATTTGGTGTTTTAACTGTTATTAAGTAACAGTAAATTCCTTTTCCTTAAATTCGCAAAGAAAATTAAGTTTCAATTTAATTTCTGTCTGATATTGCATTTAAAGCCCTTCTAACTATCTAAGGCAAGTGACTGTTTTTATTTGACTGGGTGATCTACAAATGGCATATTTCTTTATTGTAAGACTTATCACACGTAGGGAGAGAATTGCGAAAAGTTAAAGCTTTTCCTCAGGGAAACGTGGGAGGGCATTGTTTCTTCAGTTCAGCACAGACTAATAACATCATCGACTGTTGCATTTAGATAATCATTCGGCGTAGATATTGGGCGCAATAACTCCACGAAATAATTTTATGTTCGTTCCAAATCGATTTCTAAATCTGTTGCCCAGACGACCTGAAATGACCGGTCCCCTCCACCCAAAAATCGGCTCTGTTGAAGAGGGATTGAGACACGCAACGCCCTCTGGGTGTAGAAAACCCATTCCATAATTGGGCGCCACAGGCAGCCCAATAATAAATAGTCTGTACAAAAACCACGTGCTTGCAAAACAAAATCGCAGTCGCCTTGCGTTGCGACTTCTAAGTTCTAATCGGCAAGTGCACTTTTTTTCATTGTGTTTTGCGTGCTACAGGTGCTTTAAAGCACGTAAGGTTTAATGATTTAACCACTTAACTCAAGCCCCCACTAAGTTTCCTCATAGGAAAGTTGTATACTCAACTCTTCTTCCTCGCGCAGATATTCCAATTTACACGATCAACTACATAAATCAATAACTGATTGCTTCATGTTGCAAGCTGCCCAATGTTTTCCTGGTTGGTCAAGAGAATCTATTTGCCTATGGCCCAGATGTACTACATGATGAAAGACACATTAAAAAACGTCATATTTTGCAACAAATCTCATAAATGCAGTCCGTGTGAAAATTAGACCGACGCGAGCCCTTCGTCCAAGAAATACATTTACATCCACTCAGCGATCGCCATCATCCCATATGGGAAATACACGTCATACAGCAACGCGGTACAGTACAACCAAGTTAGATTATTTTCTTAGCAAACACCACCAGCCGAATATCAAGAGACACGCTCACCATTTCTTCGTGAAAAAGTGGAGCAAGGACAAAGATACTATGACGCTATTCCAAACGAGTTAATATCCTTTTAAAAGGAACGTTGTGCAGTGGCTGTCCTGCACATAGGAACGTCTAGATTTTCCCTGAATCTGGTATTATAACTATGGATTCTTGTTATCTTATTGATGTAGCTATTTAGATCGGAGGGCGCAAGTCCATTCACTATTTTGTACAACTGTGTGACATCGCGTACTAACAGCAGATGTTTAATACAAGACCAACCCAGTCCACGCAGAACTGGTTAGATATGGTCGAACTTTCTAGTATTAGTTAAAACTCGAGCAGCAAAATTTGTACAAGTTGCAGTTTATGTATGTTCTGCTTAAAAGTGCCAGACCATACAGTAGAACAATGAAAGAGCTTACTAAAAAAACGATACTTGGAGGTAAACAACAAAGCTTCTAATATAGCTTGTTGAGAAGAGCTTGGTCGTTTTCCTTTAAATATAACTATCAATCAAAAAATTCTCAAATACATTTTGTATATACAGTCTAAAGATGAGGAATCTTTCGTCAAACAAGCTTTTTAAATGTCATTCGACTTACACTGTAATGGCAAAAATAGCTTCCACTCTTATTTAATAAATATGTCAGAATACTTTACGCTTCCTGACTTTAACCCTGATTTATTAGATATAGCTATGGTAAAAAGCTATGTAAGTTAAGTGAAGCAGGAATATATCTCATATTAGCAAAACAGCCTTCAACATTCTCAAAAACTTGAATTTTACAGATCTTTTAAAACCCATCATACCTCCTCTAGTTGTTGTAAGGTTGGTTCGGCGGTCACAGACAAAGTTAAAACTTTTACAGCTACAGGTTTGGGATTAATTGTAGTTTCTATTGTAATTGGGTTTGGGACTATTGTAACTGCCAAGATTAAGCACGCAAATTTCGTAACAAAATTATCAGAAGATGAAGTTTTTAAAATGCCAGTTGTTTTAAAATTATGCAAATTTGTGACATTTTAATTGAATGTTTTTCGTTTGAATGTTTAATTTATAGTAAATGTGACAGTTGCGTGTTTGTATTTTTCCACATTGTGATTTTCAATGCTTAATTCTTTCAACGATTAAAAAATATTCATCATTAGTAAAACTCAATCAACACATAAAGCAGTTACAAATGGATAGATTTGGCGAAAACAATGATCAGCATCGTCATGAATAAGTAAGTTACAGCTGAAGTTATCAACTCTGCTGTTTTGTTCGCAAGTGCGGCAAAGTTACTGCATGTTAAACCAAACGGAAATTGAGTTTTTCTTCGTCAACAATATAATAGAGAAATTATTTAATAAAAACGTCAATAAGGCACGGTTGTTTGAACGAATTTAGCCAGTGTTTAACAAAACTGCGTTCTAAGGTATTCTCGATCATTTCATGCCCGATTGGCTTATCAGAACAGGACCCTCAATGGTATATGGAAGGAAGGTGAGTACCCTAATGCAGACAAGAAATCTTCTGGATATACCCGTAAGAAAAGAGTTCAAACCCGCCATCAGAGTAGTTTAGATGTCCTTAAGTCTCTTGCCCTAGCATATTACTGAGTTATTCAAAAAGCGTTGTTTCGGTCGTTCTAATCATTGCCTTGATTCGCCTGTCGTCCAAAATTATGATACTCAAAATTGAAGGCAAGGCTTATAGGACAGCTACTTTGGATGGGCAATTTATTTTGTCAGTATTAAATTTGCCTCACTGAAATATTGGGGAAATAAATTACCTATCAACTAATCATTGTTTGGGTGTTATTCTATTGCTGATCCGCCTGATCTACTTCAAGATCCGGCTTTCCCTCGCGCTACAGTTTGTCCAAGTGGTCCTTGCTGGAATTGTTCGCTAAAAATTACTTGGAAGTCAAAAGCACACTTTTAATCAAATGTTGTAGGATGTTTTGAATGTCAATATTATTACCGATTTTGTTTACACGGATATGAAAAATAACATCTCGGTGAAGGTAACACTCTAAATTTTTTAAATATAGATGAAATCCTTTATTTTCATTGGTGGAGAAAAGGAACAACTGAGTAAACTCAAATGCAATCTATATGACATGATATCAGATAGGAGGCAAGATATTATTCATTATGTCAAACAACCTTTGAAAGCAATTTAAATATACAGTACACGTATACAACACCGGCAAGTTGCACAGTATCAATATCACAGGCATCATCGTTGAAAGGAGACCCCCCCCAAAAAAGAAAAAAAAAGCGGTTGGGTGTTACAAGCTGGGTGTTAGAAGTACTTTAATTATATAACGTTGCAGAGGCGTAATATTCCAATTAGTCGCAGATACTGATGTGATAGAGTAATAAAAATGTTGGCAAACGATGTGGCGATCATCTTCGTTGTTGTCTTTGTAGTGGAGGCTGCATTGATCATCCTTGGAAACGCCTTCACCATCTTTGTTTTCTCAACTCCGACTCGGAAATCGCATATAAGAAGAACTTGCTATCTCTTGATAAATCTCGCCGTTGCTGACTTACTTGTGGGTATTACAGAGACCATAATTCTGGGGATGGAAAAGTACCATCAGATGACGGCGACAACGTCAAATCCGAGGGGAATTAACGAAACAAACCCACTGAGGGGAAAAAGAGAAAATGGTCTACCAGGAGCAATGCAACTTTTTGCATCAAGTGCATCGGTGTTTTTTCTCGCCCTGATTTCCCTCGAGCGCGCTTTTGCCGTGTTAAAACCGTTGCGTCATCGTATTGTTAGCACTCGCGTTTACGTCTACAGTATTGTCGTCGTATGGGCTGTAGGAATTTTGATATTTGGTCTGATGGCTCTTTCCTTTTATTACGTAAAGCTGGCGAAGGAGACTGTTCATGTTGTTGTACATTTTTGCCTTTTCATATCTTTTGTGATGATTTGTGCGAGCTACCTCAAAATACGAACACGATTGAGCAGCGCTGCACCCGAAGTAGCCGTTGTCAACCGCCGTCAAACTGCTGAGTATAACGTACGACTTTCAAGGACTCTGTTCGTGGTGATCGCTTTGTCGCTGCTGTTTTGGCTGCCATCGTTTGCTGTTTACATAGGTAGGGACATCTGCAAGAGGTGTTTTCACCCATACGTGGTGTGGACGGTCAATGTTTTCCATCTTGCCAATTCTTTGGTTAATCCCTTCGTGTATAGCTTCAGGATGCCGGTATTCAAAGAGGCGTTGGAGAAATTGTCGAGAAGACGAAGGCACGTTATTGGAACAAGAAATAGCGAGGCTACAAGTCTGGCTTTGAGTCCATCTTCTACTTCGAGGATGAATCACACCGGTTTCTCGGCTGCCGCAACATGTGGGGGTTCTCAGTTAAATCTCTTTACGGAAAGTGGAGATCAGCTTTTTACAGCGAGTTCACCGAAGCTTTCACCTGCAGTCAGCACTGCTTGCATTGGTGCAAAACAAACAAGTACTCCTTCGACATCCATAGTGACCCGATTATAGGCAAAACTCCGATGACGTCATTTTTGACAATTTTGCTCATTAGAATACGAGTACAAGGCGTCGCGCGTATGTACAAATCAAGTGCAGAAGATGATAGAGCTGATTCATTTGGACAACTTGTGAAAAGGTTTTACTCTTTGCAAGGAATAGTAGGACTTGAGCTCACCCCATAGTGGGGTTTCATTGGGCTGTCGACTGCCTGAAGCAGTGGTTTAATACTTTGAGAAGTATAGATTATAGCTACTCCTAACCGGAGGAATGGGATAGATATATATATAACTAGAATTAACCAAAGGTTATGGAGTGCGGGCGACAACGATCGAAAGTCAAAATAATTTCGTTCCAGCGCTGTGCTTCGTGTAAGTTATAAACCGGACAGATGGCCAAAACACGCGCGTGATCAGATTACGAGTGATAAAAGGTCCAAACGCGCGTGACCAAATTGCGTTCTGTGCATTCCATTCATTCTTAATGGAAGTCGAAATGAATGCTGGCTACATATATGCGACGCATGCGTAATAACAACCTGAACAACCTGGAGATTAGGATTGCAGGCTCCTCTTGTCTCCCGCAATTAGCCTTTTGAAAGAAGAAAAGGATTGGCATTATTTTTAAATGGGACATTTCTACAACCCCCCTCCCAAGCGCAGAACTTGAGCGGAAAATTCAAAAACTATTGTCGTTCTCCGGTTATAAAATGTGACGGGATCAAATATGGTGCCGTTTTAACTGTTATTAAGTAACAGTAGATTCCTTTTCCTTAAATTCGCAAAGCAAATTAAGCTTCAGTATTATTTCTGTCGGATATTGCATTTAAAGCCCTTCTTCTAACTATCCAAGGCAAGAGAGTATGTTTCTATTTGACTGGGTGATCTACAAATGGCATATTTCTTTATTGTAAGACTTATCACACGCAGGGAGAGAATTACGAAAATTTAAAGCTTTTCCCGAGGGAAACGTGGGACGGCATTGTTTCTTCAGTTCAGCACAGACTAATAACATCATCGGCTGTTGCATTTAGATAATCATTCGGAGTATATATTGGGCGCAATAACTTCACGAAATAATTTATGTTCATTCCAAATCGATTTCTAAATCTATTGCCCAGACGACCTGAAATGACTGGTTCCCTCCACGCAAAAATGGGCTCTGTTGAAGAGGGATTGAGATACGCAACGCCTTCTGGGTGTACCGTCCGCCATTTGTCTTTTTTCGACGGAGAAAACCCATTCCATAATGGGCGCCACAGGCAGCCCAATAATAAATAGTCTGTACAAAAACCACGTGCTTGCAAAACAAAATCGCGGTCACCTTGCGTAGCGACTTCTAATCGGCAAGTGCACTTTTTGTCATTTTTTTTTTGCGTGCTATAGGTGCTTTAAAGCACGTAAGGTTGGTTCGGCGTTCACAGACAAAGTTAAAACTTTTACAGCTACGGGTTTGGGATTAATTGTAATTTCTATTGTAATTGGGTTTGGGACTATTGTAATGCAAATGTCGTAACGAAATTATCAGAAGATGAAGTTTTTGAAATGCCAGTTGTTTTGAAATTATGCAAATTTGGGACATTTTAATTGAATGTTTTTTGTTTAAAAATGTTTAATTTATAGTTAAATGTGACAATTGCGTGTTTGCATTTTCCACATTGTGATTTTCAATGCTTTTAAGAATTAAAATTCTTTCAACGATTAAAAACTATTCATGCATTACTAGTGAAACTCAATCAACACATAAAGCAATTACGAATGGATATATTTGGCGAAACCAATTCGAGAATTATCACAAGTCAAAACAGAGCACGTTTCCTTTAATATGATTTTTAAAAGACCATTGCTCGCCAACGGAAACACCTTACGGTTACGGTGTTTTCAACCTAAAAACAATGAAAAATTCCAGTGGGAAAATACGACAGTTATACGCGTATGTTGGAACGGAATCCACCCTATATGATTAGAAAATGAAAAGGAGGGAGAGTGGCAATGGTGATCTAACTAAATAACTAAAGAATAAACGAAGGAACTTACTAACCAATGTGGTTAGTTAGTTAAACTGACTCACCAACTAACTGACTAACTAACTGACTTACTAATAGAAGGATGCATTGAAAGTATTTAAACATCTAGATGAATGTGCGTAATAAACTAGGAGTTTCAGTTTGAAGTAAGTGCTGGTGTCAGAGTTGGAAGACAATACGGAGAATACAGTTTGCAAATAAAAAATAAAAAGAAGAAAATGTAAATGACCCGAGGAATTAAGGTGGAGAGCCTTTCTAAAAGAAAAATATGTTATTTCCGTGTATTTGTGATGTTTGAGAGAGTTACATGTAATTAGTTGTGATGCGGGACTAAACCATTAGGCACCTCATTGTGAAAATTTCAATTTAAGGCAATACCTCTTTTACAACCAAATGTGAATTTTTGTGCAAGACACTCACCTCACCAGAAACTGTAATGATCAGCTCAGCATCGCCATGAATAAGTAAATCTTTAAAAGGTAAGTTACAGTTGTTTGCAAGTGCGGCAAAGTTCATGTCAAACAAAACGGAAATTGAGTTTTTCTTCGTCGACAGTATAATAGTCAAAAAGAGAAATTATATACAAAAAAGTCTGAATAATAAAAAGTCATTATAAAGGCCCGATTGTTTGAACGAATTTAGCCAGTGTTTAACAAAACCGCATTCAAAGGTATTTTCATGCCCGATTGGCTTCTAAACATGACCCTCAATTGGCTATGGAAGGAAGGTGTGTACCCTAATACAGAAAAGAAATCTTCTGGTATATCTCAGTGCTTAAAACAAATACTAGTAAGAAGATAGTTCAAACACACCATCAGAGCGGTATTACTTATACAAAAAGCGTTGTTTCGATCGTTCTAATCATTGCCTTGTTTCGCCCGTCGTGAAAAATTATGATACTCAAAATTGAAGGGCAAGGCTGATAGGACAGCTATGGATGGGTAATTTATTTGCCCAAAATTAGTTTTGCCTAACCGAAATAAGGTACTGGTCAGCTTTCTCGAAAGGACGAAGTGCCTGGGGAGAGAGGATAATCGCGCCGAAAAGTTCCGAAGTGATGACGCTACAAAACGTAATTTATGGAAGTACGAAACTTCTTGGTATATTAAATTGATAAAACTAGAAATAACCAAAGGTTATGGAGTGCGGGCGACAACGATCGAAGGTGAAAACGCTTTTGCTCCAGCGCTGTGCTTTGCGTAAGTTTCACGAGACAGATTGTCAAAACACGCGTGATCAGATAACGAGTGATAGAAGGTCAAAACGCGCGTGATCAAAGTGCGTTCTGTGCATTCTGTACATTCTAAGAGGAAGTCCAAACGAATACTTGCTACTTACATGCGACGCACGCGTAATAACAATCTTGAGATTAGGAATGCGGCTCCTCTTGTCGCCCGCAAATAAACCTACTTGCCTAAAATATTATTTTTCTCTTAGTGTGAGAGCGAGATATTGGCACTTTTATGCAATTTAAACTTTTAAACATTAGTAACATCACACTTTAGGATAGTCTTCTCCCTGGCAGCCGTTTATTCCGCAACCTCGTTCCCAGGGCTTTTCCCCGGAGACAAGGGTAAGATATGAAATTGATGTCAAACAAATCTTTAATTAAATTGATGTTGATGTAATATTAATGTATTAAGTTTTTTCTTCCTCAGTTAAGACATTTATTGACACAAGTGGTTTATTTTGTTATTTTTGTACATTTTCATTATGTGTAAGAAGTTGTAAATTATTAATTTGATTATTACTTTTGTCTGGTTGAATATGGTAAAAACACTCGTTAACAAACCTATGTATATAATAATCTCTTGGTTTGTCTAAATTTTTATCATAAATAATTATTCTATGATATCCAGTCTTAGTTAATCTAGGTTTTAAAATGTTTCTGTTTTAACATTTTCAATTTCACTGTCTTTTGAAGCTGCATAATAAGAAAATACACGACGTTTGTAATTTTTTTTTTGCCGTTAATAATAACCCTTTGCTTTGGCATCTTTTTTTAATGTTTAATAAATCTTCAACGTTTTTTAAATCCGGAACACCCCACAATAGATGAATCGACCCGGTAATTAGCAGACTCAGGATTTTCCCAAGTTAAAGTCCTTCTTTTTGTTTTTAATTTTCTTTGCTCTAGCAAGAGACTCTTTTCGTCGCTCTTCATCACCATGAATTAAAAAATCTTCATATTTTTGGTTACCAAAATTAACTTTTTTCCCATCCTTGAGTGTTGCAACATATTTACTGTTTTTTCGATTGAAATATCACCACCACCCAACGAGGATATGGTTCAAAATCACTTAAACATGCATTGTTGATCAAATTTTAGTATTTAAACGGTAGATATAGGCATATTTTTGTCCCCTAAAAATTTTTCATCTGTTCGGATTTCCTAGCTAAAGTCTAGTGATCCGAAAATTATAGATATCAAAACTTAACTTTTCGAAAATTTCAGCCAGAAAAAAGGCTCCCGAAAATTCTAGGTGACCTTACTATGGTAAAAATCCGTTAAAAATGGGTAATTATACCATTTGTCAGATTTTCGAAAATCCTAGGAGAGGCAGGCAAGCAAGAAATTTTACAACAAATGTTCCGAAAATTCTAGATCTCAAATCGTCTCCCGAACAGATATTTTCCGAAAATTGACCTTGGGTGCCCCGAAAAATCAAGAGATTCGACACCAAGTTTTAAAGCTTTTTTAGTTAGTTTAACAAAGTCTTTTCCATCTACAACATTCTTTGTTGGTTGTTGTCTCGTTGTTGTTTCCTCTTCCTCAACATCAGATAAAACTTCAGTTGTTGGTTTTATTTAAAATACAAAAACTGTTTCCCCGTTTCGAGCGACATAAAAAAAGTCTACTAACACATGTGTTAAGAGACTGGAGAGAATTCACCGTTTCGAGCGGCATAAAAAAAAGCCCCCAATTGGACGCGTAAAATTCAGACGGTTGAACTTTATTCTATCATTTAAAAAGTCTTCATCTTCATATTCACTTCCTTCATAAAGGAAATTTGTGATGCCATGAAACAAACCTGCAAAAGCTGAATCATCTGTTTTTCGAAGTTAAAGTTTGTTAAGATTGTTTGTAAGATTCCGAACATTGTTAAGAATCTGATTAAATTCTTCAATCGACTCTCTCGCAGGTGACTCATTCTTTGTTGGCCATAAATCATTATCTGGGTCTGGCGAACAAAGCTTGAGAAGCTGCTGGTCGATTTGATTGATAAGTTCGTAGTCTCTCTTTGAGAGAAAAACGACGTTATCAACACTATATTAGGGAGCTTAAGCAGCGACGTTTTTGAGCGACGCACGACAACCGGAAGTGAGGTATTTTCCCTCTTAACATGCCTTGATGATATAAAATTTGTATTCCTTAGCTTCTTTACTACTATAGAGGCGATTTGACTGAAAATTGGCGCGAAACCACCGTCAAAAAATGAAAAAAGGTCACTTCCGGTTGACGTGCGTCGCTCAAAAACGTTGTTGCTTAAGCTCCCTATTAGGGAGCTTAAGCAGCGACGTTTTTGAGCGACGCACGACAACCGGAAGTGAGGTATTTTCCCTCTTAACATGCCTTGATGATATAAAATTTGTATTCCTTAGCTTCTTTACTACTATAGAGGCGATTTGACTGAAAATTTGCGCGAAACCACCGTCAAAAAATGAAAAAAGGCCACTTCCGGTTGACGTGCGTCGCTCAAAAACGTTGTTGCTTAAGCTCCCTATTGGCTTTTGGTTGTTGATATGAATCCCATTTTGTTGTGTGTTCTAATTTCTTTAAGCATTTATTTTTAACTATAAAAATCTATCTTTCCCGAGAACCATGAAATTTTATGAAAAAAAAAAGTGTGAATAAATTACAAACTTTGTCAGTAAAGTTTACTCTTAAAGTTTACTCAGGGCCTGTTTACATGGAGTGGAGGACCCCGGTCTAGTGGGGTTGGTTTCTTTTGTTTTCAGGCTCTGGGGGACACAAAACAAAAGAAACCTACCTCACTAGACCGTGGTCCCCCACTCCATGTAAACAGGGTCTCAGATGTAGGTGTCGGAAATGTTATGTAAATGAAAGTGTATTTTGAGTAGTTATAAAAGATGATTTCTACAACAAAAAATCACAACTTGGTATAAAAACTTAGATAAAAATAAATTCTCAAATAAATTTTATTTCTCATTTTCACGCGATAATGATAAATGGGAAACCCCCTTTCTAAAACATTCTGAAACTGATTAAATATTCACAACTTAATCAAAACAAACCTGTAGATGTTTGAAATGTTGTGTAAATGATTGTCTGTTCGGAGTAGTTATAAAACAATGATTTGTACACCATCAACAACAAGATTTGAGTAGTTATATAAAGATGCTTTCTGGCTAAACTCAAACATGTTTTTTTTTCTGATTAACCCCGGCGAGCGAAGCGAGCATTTGGTACTCATATAACATAAATATTCAGGAACATTACTGTCATAAAAAATGACAGGGGTTGATTTTCTGATTAAGGACTGTTTGAAAAAACGCTCCTTAAATTAAAATTTTCAAAAAAAGTACAAATATGATGACAGAAAATAGACAGGAAAATTTTGATGTCGGATGACGGAAAAATCACTGGGTTAATCAGAAAAAAGTACGTTTGAGTTGAGCCAGAAAGCATCTTTACATAACTACTTGGTTTAGGATGTTTTGAATAGAAATATTATTGCCGATTTTGTTTACACGTGCAAAGAAACATCCCAATGAAGGTACCATTCAAAACGTGTTTGAAACAGATGAAATGCTTTATTTTCATTGGTGGGAAAAGGACCAACTGAGTCAACTCAAACGTAATCTTTAAATTTTCACTTTGGCATGATTTACGACACCATTAGTAAATCGGAAATGCGAGGACATTATGTAAGAGGCATTTTACATTTTCTCCTTCTCTCTGCTTTGTTGCCAGATGAATTTAAAACTGTTTCTTTCTACCCATTATATTGAAGAGAGATAAAAAACACACTAGATCATCGAGTACTACGGCGAGCAGCTGTTGTTGACTTAGCAAGATATTATTCATTTGTTAATACACAACCATTGCATGCAGACAATTTAAATGTACACGTATATAACACCGCAAAATTGACTATCAATATCACCAGCACCATCGTGAAAAAAGACAAAGAAAGAAGAAAAAGAAAAAGAAAAAACGTGGTTGGGTGTTACCAGCAGGGCGTTATAAGTACTTTAATTGACTTGAACTATAACGTTGTAGTGGTGTGATATTGCAATTAGTCGCAGATACTGAGATAGACTGAGAAGAATGTTGGCGATTATCTTTGTTGTTGTCTTTGTAGTGGAGGCTGCATTGATCATCCTTGGAAACGCGTTCACCATCTTCGTTTTCTCAACTCCGACTCGGACATCGCAAATAAGAAGAACTCGTTATCTCTTGATAAATCTCGCCATTGCTGCCTAATTGTGGGTATTACAGAGCCTATAATTCTGGGAATGGAAAAGTACCATCAGATGACGGCGACAACGTCAAAACCGAGGGGAATGAACGAAACAAACCCACTGAGGGGAAAACGAGAAAATGCTCTGCGAGTAGAATGGATACCAGGAGCAATGCAACTTTTTGCATCAAGTGCATCGGTGTTTTTTCTCGCCCTGATTTCCCTCGAGCGCGCTTTTGCCGTGTTAAAACCGTTGCGTCATCGTGTTGTTAGCACTCGCGTTTACATCTACAGTATTGTCGTCGTATGGGCTGTAGGAATTTTGATATTTGGTCTGATGGCTCTTTCCTTTTATTACCCAAAGCTGGCGAGGGAGACTGTTCATGTTGTTGTACATTTTTGCCTTTTTATCTCTTTTGTGATGATTTGCGCGAGCTACCTCAAAATACGAACACGATTGAGCAGCACTGGACCTGAAGTAGCCCTTGTCAACGGCCGTCAAACTACTGAGTATAACGTACGACTTTCAAGGACTCTGTTCGTGGTGATCGCTTTGTCGCTGCTGTTTTGGCTGCCAGCGTTTTCTGTTTACATAGGTAGGGACATATGCAAGAGGTGTTTTCACCCATACGTGATATGGACGGTCAATGTTTTACATCTTGCCAATTCTTTGGTTAATCCATTCGTGTACAGCTTCAGGATGCTGGTATTCAAAGAAGCGTTGGAGAAATTGTCGAGACGGCGAAGGCACGTTATTGGAACAAGAAATATCGAGGCTACAAGTCTGGCTTTGAGTCCATCTTCTACTTCGAGGATGAATCACACCGGTTTCTCGGCTGCCGCAACATGTGGGGGTTCTCAGTTAAAGCTCTGTACGGAAAGTGGAGATCAGGTTATTACAGCGAGTTCACCGAAGCTTCCACCTGCAGTCAGCGCTGCTTGCAATGTCGCAAGACAAGCAACTACTCAATAATTCCTTCCAACAAAGTACCTTCTCTGGCCCATGGAAATTGGCGGAAGTCGTCCCTATACCTAAAGAGGGATACCCAGAGGTACCAGCTATTAAGAGACCAATTTCACTATTGCCTATCTTGTCAAAGGTAATTGAGAGGCTTACAGAAGAAATAACAAATTGTTAGTTCATCAAACTAGCAAAAAGAAATACATTTCTACAGAAACTGCCCTAGCATATGTCACTGATCAACTTTTGAAAGCAGTTGTATCGCTTTTAGTATTATTGGATATGTAAAAAGCATTTGATAGTTTTGATCACAATTATCGTCTTACTAAGTTGCGCAGATATGGCCTGATGTAGCCAACCGTTTCCTGGTTTTTTAGCTATCTATCATTTAGAAAGCCGAGGGTCCAAGGGGTCCGCTACAAAGATTTCATCTCAGAAATACTTCCCGTATAACATGGGGTACCCCAGGGCTCAATTCTGGGTCCAATTTTATCCACCATCTATTTTGGTGATCTTGTTAATGAAATTAGCACTAGTCAAGCCAAAACGTATGTTGATAATTGTCTAATGTTTTTCAAGTTTAAGGTATCAGATTCAGCTAATGCCATCTCAGCTGCGAACAATGATTTAACTGGTATTAGTAAATGGTGCCCTCATCATTCGTTTCTTATCAATCCCCAAAGTTATTAGTCGTTGTAAGTTTACCCCAACTTACCAGTCAGTTACCTGCTATATCGCTTATAGTACGAGGTAAAACTATCTCCCTGGTTCTAGTCGCAACGGATTTTGGGCTATACTTAGATCAATGTGTCAATTATAGCATCCATATAACTAAGACGAGTTCCACTTGTTCTCATCCGTTGGTACAGGTAAATAGAATTAGGCACCTCTTGGACAGAAAGTCACTCATATTGCTTGTAAATAGCTTTGTCTTTAGCAAGTTAGTTTATTGTTCCTTTGTATAGGGAAACACAGTTAAATCAAACATGCAAGGATTGTTTTAGGGTTAAAGAAATTTGACCACATTTCAGAGGGTCGTAGATCTCTATAATGGCTGTATGTTTCCGAGAGGATTTTATTCAATGATTTAGTTTTAGTATTTTAATGTCTAAATGGTGTAGCACTAAGTTATTTCACGGTGGGCACGTGTGACATCTAAAACGCTCACCTGAAAACTTCACTTGAAAATTTGCAACAATATAGAACTCACCATTCCCTAAAATCGTATTTTTTTTGTTTTTCAGATTTTGGCTTTTTTTGGCGGGAAAATGACGTCACAAAAGTCCCGCCAAATTTGGTTTTAGTATTTTAGGATACATGATGATGGTTCTGAAAGAACTCACCACAAGGATATCAAAAGTGAAAAATGTTTTGAAATATCCCTATCCACTTCAAAGATATAGCGTTTTGAAATTTGAATTTCCCGCCATTTTTTTACTATTTTTAGTAACGACATGGCGGAAAATTGGCTGGCGCGACCTTCTACTTCTACTATATTACTTCGCAAAGCCTGTACAGCATCACGCGAAGGATCCGTATATCAAGGTTGACCACAACACCGGGGTCTACGACCCCTACTCTTTACGAACAGTGTGTGGGTTCTTTAACGTTCCACAGTATTAATATAGGCAAGGATTGTGAGACGGGGCCTACGGTTCTTCGTCCTTATCCGAGAAGACTAGAAAGTCTAACCATTTGCAGATGTCATTACAAAGGCAGCACTTTCTTCTCAGTTATTGTTAAGACCCTGAGTGTTGGTCCGGCCGGGGCTTGAACCCGCGACCTCCCGCTCAACAGACCGGTGCTCTCCCAACTGAGCTAACCAGGCGGCGGTTATCAGCCGTGAGAAGCAGAATAGTGTTATCCTCCCTGAGGGCTTGTTTCTTGTCTTTAGTTACGTTAGTCTTAGGTGACTGTGCCTTTTGGAGAAGATTATTAACAGTTCTCCTGACCGAGTTGGCTTGTTCTGTGTCAAGTGGTCTTATAGCAGACTCGACTTTGGCAACTATCTCAGTATCTGGGATACTAGTTGGAGTTAATGCGGAATTTAACCTTTCTGCAGTAGCGAAACCTCAGTGTTGCTTAAGGACCTTGAGGATAAATTGATAACGGATTTGTTCTTGTCAATACAAGGTGTATTGGTCGGCGAAACAGAGGACTGTTTCGCTTGCAAAAGTTTATCAAATTTACGTCGTTGTCGGTCTTTGGTCTTATTAAAGACTCGCTCGACGTTGCAACTGATCTTTTCAAGTATATCAGAAGCATCTTTGGACGAAAGAGCAGATGTTATATTTATGCCTTTTCCCGTCCCAATACTCTGAATAAGAGCTAGAATATGCTGGCTTGCCTGAGCTCCATTTACTGGGCCAAATGAAAACAACTGGGTGTGGAGGAAAATGGCTATGAGCCTGTGCTTATTGCCTTTTTATTCAAATATGCATTTTCAACAAACTGTTCGACACATAATCTGGCCTAGTAAAGGTGAGGGCACAGAAAACGCAAACAACAAAACGAAGAACATTAACTCCTACATAGTCAAGAAATGTGGGAGGCCATGGGGAGGAGGTGGGAAGAAAAAACACGTCTTAATCCCCTGCTGAACCGCGACAAATGACTCATACAGGAACGTGCTGATCATATGACGAATGCTATACCATAGAGGGGGTTTATCGCAACATATTACCTGCTCCCCACGGCCAGGCGCACTGGGAATACTTTACTAATTACAATAGGAGGGAAAAGGCATAAAAATCCTATTTGTAAGCAAATATTTCCTTTTTTGTAGTGAGCTCTGTAGCTGTTTTCGCATCTCCCTTAGCTTTCTGAGTCAGGTGTATTCTTTCTTGTAGCAACCTAAAGGATGCTAGTTCGGCTACTCTGCGAGCGCCTTTAGTTGGTACTGGTGACCGGACCCGAAGGTCTCTTCGAACAATGCGGTTCTTAACACACCTTATGAGAAAGACCTTATGAAAAGCTGCAGTGTGCGGTCGAAACGTCTTGATCAATATCAAAGTGACAATCGTGAGGCAAACGATAAAACTAAACCCTTTATCATTACAGTTTTTGTCTCGTTTGACTTTGGCTGTGACAAAAAAGAAGTTCTAAAGAAAACGGAGTTGTCGGTATCACTTTTAATAAGGTTTTAAGCGAGGCGTGTTCATCTTGTTTTCGCCTTCCAAACGGAAGCCAGCTAAAAAAAACAAAAAGAAGGGAAACAAGGTTTCGAAACACTTCAATCACACTACTTTCTCCATTAAATGAAAACTGCTTTTGTTTTACATCTTTCATTGAATTATTATTATTCATGTTTTGGTTGTCAGTCAAAAATTCTGCATTGTGTTAGCGGCTTTTGTTTCTTTCGTAGACTGGGTTATTCCAGCGAAGTTGCCTGATTTTCGCTAAACTTGACAGACTCGTAACTCTCCTGGCAATCAATTCAATTTCAACTCTCTGCTCTCAATTTCAACTTTTTGCACTGTTTGGGATTAATTGACGTGCTATCGACCAATGAGCGTGCCAAAATGTTTGCCATGAATTTTATTAGTACAGGTGATAGGACTGAGTGGAGTACAATTCAGGGAGTATTCGGGTGAGAAATTTCAAATCGATCGAGCGCTTAAGGCCGATCTGAAATTACAAGCCAGCTCAGTCTTGGAATGTTTATCAATGTAAATAAAAGTCACTGCACCAGTTAGTTTCATCCATTTCTCTTTTCCGGTTGAAGCTGGACAGCTAAGCTGGTCACTACTTTGTCATTGATTTTGATTGGTTATCCATGATGTGCTAAGTAGTTAAATTTCATTGGCTAGTGGCATTTGCTACTGGATTTTCATTGGCTCTTTTACTATCCGATGTGACCTGTCCGATTACAAGCTCTTGGTAATCGGACAGGTCAAATCAGACAGTTTTGGAGTTACACTAGCAAAATTATGCGACAATTAAATATGAGCTGTTAAGAACCAATCAGATGTAAGCATTTTGTTATTGACAGAATTAAACAATAAATTAGATAAAGAAGTTCCTAGTCATGCAATCTATTCACTAAATACACAATTAAATAATCTTTTCTTAAAAAAGCTTAAAAACCTTGAGGTCTGTTCGTTTGTAACTGACATCACAAAATGGAAGAACCGGCAGGCATCTGACAAAGAACTCTCAACCGAAATTAAATCTACAGCGGTTCTGCCGTACATCGGTTTATCTGAAACACTTAGTCGTTGCTTACAACAGCATGGCGTACGATCTGTTTTCAAATCCGACGCTACACTAAGATCGCACTTAGTATGACTTACGGATCCTGTGTATCCACTAAAATAAGATTGACTAATGTATAAGATTCCTTGTGAATGCGGCAAAGTAAATATTGGCGAAACGGGAAGGTACATGCATGAACGGATTAAGTAGCATGATAAGGATATACGGCTTTCACGAACTCAAACTTCGGCCGTTTCTGAACTTGCCAATAAGATCTCTACCACAGCGGACCGCTGAGGGATCAGTTTCTTCCTCTCACAACACTGACCAACAATGCTTTGGAAAGCTGTGGGAGCGTATATTTGGGCGTCGTTACACTAGGCGTATGTGAAATTTTTGTTAAAAGTATATTAGGGATGTGTGAGTAGTGCAGTAGCGTTGTATAATTTACGGGTTGGTTGAGATGTGTGAAGTGGAAGGCATGGAGTTATATTGGACGTGAATTGGTAAGATAATGGCTGTAGTTTGTTAATCAGTGAAACTGGTTTCTCATAGAATTTGATATAAAGTAACAAAAAAATTACTTTTGGAAGGTAAAAGTGATTTTAGGTGTTGCAGTGAGGTAGTTGTGGACACTGGGAGTGCTAATTTGGTTATGAAGAGATAGTGTAGTTACCAGGGAGGGGGGGAGGGGGAGTTACGTCCCATACATTCTCTTAAAAGAAGTCAAACGATGTTCTCACAACTCGCAAAGCGATCATCAAGGGTCTTGCCAGCAGATTTGTGTAGTGATCATACGCATTACGTCATAAACCAAA